TATAAATATCGTTCTCGACTGGACGGATATATTATTACGTAAGGTATCTGAGAAAGAAAAATTGTGAGTAACAATTGACGTTGATAGATTTTTCTTCCCGCTTTCTGAATTTATACAGGGATTATGTATAACATTACTGTGAGTGCCACATAAGTTAGCCAAATACTTTTTTGTCGATTTTCCTCTTCACTACATTTCTCAATGATCTGTTGTTTGTGGATCTTTCGGCTTCTCTGAATCCGCATATACTGTTACTCCGTCTGGGCAATGATGTTGTCGTGTTATTATGGAAGTTATGCGTGATATTTAAACTCCGTCGGCTGCATTGTCTGAGAATATGATGCGTTATTTAGTTTATTTATTTTGTAATTGATTTAGTTTGCCTCTAAGAATTCGCCTTCTGAACTTATCCGAGATCCAGGTAACATCTGCGCGAAATTCTTTTTGCGTCCATGCGAACAAAGCAGGACGGCCTCGTCCAAAATTATCCGTTATTACCAACTAGAATAACGAATATCTACAAAGTACAATTTTAAAAAATAGAGTTGAACTTTTATAGTCTTCAACCCAGCAGCAGTAACCTGCTTACCAGTTTGATCTTAAATGCCGGCTTCAAATTTTGCTTTTCTGCTGAGGACAATCTTCTGATCCATAGATCACAAACCATCCATGAACTACTACAAGCATGATTGTGAAGGATCTTGTGTGATATGATGACATATTCCTCACAGTCCAAGTTCACACAGAACCTGAATTGACAGTCTACAAACTGAGACCTTAAACGTCACATGTAAGTAAAAGTTCTCAGGGTTTCTTACCCACTGTTAGATCTGGTGATTTACGCCTATGAACAAATGCGCAATGAAACACCACAAGCATGTATTTAAATTTCACGTCCTTCAGCAGTTTACCTTCGCTGTGAATGTACTGAGTATGGGTAGTCTGAGAATAGATAGAATTATTCTTCCATACTTTTTGAAACTCCTTTATACACCATCAAATTCAATCCAGCTCCCGAAACGCCTGTTCAGTATTATGCCTCAAGACGCCTCGCTTAAGTTCACTGGAATGTCTTTTGAACATGAATCACTACAAACAGCACCTAATAGTTATTAAAAAAGTTATTTCTTGCGATAATGATTTAATAACTGAAGAAAGCACTACTAATATTCAGAGATTGCCGGTTACTCGGGACTTCGTCTTACATACGGAATGACCACCTCATGTCAGGCCGTCCAAGGTAGCTAAAACGAAACGGCGGCGGCTTTTAAAACACTCTTACTTATTTACCGTGTCCATGCAACTGCTAGCCAGCTTAGAACAAACGCTTCTCGACAATTCGTTAGCTTCCAAATGTATCTTCGAATCCCTTCATTTTGACTTCTGATTCAACTTCATGTTTGTCCTTTGATTGTGAAGGTGTTATATGCAAAGACGTTGCCAAACTGTGGCATCTTTGAGTAAAACGTTTTCAACATCCAATTTTTGTTTTTTTATTCCCCAGGACTTCGGGAAAAAATAAAAAACTACCACAACCACGATGAACTGAAATTTTTATTTTGCACATTGCTTTATCTATTCTATGACTCTTCACAGTGGGAAAAGATGACCGACTGCTGTAGAACATACCAAAGTGTCAGAACAGCGCTTATCAACACTAAGCTACCTGTGTCTCAGCAACACATTTAGGGTCCACCCCATAATACTAAAGGGCAATGAGATGTCGCGCTAAATAAATCTCTAAAGTAAACGGTTTTTACGGGTCCTGGATACTAGTGCTGTTCTCATCAGTCTTACAAGCCAAGACTGTAGCCGAAGGCGCTTGTTCAAGCATCCGAGCCATTTCATTTTCAGTATAACGCGTTTCGAATCTCGTTTGACAATTAGTCAGCTGATTTTGACGTGGGTTTGTCCTCTGAGCTGGATGGTTTGGTCGTGGAGCTTTCATCGTCCTTCTGAACGACATCATCAGCATAGTCAGCTGATATACGTACACCCTAACACCGACTATCATTCAAATATATTGTAGCAGAAAGAACAAGAAGGAGTAGTAAGCAGAGGTGTTTGAAAGGTTCGGCTCCTAGAGGGAGTCGAATTAATGAAGATTGTATAATAGATTTATGGGTGTACAGCTGTACTGTTGTAAGTACGGTGCTTTACATTGAAATTCGGTAATTAGCTGGGAGATCAATGACTGGATTTCGGCGGTCGATGTAACGATAGGAACACAGTAAAAATCCTTCCACCTAATTTCAGTGAACAATATTGCTGTTTATTTGTTTCTTGTCCGTGTAGTGTATTTTAACCTTTGTTCAGACTTCTCTTACACGCACATTATGTCATTCAATCTTTCGCATCTCGGGTTATATTATGTGACCTTGGTTAAAGACTTTCCTGTCGTTACTTAATTTTTCCCTTTCATGTTGCTGGACTATTGAAGATAAGGTCGCGTAAAAGTTCTTTCATTTATTTTTTTTGGTTATTTGGTATTGTCTGGAATTTCGCGATTATATCCTACCTATCGTTTACTCGCGAAACAATATATAGCCATGATGAAACATGCTGAAAAGTGACCCATAGTTTTTAAAACCCAAATAATTAATAGGTTTCTAAAATTCTTCAAGCGATTCGTCGTCGAACGTATTATCGCTATTTTTCTTGAAAAATACAATATTAAGACCTAGACATTTTTGACCATTGAGAGGATTTAATTAACAGTAACTTTAGTTTTTACTCAGAAAGATGTTCAACTAATCCCGAAGACTGGGTAACCCCTCAGCATAAAGACAATCACAGATATTCAACACGAATATATGTCTTTTCATTTTAGCCCAAGGCCTGTAATGATCATGGACTAACGTTGGTTCCTACCTACATAGTTTATTCAGCTGGATGTACACTGACTCAGCAGATTTATGAGTGAAGCATAATGTTTGATGATAGTTAAGCGAAATAATGGTCGATGCGAGATACACATCACAACTCAAATTATTGATCTGACAACGTAAATCAGTTCATCATAAACGATCGTAGTCCTAGTTTTGACAACCTTTCCCCTTCCTTTTTCAGATAGTTGGCTTGATAGTTTCGTGTCAATGTGTCGCGGTTGTTGTTCTTAAGTACTGTAGTCTTCTTCCCTGTTTGTCTTCCGCTTATCACCATTTAATTGCTACGAGTGCAGTATTATTAGACACCGTCGATTCCAAAGTTTTCTCAGACTTCTTAACGATAAACAATAAGTGTGTTTTCACAATTTGGATGCAATAAATATAACATAGGTTATGTCATGACATTAACAGTAATATTCCTGATGTCAGGTTTTCATTAGAATACTTTTTAAACCGTTTTAAGTATCGTGTAAATAAAATACTGCATGTCGTTTTCCAGAAGTCAATATAACCTGTAAATAAATTAGGTGACAAAATCCGGCTTATATTTTTTGGTGGAATTCTGGAAGGTGTAATAGTGGAATAAAGTCAATATGTAACTAGGTTGCTGAACTTCATGGTATTCCGTGAAAGAAATCTCTAAGAGAATTTAAAACCTGAACACAAATTTCGAGAAACGAGTCAATCAAAAGAACACAACGAAAGCATGAGTACTTTGGAGTAGACAGATCGCTAACTAATTTTATAATGAAGTAAAAAGCCAGAAAATAGATCAACTCATGAGCGGTAAGTACGGAGTAACTCGTTCTGCAGTTTATTATTTGGTTTAATTCAACTGACCAACCTAACAAAAATTCCAAGAGTGAACGTGGCACGAATGTACTTGTCAAGCAATTACCTATATAGTGACCCTACTTGTTTCATTCTGTTCATAGTCTTTATCTGCTGGAGTTGAATAGAAATGTGATTACTTATCTGGTGTAATCTAACATCTAAACCACACAGTCGTTTCGCCACATATATTTATCTCATTGTGTTGAATATTCTGTTAGCGCCGGTCATCCTTGACCTTAGCAAGATTTCATCAGCTGTCCAACTTCCAGTGATCAGTCTTTTGTGTTAGGTATACGCTCAAATCGACAATTTTGCTGTTGTTAATTGTCATTTTGATGACCCTGTAGAATGAATCGAGCTTCACCCCGAGTGTATTATTGAACCAGGGAGCCCATATGCCATGTTGCGACTATCAAATATAAAGAGCCCTTTGAAAACAGTAACATGTATTGTGCAAACAGTGAGAAAGAACATTTTCTCCATTTACAGCTACTGGAACTGATCTAATAAGTCATTAGCAGGGAAATGCTTGAAACGGCATTTTGGAAGTCAGTCTTCTTTCATTCCTCAGATACAAGATCAATAACGGCTCTGTCTAGCATCTGGCCACTCCAAATCCAAGAAATCAGAATGCAAACCAGTTAAGATTCATCTTTAGACTTTTATTTTATTCATTGTAAGATTTATTCATATTTTAAAAATGTTGGTTCAGACTTTCTTGAAGTACACAAATACTGAGTGTAAGTCGATGCCTTGGATACAACCTTGAGATTATTCAAAGTGGTTACTCTATAACACATTTGACACCTTATGTCGTCGACTCCCATTTTTCACAATCCGATTGTTTTGATAGTACACCCATGTTACTGTTGACGGTTGTTTTCATTTTTAAATGTACGTGAATTCTATGCCATTACCCAGTCATCGGCAAATCCTTTCTCTCTCTTTTCAGATTCCCATACAAACTGATCTTCATACTCCCACGATATTCAAGATAATTTTAGGTTAGACGAGAAGATGCTAGAAGATGGACGTCTTAACACATAATACGGATGCAAACAAAATTGAATTCGTTGATTGGTTAGGGGTCAGAATAAGGCCGCCAATGGTTATTTTTCAAGATATTCATGATAATTTACAATACACCGCTCAGCTATCGGTACAAAATGTTGGAACATCAAAAAAATCATTCTCTTTTACCCTCCTTGCACCGAAGTAATAAGATTTATTATTTAAATATTCAGTTAGACAATTGTAATCACTGAGAGTCACCAAAATATGTCCTTAGTTCCTGGAATGAGTCATACGTCTACAATTACACTTAGGGTTTCAAAAGCAAAAGATGCTAAAGAATTTATTGTTGTAACTGTTGATGGAAATCTCCGAAAAATCCCAATTTTTACGTTAGTTCTATTAACCTGCGTTTATTAATAAAATTGATAGGTTTCTACCTAAGCCTCTATGGAATTTTCCTCAGAAACTTGACTTTGGTGTACTTGTTCAGGAAAACAAAGTGATAACTAAAATATTAGTAGTAGAAAATCAAGGTTCCCAAAGTGGGAAATTCCGGATTACGAATATATCTGATCTATCTATTGATGTTATGCCACGATTCAGCGTAGTTCAACCTCACTCTCGTGTTAACTTAAAAGTTGTCGTATTATACCTTTGAATTAATATTTTTCGTGCTAGGTAACTTTCATACCAAAAGATACTCGCGAATTTTTTGAAATCGTCAGGTTTGGAAAATTGTAATTGATTAACTGATGTTTACACAGATTCGATCTTGGGAATAATGAAACTTTCAACGTCGAAGTTACTGGTAAAGTGATAAAACCGGAATTTAAGATCCTTCAGTACGCAAATCGTGATGATCTTAAAGGCATGTTAATTTAATATTTGATATGAATTTCTAGTTTAGGTGAGGATGGGATACAACTTAGTCACTGGAACTTCGGCTATGTCTACTACAATACAGATGTACGTTGCAGTTGGAATCTGGTAAATTACTCACCAAAAGATACATCGTTCGTTGCACGATTTTACGACAAAAATGATTCTGTGAGTTCTGAATCGATTTTATAAAACATCACACCTAACACTAAGTTTTAAAGACATTTTTGGGAACTCATCCTGTTCGATAAGTTTGTTAGGACCCAACCTTTACCCAAAATACATCAAATCACTGTCAAGGCTTTCGGGTTTACTTATGTGATAATCAACTTGCTCAAACTGGCTGTAAAATTGCTTGGTTACAACTACGAAGCACCAAAATGTAGTTTAGGGATATTAAAATTTACCTTCATAACCAACCTTGCACATATCAAGTTCAAATCACCTGAATACAAAAAGCTTGTTTGACGAAATTGCCACCGCAAAGAACTAACATACCTGTTAGTGGGTAGTTTCTGCATATACATAATGACAAAACATCACCATTGGAACTACCACATTCTTCTCATGTCAATTGGAACGAAGTGAAAACTCAACACACATATAGATCGGTTCAAGTCACAACACCACGCTAACACAACAGGATGACAGAGTAGTGGACGTGTTGACGATATTGATGGTAACAGAAAACAAATTAAGCACAGCTGATTTGATTCAAAGAAAAAATACAGATTTATATGATGTTTTTTTGTAGATAACAGTAAATCTCAAAGTCTAAGGGGAGATAGAGAGTAAATACGCCTACGCCGTTACTAAGGGTCTCGATATATGTCACCCAAAGTCTCCAACCATTTGTTTTGATAATTGCACAGACTCCAATCAGATGGCACCTACATACCTACACTGGTTAGTCAAGCAGTTACTGACTTTATAGACTGATACTACATTTTGGCTACTCCTCATCTAGCCTTCTGTGATGGTTAGAAGTATTCAAATTATTGCACCAACTAGAAATTCCCGAAATAATACAATTTCAACCAAGTATAATTAGATGAACACAAATGAACATATTGTATTTGGAATTCGTAATCAAAGGGGAATCAAGTAAAAATGAAGCAGCATTTCATACAGATACCACACTTTCTTTTTTCAGAATCCGTCCCGGGGTTAATGGGAGCCCCAATATAAGTGAAGTAGTTGATGTTCTCAACTACTCTGCTCCTTAATATCAGCTTAGGTGTAGACATATACCAGTACTGATGCAAAATCTTACGCTTTTAAGGAAAAATGAGTATAGTGAGCATCATTACACTGTTGCTTAAACCAATCAAAAGGCTGTATTTCGTCCGTGTCTTCACCGAAAAGGACTACATCATCTACTTATTCTAAGTCAGCAAGTAGATCTTCCGTTGGAAAGTTAATTCCCGGAAATTCGGATGATAAGAATTCCATTTCCGAAAGCACAGTTGTGGTGAGATTAAATAAAAGGGAGAAAGCGGACAACATTGACGGACAGTACTTCATAATGGTATTCCCGATAACAGTTCGCTATAAGCTCTGACTTGGTCAGCAGTGTTCAAGTTGAGAACCTAAACGTGGTTAGTCTACTTTTGTAGCACACTTTCAATGACAGACACTGACCCATAGCATATCGATCCACAAAGTTGAGGGCTTCATCAAAGTCAAGAAATTAAATTATAGTCGGAAGCCGGTGGGCATGTATGTCATCCAGAACCTAAAGAGGGGGAAATATTCGGTTTACATAGCCTAGTCCATCAAACCTTGGATAAAGTTTTGTTGAACCCTACTTTTTAGTTACAGTCAAAGGAGAAATAAGTCCTAAGATTTTAATTCGTGACAGGTTAAACAAAACTGAATACAAATAATAGGTGAAAATTGAAAGGTAAGTATATCGAAGATAATGTTATGGAAAGTCTAACAGTTGTAGCTATAATTTCCTTCCATGTTAGCATTATATGTAGATAAAATACATTCAGAATGTGAACCCCGGTTTGCAAACAATCTACTGAATATTGGCAACTGTGAGTCAACTTCATTAAATATCAATGGGATTATTTTAAAGATTCGGTTCCATGACGGAAGTAAGGTCATCGACAATGAAGACGATGTATTTGAGTGATAATGAGACGCAGAAGTGATAGCTTATTTACAACTTAATGAAAAGCCATTGATAAACAATGATAAGATGTCAGTAAAATATGAAATGTTAATAAAAACTACGGACGAAACAAGTCTTAACAAACGCTTCATTTTCGTGTTACATAAGCAGTTTACTAGTTTTCTAATAATCTCATATGAAACTTGATTCAAACTTTCAATACGGCCCATCCGTTTTACTGTCGACGTAAATTATGGGAAACAAAGAACGCTATAACTCAACATGTCTAAAAAAGTGTCCGTATTTTTAATGTCGGGTGATTGATGTGCATTTCTATAAAAAGATCTACTGGTTTGAATTTCTGTACATTTTGGTAACAATGTCGAAGATAGAATATACGAACAGAATGTTGGGAAAAAGGAATAGGAAGGAGGCTAATAAATGATAATCAAGCAATCAGGTAGTTTAAACGTTATACCGGATGAATACACTCAATTATAAGTAAATTGTGTGGAAATATTTCAACAAGTCACTGCAAGAAAGTTGTTTCATAAGTACTGCATAGGGTAAGTTCATTCTTAATACGTCAAGTGAGATTTGTTGGGAAACTAAACTTTTTGTTTGTTACTTCATTCGTCAAACAAGTGTTTTGTGCTCAATGTTTTAGAAAGGCGTTGACTTGAAATTAGTCCACGTAGAAAGTTACCGTAATATTTATTGCTATTATTTTGAAAATCTACTCAAAAAACTTTGAACATTTGTTAGGATGTCCTCCTAACATGTGGTTGGGTCTTTGGTTGAATTAGGTGAATATTATGATCTCCAGTGTATCTGGAATGAACAGAATCTATTAGCAAAAATAAGACTGTAGCCTGATTACACCTCCGTAAATAGTATGACATAAAGTTCTGTGCTTTTTGTTGGGATCCTAGTAAAATAAGTGGTAATTACCTTAACATCTAACATTTCAGTTAATCTTGATAACTATGTAAATAAACTAATAAATTGGAATGTGGGACACTATTTATCATTCTCATAGTCTTATTTTGCAGTCATTTTGATAATACTTTTTAATTCTAGCTTGCAAATGATCTACACTTTGGCCATACTCGAAATATTTCGAGTACGTCTTCGTAACAACTAACTAGTACTCTATTAATTTAGAATTAAAGATTTTATCAATCACTTATGTTTTTAGGTATACAAATGATAAGCTTAACAAACTTCAGTGTACTCACGCTTCTGTCATATGCAAATATATTGACAGAAGCCTCCAAAGTGACTAAAGAATTCAACAAATGGTGTAAATGAAATATTATGATATCATATCAATCCATTTTTATATAAAATGTCTAGGTGAAGTTTGCTTAGTGTTCCTGTGAGTTGAAGCTGTAATATTAGACATTTCCACTTGTCGAACTACGTACTTCAACTTGTGAGAAACATTACTTACGACTGCTCAAGCGAAATAAATGTAGCTATGCGGTTTTATCTTCACAATTTGAGTTAAGACATAAAAAGAATTCTCTATGAACATATACTGGTACGTTTTACATTTTTTTGTTGAAATGTGGGAGTATCATTAACAATAAGTTTAAAGGTTTAATACACTTGGAAGGGATATCAATTTGGTCAATCTTTAAACATTACAGTCTCTCAGAAAGTAATTACAGATTAGAAATGTATTACATAAAAATTTTATTTCCATAAAACCCTTAAATTTTCCAGTGTAACAGATTATTATTATTAACCTAACTTAATGAACTTTTTGTTGCCAGGATTCAGAAAATAATAATCCCAGCAGTGAAAGTTTACCAAAGTATGAACAGAATGATTTACAGTTTAAACTAAGTGATTACTTCAGCGTAAGTCCAGATAATGAGCAATTAAAACCATTCGAAAAACTACCAATCTCTTTATGTCTTTCACCTAGATGGAAGAAATCAAAGCAAGGTTTTGTCAGTTTAAATGAATCTCCGGCAATAAAACCATTTTCCATTTGTCTTCGGATACACAAAGTAGATCTCAGTGCTTGTGATCCTTTTAATCAAGAGAGTAAGAAAAAATTTTGCCAAAAATTCAAATAACTTTCGTTTCATTCACTTATGACTATATTAACGCATGTTGTTCTTTGCATAGTTGTAATCATGAGTCAATTGAAGCTAGACCATCAAGGAAAACCTAGAAACACTAGACGGCCGTTTCGTTCTATTGTGGGACTCCTCGGCAATGCGCATCCACGATCCTGCCTCGCGAGATTCGAACCCAGGACCTACCAGTCTCGCGCCAGAGCACTCAACCGATAGACCACTGAGCCGGCATTCGATGGTGTTAATGTCTAACTTCAACCAATCCACAAAGTTTACCAACCGTTTATAGACACTTAATACATGATATTTCTTATATTCTAAACCTGTAACTCTTTATTAATTACGGAAAGCAATTTACTTCATTTAACCAAAATCAAAGAAATGTTTTACAAACATCTTCCAATTGTGTGAATTTTCATGTCCAGCAGCTAACCTTAAAGACCTAAATCGTTTTCTACTGTGAATAAATGTTATATTAATGTAAAATACTGGTAAAACTCAAAAAGTTATAAGAATAAGAAGTACTAATCATTGAATAAACATAGCATGATAAAGCAAATATGCATTTACAAGAAAATATGCTTCTAATGAAAAATTGTTAAAATGAATCGTCTCAAGTCATAGTTTCTCGAAAGGTGACATACCGATGAATTTATTATTTGTATAATTATTTCTGAGTAAACCAACTTACTTTGCAAGACATTCAATATACAATATAAATAAATCTACTTTGATTAGCATACAATCTTTAGTGACAATAGTTTATTTTGAGAAAAGCATGCACATATGCCAATAAGAGACTCACCCAAATAACAATGGGAAGATTCAAACCAACAATACTAAGTAAATTTAAACTTCACCCCATTGCCCAAGCAGGTAGCTATCAAGACTCAGTAGCTGACTGGATAACGCTATGGTGTTTGAAGCGAACGATACTGGGCTCGAGTCCCAGCGAGAACATCAATTCTGAGGTGCAGGTACATCCAGCTGACGAGTCCCAAATGGGAAGAAACGCACATCCTGGATTCCACTGCTAGCGACTATCCATCTTTGCTTATAATATCAACACTATGGATCACAGTAACAGATTTTATTCCTAAGAAGTATTCTACACGATAAAACTACTATTTACATTCAAAAATAATTAAGATTTTATATTAACTGATGAGGTAGTATATAAACTGTGACACTCATAATTTTTTCATTCGACTTCTATATCTGATGTTAAATGTAATCAAAAACCATGGATGATAATGGATGTAAATCTCAATCGTTTCGGTATTTATCAAATACTTAAAAAAATCGTATAAAATTAAAATATTGAATTATGTATAACACTAGTAGTGGTAGCAGAAGTGAAAATGATTGCTATCTATCTCTTTGTCTACTCATTAGTATTCAGTTAGTTCAATTCAAATTATATAGAACTATGACATTAAATAGGAATAATATATTTGTAGAATCTCAGCGAATGAATTTGAAGTAAATCCAACGTTTTGTCTGGCAATCTGGTCTCAGCTTTTTCAAGGAATTATAATCAAACATCAAAATTATCGAATATAAATAGGTAGATGGTTCTTCGTTTCATTGTACACTGAATAGGTCATCCAATCAGCGTTAAAAATGTCTAAACTAATTATATGTATTAGTGTGTAGGAGATTTGTGATGTGAAATGATAAGTGTTAATATAACATATTGTATATAAACGTAAGTGGTGAGAGGACCAGATTGTCAGGCGAAACGCTGGATTTACTTCAAATTCATTCGCTAAGATTTTACAAATATATTATTCCTGTTTAAGATGTTACATCAACTCGACGCTCAAATACTGTGAAACTATTCGCTCTAATTTAGACGGAAGTTCTTATTACTTACTCACTTACTTACTTACTTACGCCTGTTACCCCTCGTCGAGGAGCATAGGCCGCTCACCAGCATTCTCCATCCAACTCTGTCCTGGCCAATCATTTCCAGTTCTTTCCAGTTGCTATTCATCCTTTTCATATCGGCTTCTATTTCCCGGCGTAATGTGTTCTTTGGCCTTCCTCTTTTCCGCTTTCCTTCCGGATTCCAAGTTAGGGATTGCCTTGTAATGCACATTGGTGATTTCTTTAATGTATGTCCGATCAACTTTCAACGTCTTTTCCTACTTTCCTCTTCAGATAGAAGCTGGTTTGTCCTCTCCCATAAAACGCCGTTGCTGATAGTATCCGGCCAATGGATGTTGAGTATTTTGCGTAGACAACTGTTTATAAATACTTGTACCTTCCCGATGATGGTCGTAGTAGTTCTCCACGTTTCAGCTCCATACAGTAGGCCTTTCTTGACGTTCGTATTGAAGATTCTGACTTTGAAATTAGTTGAGAGTTGTTTTGAGTTCCATATGTTCTTCAATTGTAGAAATGCTGCCCTTGGGAAGTTCTTATATATAGAACTATATTAATAGAATGAAAAACAAGTTCTATTTTATAATCTGTTCGATTGTACTGATGAAATTATTTGCACTTTTAGAATTAATGAACTCTTCACAATCTTCAGTTTTAATGGATAATCAGAATAATTTAGAAATTGTCCTAACAGGATGTTTAATACCAGTACAATTCCAAATAACACCAATCAAGGAATCAATTAATGTAGACAATGATAATTTAACTAAAACAACCGGATTAAATACAACAATTAATAATGAAAATATTAAAGTTGATAAACTATATGAGAATCAATTTATTATACAATTTCCTCAATGTTTAGTTGGTTCAAAACAACACACTCAATTAAAGTTATCAAATCATAGTAAACATTTACCAATTCAGTTTCGAATGCCTAGAATTGCTCATTTCATTGTAAAACCAGAAAAAGGAGTAATTGACCCACAAAAAGATTGTCTAATTACTGTTTTTTTCAGTCCAAAACAAATTGGTGAGTCCATTTATTACTAACTAGTTTTTTGAGTCTTTATTTATAAGTTTTACAACATTATAAAGTAATGTGTAAGTTATCAGAAGGGGGTTTTGTGGAGACTTTAGTTATTTCATATAGTTGAGATCATGAGTCAGTTGAAGCTAGACCACCAAGGAAAACCCGGAAGCACTGGACGGCCGTTTCCTCCTATTGTGGGACTCCTCAGCAGTGCGCATCCACGATCCCGCCTCGTGAGATTCGAACCCAGGACCTATCGGTCTCGCGCGCGAACACTTAACCGACAGACCATTGAACCGGCATCTGTTGGGAGATATCAACTCACTTAAGACATCGGTGAATGGTTGCTTGATTTCGTGGATTGGTTGAAGTTAGACATTAACGCCGTTGGATGCAGGCTCAGTGGTCTAGGGGTTAAGCACTCGCGCGTGAGACTGATAGGTCCTGGGTCGTGGATGCGCACTGCTGAGGAGTCCCATACTAGGACAAAACGGCCGTCCAGTGCTTCCAGGTTTTCCTTGGTGGTCTAGCTTCAATTGACTCATGCTTTCAACTATGAAAATACTAAATTTACACATAATCCTCTGAATAAAGTCTGTAACATGTAAAGTTTGTTTATTATTGGTCATGAAGGCATGTTTCATAGTGTAGCTATTAAAACTTAGTAGAAGACTCTTTCCTGTGATATTGTTATTATTAGTTCCTTTTTTATTATTATAAGCTTTATTCAATATTATATTTTTGGTACAATATAGAATTCTCAGCATAAAGTATTTCAGCGAGTTTCTGTCTCATATTTCTTGATCGATATGGATGATAAATATTAAGTGATGGCCGGTTAGATATTAGCATTTCAGAAGTCGACATCTGAATAATATTCATTCTTTTCAATGTATATTGTGAGCTATAACGTTGATTTTGATTGTACATTTTTGTAACTTGTACAGTGAAAGGTCGTAAACTTTTCACAAACATACCTGAATAGGTTATGCAATTAATTGACATAATGATCTGTTAAAACAAACAGGGAAACAGATAACTTGTTGAAATATCTAGATGGCAGGAACAGATAGGCCAGATATTCAAGTAGGCCACCTTGTATCATGTTGCTGTTGAATTTTATTCAATTTTATTTGTTTAACAATATCACTTTTCTGTATTTAAAAGGAGAATTTCATGCTGTTCAAAATGTTCACATTCTCAACTATTTAACTGGTGTAAATCCAGTTGTTATATATCAGTGTAAACTCATTTTTCATGGTTATTCACCGGCTTTAACAATACCACCAGAAGTAAAATTTAATCCAGGTAATTTGTTGGTTTTTTAGAATAATCAGTTAATTTATTCACATATAGATTTGGATATTGACTATCGATAAAAATCATGAGACCCTATTTATCTTAACTGGGATTTGTCATTTGAATGTATATGAATGATAAAGATTATATGGAAAATATATGTCTATAGGAGGCTAGAAAAGATTGCATTATAAATGGATTCGACAATAAATAACAAATGAGGTGACGTACTAATCAAGGGGTAAGGAAGAAAATAATTTATGGGTCAGATAATAGTTCAATTAACAGATATATTACCTTATACAAGTTTTCTTGATTATTACTCAGATTATTATTATTATGACCTTTGTGTTTGTCGCTCTTCTTCATATCTGTTAATTGAACTATTATCTGACCCATAAATTATTTTCTTCCTTACCCCTTGATTAGTACGTCACCTCATTTGTTATTTATTGTCGAATCCATTTATAATGCAATCTTTTCTAGCCTCCTATAGACATATATTTTCCATATTACTATATATACGAATGTACAGCTTAAGTAAATGATTTCGTCGAAAAGAAAATTTTCTTCGCTGAATTCTCTTTTTCTTATTCAATGACATTATGAGTTATTTTAGTTAGATAAAGATTATTTTTATATAGGCACTAGAACCTAGTGTCTATTGATTCAAACGTCTAAAGGTTATCTACCTTGTCGCTGTATCACATTGTCTAATTATTTATACTGGCTTGTACTTGCTGAGAGTTTGTGTTTCAATGGTATTCATGTACATTCAATAGAAAAATACTAAAGAGAACGTGGCATATTTCTTTAAGTTTACTGGTAAATACCATTCCGAAGTTTGATTAACTTGTAAAAGTTTGACAACATTGAGACATTCTTTCAGAGAGAATAGGAACATAGGAACAAAAATCAAACCAATGGGAGATACAACCAAAACAAAAAAATAAACAATGACAGATTTAAGGTCAACAAGAACCAATAAACAGGGAGGTGTATAGGACAAGCTGTGAATCACATGTGGAGACATTCAAACGCTTCACTTCTGCCCGAAGTTTGTGCTAATGATGTTTTTCACGACCAAACCATCCAGCTTAGAGAACAAAACTCCATCAAAATCATCCACCTGAGCTACAAATCTTCTCTACCATTCCAAAGATGACAGATTAACTTATTATATAATAACATTTCACTTCCATAAATGATTATCGGAATAATGTCGATTGATTAATTCAGTAATTGAAAAGAAGACGAGTTATTTATAATAATCAATGTAATGGGTTGTAAAATATTGAAAAAGTATAGTTCATAGGTTGTCAGGTAACAAAACATTTGATCGAATGATTGAAAAAAATATTTTGATAACAAGTCAACTTAATTGGTAGTTATATGAAAATAAACATACGAATATTAAAACTAAATTAGAACACAAAGTAACATAAAAAGTAGGGGAATAGAATTTCTATTTTAAACTATCCTGGTAGGGCCTATGTCAACAACCATATTGGAGAGAAGTTGTAAAAAACGTTTCTATATAAAGATTAGGTTTGTGAACATTAATGTGGATGGCTCCAAGGAGGAATAAATAATCCATGCATCATATTTGTTAGAATACGGTAAATAACTTGAAGAGCCTTACTCACGTTATCTTGATGCTCTGTGTCAGCCAAGAGAAGGAGAATAAAACTGCTAATCAGGCTTAACTGTCTTTTGCTCTATCAAGCTGGGTGGTGTTCGGCAGTTAGATGACAAACTTGCTAGATTGTACGTCCTGTATAACTGGCTCCATAAGAGCGGTCGGAGTGATGCACACATAGATGTTACACATTCAGGCAATTTGTTACTGATCACTAGATGTTATTATCGGATGACTGTCAGAAACCACTTTCTCTTGTTATTGTAGTAAGCATTTACTGTGCAGTCTATATTATCCTTTGAGTTTAATTCTTACAGATGAAATCGCTTTTAATTTATAGATTCAAAAAAGGTAGCTTCTTCAAGATAGACTCAATTGTTGGTCTTATTCTTATCTTGGGCGAGACTAAAGAACATGGACGACCTTTGAACGAATCTTAAATGACCTTGAGAAATATTGGCCAATCAGAAGACAGTTAGCATACAATAAAAATATATTATACAAAACTCAAAAATTAAAGTGGATACACTTCTTTTACATGAGTTAAAAACTTATCAAGGTTGGATATGGGTTCGGAAGTTTTAAAATCGTATTGCATGCGGTACATAAATTCATCCATATGGCTCCATGGTAGTGTGCCTCTGGAGCCATGGTAAGGTCTCAAAAACTCCTTTAGTCTCGACCACATAGCTTCTATGTTGTTGGTATGCACCCCAGTAGTAGGGTCAACGAAATGTCGCTTATGTATAACGATTTCATGCTCATATCCCAGTCTACCTAGACATCTGTAAGCTCCCCAATCATCTGTATAAATAGTAGTACCCGGTAGCACATATTGCTGTATGATCGGTATGATTGTTGGCGCCTTCCGGTTCCTGACTCTTTGAAAATGTCCTTTCCGTAATGATCTATCATATATTCCAAAGACCTGTGAGGTATATTTATGGAAGAGGTACTTACCCAATCTTCTTTAATACAACGGCCACGGTTGTATTTGCGTTTCCTTACCACCGTTTCGTCTATTTCAACAATCTTTCCCACTCCTCCATACAATTGGTGTATGCTTGTCAGTTTTGTTGCGCATATATCTCTGCAAAACTCGTACCATTGAACTGCCGAAACTTCGCTTACATCGGCAAAGGCGGCAGCTAATGTTACCGGTTCTTTTATTACCCAATTCGCAATAAGGAGCATAATTTGTCTTAACCTTAACTTTGAGCGAGCGAAAAATGTCCCTGTTCTAGCTGATTTCTTCTTCCAACATGAGGAACATCGAAAGATAATATCGTCACGATAGTCTGCACATTGTACAATGTTCATTTCACAACCGCAGTCACAAGTACAGGAGCTTCTCAATAATCCCTTTTCCTGCAGTCGCTGAATTATCACGTCCTCTCGAAAATCCGCTGTAAAGCGATCGTACGTAAGCATCACGTCGCGAAATTACCGCCGTGACCTTGAAAACCCGCGAAAGCTTCTGATTGGCTCGTCCATGTTCTTTAGTCCCGCCTAATTAATCTTCTCTTTAAGACTATGATTTAGAATTTTTAGTAAATTCACTTTGTATCTAAGTGTGGCAGAAGTCTAACTACTAAAAGACGACTGTTTGAACAAATTAAAATATCAGCCTTTCCAAAAACAACTTCATTTCATTAACCTTTAAATATGTTTTGTGTACGAAACTAACTTTCTAACTAATTTAGAACTCATGTCTTAAATCATCTCAGTTACACATATTTTTAAAAATAAAAAGTAATTAGAGTTTCTTGGTATGATACTTAATGTCAAAATATTTGGAAAATGCTCATCATTACCCCCTTGGATTTATTTGAAATATTGTGTTTCTGCTTACTTAAGTTGCTTGTGAGAAATGAATCAGAGGGGGTTTTGTGGAGAATTTAGTATTTTCACAATTGAAATCATGAGTCAATTGAAGCTAGACCACCATCGAAAACCTGGAAGCACTGGACGGCCATTTCGTCTTATTATGGGACTCTTCAGCAGTGCGCATCCACGATCTCGCACTCGCGAGATTCGAACCCAGGACCTACCAGTCTCGAGCCAGAGCCCTTAACCGATAGACCACTGAGACGGCATCCAACGGTGTTAATGCCTAACTTCAGCCAATCAACGAAGTTTGAGCGACCGTTTACCAATTGTCTTCAGTGAGCTGATATCGCTACAACAGAACTCCACTGACCACTGCTTCCCACTAGAACTCAAGGAAATATCTCTTGAAGTCAGTCACTAGTGAGCATATGATTATAGTTCAGAGGGGGTTTTGTGGAGAATTTAGTATTTTCACAATTGAATCAGTTTAAAAAATAGTTTACATCAAGAACTGAGGTCAATCAAGGAAGTAACATGGACTAGGGAGTATTAGATAAACGTCTTATTACTTAACAATATAATCCCACCATTGCTCAATGTAATAAATGTAACTTTAAATAATCTGTTACTGAGCCTGTTATTATTACTTAACTAAACTGTTTGTAAATTATTAGAATAGTTTGAAAATGGGTCTCCTCATGGTGTTAATTGTGAATTGGAGCGTCAGACTGTGAATCGAGGATATAAGGGTCTAGAACAAAGTACTGTTTGAATTTCTGAAGATCGATATTATGTGGGGTTGTGCGTATGCATTTCTAATTATTACAAGTAGATAATGATTCTTAAAGTATTCAGCTTATAGCAATGAGTGTGCTCATATCTTTTAGGGATCATTCCTAAATGGGCAAATGAAATCGGAAGAAATACAGATCTTGTCACATTTGGATCAAACTATGAATGCCCAAGAGCTGCAATTATTAGTCTTATGAGTATGAAAAGTTTAAAAGGTCTTAAATCTCATGTATCAAGATCTGAACTAAATACTACAATGTCTACAAAAATCGCTTTCCCAAATGATAGACTTGCCAGTATTAGACCAGCAAATAAACATGAAGAATTCAAGTAAGTAAATAAAAATCAACTTTTCTTCCAAACATTCAATTTATTTCTTACTGAGTTACTAACATTCGTTATTCACATTGATACCAGGAGTAGTTTTTTAAATACTTTGTTGAATATCAACAGATAAAATCCTACTTAGATCTCCAGAATATATTATGTATGTAAAATATGTATTAGTCTCCATATTTGTATATCGAAGAAATGTATTTTGGAAGCAAGATCATAACAATATTGTAATAACAAGAAGCAAAAATATATTTTCATTTGTTTGTAAGATACCAAATACCATTTGTGTAACTTTTCTTTCAATGCATTTTTTTAGTTCAGCATCTGATCTTATCATTGAAGCCCGATTAGAAAAAACAGAAAGTGTCATAATACAAGTTCATCTAAACTGTAACATTTCTAACTGATTGTTTCTTCATTAATTACATTCAAACCCATCTACTTTGATTATTTAGTCAAATACTCTCAACGTTCTTAGAAGTTTGTAACAAATATGGTTAACTCTTGAAGTATCGGGATTACAATTTGGAAACTTATAATGGTATCCTTTGTTAGGAAATATACACTAATAGAAACACATTCAGAAGTTACATATATTTATTAGTGGTTTATTGAGAGTTTACGATATTTCCATAAAACTTTCACCATATGGAATTGTTGCTAGAGGAAGATAGTGAAAAAGTGAAAATAATGAATATTCATGTGGTTGTAATTTGAGTTCATTAGCGCATATCAATAACTCACCGCAGAGGTTGAATATTACGGAAATAACGAAATAAATGCCAAATATTCTGTATTTAGTTTAAATAGTAATCATTATTTTGAAAGTGAATCTTGCTTTCATTTAAAAGATGATCAAAAATAAGAAACCACTAGAACCCACCTGAAATATGATAGTTAGTAGTTTCAAATATAATCAGTTTTCGAAATACTGTGATGTTGATGAATTAGCTGATTCCATAGGTCACATCATCACACTAGGACAACAGGAAGATCATTTTAAAGTGATTTACCAATGAATGAGCGATTATTGTTAGGCTTATTAGTATAAAGTAGAAGCAAACTTCTAACATGGTTATGTAATTATCGCAGTTTGCTGATATGAATTACTGACGAAACTATTTCACATAAGTATCACTATGTCGCTTCCATTTGTTTTGCTTAGGTATAACTTTTAAGGTAGCTTGTCCTTCATTTCTTGAAAGTGTTATACATACCAGACAGCATTAGATCTAAACTATGAACCTCAGTCTAAAAACAAATATAGACCTTAAGAAACATGTCAAGTCATGTTGAATCAACTCATGAATTCAAATCAAGCGATGAAGTAACTCATAAAATCCACAAATCAAAACACAGAATATGTTACTATTATCATCGACAACATATGCAATTGACCCATATCATTTATCAATATCCAGTTACTACCGAAATATGACTACTTTGATAAGGCTAAGTAACAATCAGCGTCTCTATCACTTCAGTAATGGAAGTCAACGGATTGAAACAAGAAATATACACACCAAATACGGAAATCTTGAACAGTAAACAGATATTCACTGAATGAATAAGAGCTGAAGAAGCCTATCAAGAATATTGAGGAAGTACAATTACAATAATATTTGAATTAATTACCCCAGATCCATGTAATTAGAAGAAACGCGCAACAATGAAGAGACATTATAAGCTGTATTTTCAAAAATGATTGACAATGATATTAGTTACTGAATACTAGTAAGTAACATAATTTAATACACATGAAGGAAATAAATATGAAAGACACGGAGATGAAAAGAACAAACAAAATGAACAAGGTGGTTTAAATAAAACATTGATGTTAATAATTATTAGGATGTATTTTCAAAATTTTGGCTATTATGCATAGTCGAATTCACAAATCAACCATTTAACAGACCTATTTTATTTAAAGTAAATTCATTCAAGACTTGGATGTATATCAATTAACTATTCAGTCATTCATAATGAATTTAGAGTGTTATATGAACGTCTATCATCCCGTTTTGTTACATCATACATCAGCGCGGAGAGAGAAAAAAAGTAACCAGATAAAAGGAAAGGGAAATAATTGGTACCATCTATAGTGAAAATCTAAACATGAGAATAGATTTCATATGAAACAAATGAGATCAAAAAGGGTAACCAAAATCTTAACAAGCAAACTATTTTAAAATATAGTTCACTTAAACTCTATATGATTAAATGCTCATAAATCAACTTTTGAGGAAATGCAGCGTATTCCAAGCATCGTAATCATTTCCTGAATATTGTCTTTAGAATATAATATGATTGATAATATGAGGAACAAAGTATTCACACTGGTTTTATTCTTTCTGTTTTCAATCATAGAACTTTATATTGTCGTTTGACGAGATATACATATACGGATCGAGATTATGAATGGAATGAAGATGAAATGAATAGTATAAATGAGCGACAGTTAACCTATACTGATGTTTACCGTAGTCATGCTCAAATGATTGAACAAGCTCAAAAAGATCGTATATTAATGAAATGGAACAAACCACCAAATAATGGTTCAGTTTTAATGGAACTGGATAAAATATCACCGAAATTAAAAATTGAAAATTATGAGGAATTTCAACCAAGTAGTTAAATGTTAATAAATTATATTTGTCAGATTAAGTTTTCATAGCTACAGTTAAGAAGTCTCTACATATGAGAACGTTTACATAAAGACTATATATTGATGAATATAACCACAGAAATGAGTAACCAATGACTTCCTAGGGTGTGAATAAAGTTTGGTTGGGAGCAGTATATGCGTTTCTGAACCCTTTTAGTTTACGCAGTACATGGTACTTAAAATTAACTGGTTCGTATCCATAAATAAAGAAATAAATCCTTTCTGTTTCTTTTATTGAGTAACCATTTTGTGTTCCAATATTCTCGGATATCCATGTATCTCTGTTTATCACAAAAGTACAATGAAATATTGACTTATTTCTAAAACTATTACTTATTCGAGGTGTATGTTGAATAATTTTTGTCTGTATTAAACGTTTCCTTGTGTCTGAGATCTAGAAACTATCTAGAGAACTACAGTTAATAGATCTACAGTATTTCCTAATTATCCCTTGTTCATTCTTTAACTTGTGAATGTTTTAATCGATATCACAATCCAAGATACTACGATTGAACCTTATCCAAGTACACAAATCACCAGTTGCCTCCAAATACCAAACACCGAACAGTATACATCAGTGTCACAATACCTAGAAAAGCAGCTGGATCACAACTTGATTATTTTAATTCCATTTGTACTAACACGTTGACAACACGACATCAGTTAGTAATAATGTTGTTATTTATATTTGTCCAAACTCTTTTTACCTTTTGTTTCTTCAATATTATTCAATATGTATGCATAATTATTTATACAGATAGAAAACTGCAACCAATTAATCTACTGAAGAACAGAACAAGCGATAATATAAAAGTGGACAAAAAGAAGAAGGTATTTCATTGAATTGCTTATCCTTCATTAATCTTGTTTAAGCTTTTACATGAAAGATGGTTATTGTGAAATAAAGCTGTTTTTAATAAAAAGACTCTCTATTGTCCAGTCTAGAGTATACGATTAGTGAAGTTCATTGTAGAACCATCGATATGAATTTCTAAAAATAATTAGAAATTAAAGGAAGATGAATCAACTTATATCAGTTTAAGAAGAGAATCATTTCTAAATTACAATGTTTTAGGCAAATCCTAACTGAAAATTTTCTACAAATAATGAACAGCTAGTAACAGAATCTTATTTAACAAATAGTATTTCAATAATCATAAATATCATCTCTTTTTAAGTATCAATCTACCTCTAGATGAAAATGTTTTTACTTATAGTTATATATTTATGTTTACACAATTGATTATAGGTTACTGATAATGTTCATTATAAATTAACTTGGTGTTGTTTACTTGTAACTTCCCATTTTTATTTAGGACTTCATTTGATCAGTCTCTTGTTAGCATATGTGCATCCTGTTCGAACTGCTTCGATATTGCTTTGAGTCACAAGCTTTTTAGGCAAAAATGAATAGTGGCTAGCAGCGGGATTCAGGATGCGCGTTTTGTTCTAGTTGGGACTTGTCAGCCGGATGTACCTGAATCTCAGAGTTGATTTCCACTCTGAGACTGATTATATTGCTTGTGAATTAAGGCTACATCGACCCAATACCCACAGTATGCACATATGCCAATAAGAGACTGATCAATTCCAGTCGTAAACATCAATGGGAAGATTCAAGTAAATTATTCCAAACGAATCTAAACTTCACCCTATTACACAAGCAAGTTACTATCGGGACTAAGTAGGTGAGTAAATAACGCATTGTTGTTTGAAGCGAATGGTACTGTGTTCGAGTCCCAGAGAGAACATCAACTCTGAGATGCAGATACATCTAGCTGACGAGTCCCAAACAGAACGAAACGGGCATCCTGGATTCCACTACTAGCCACTATCCATCTTCGCTTATATATTAAAGTGAATATTTCATCTAAATTTGAATGGTTAGCTTAATAGAAACTAAGAACTAAGTAGTATATAAAAGACATTTAATGTAATTATTATATTTGAAATAAACTTAGCAATCAATATTCAAATAATTTCAACATTTCTTTTAAAAAACTGACAAACATTCCTTTACAAGAATAATCGAAATCAAATAAAATAGAATTTTTATTATCCCCATAAAGAAGCTCAATACAATTTGTGAGAAGAAACATTGTGACTATTTGAAATGTCAATCATTAGTATTTATCAGAAGGGTTTTTTGTGGAGATTTTAGTGATTTTATGGTTGAAATCATGATTCAATCGAAGCTAGACCACCATGGAAAACCTAAAAGCACTGGAGGGTCGTCTCGCTCCATAGTGGGGCTCCTCAGCAGCGCCCATCCTTGATCCCGCCTCGTGAGATTCGAACCCAGTACCTATCAGACTTGCTCGCGGGCGCTTAATCTCTCTAACTCCAACCGATCTACGAAATTGAGCAACGTCCACCATTGTCTTCAGTGAGTTACTATCTCACAACAGACCTGGTTGAACTCCACTGTCATGGCTTCTCACTAGAACTCCAGGAAATATCTTTTGAAGCTAGTCACTACTGAGTATATGATAGAACGAAACGGCCGTCCAGTGCTTCCAGGTTTTTCATGGTGTTCTAGCTTCAAATGACTCATGATTTCAACTATAACATTAGTATTTAATCAAATAAAACCCTTACATATAATAAAATATGTTCCCAAGTTTCATATTAAACAAAATTGGTAACACATCTGAAATCATATTTTGTTACCGTTTCGTATTATCTAAAAATGCCTTATTATATTATCATTTCAATGATTTACTTATGCCTAATAATATCTGCAACCGTTGGTTATTAGTGTTTGAATACATTGTAAATTATGAAGACTTCAATCAACGAATATATTCGACAGATCTTCTATACTTTTTATTTCTTTGTAATTTTTTTAAACAGCCTGAAAGAGTTCAATCATTAAAAATGGTAACCAAGAAAAAAGTTAATGATGAGTGTAAACGTAAACTTTCTGTTAGCGATATAAATGAACTATCTATTTGTAAGTATTATTTTGAATTACTGTTTTTCAACAAAAAAAGTAATCAAATTTCCACAACCAGTAGGTGTAGACTATCTGGTCGGGATTCGCGAGATGATAGCAATCGATGATTAGAGACCTTGAATGACATGGCTCAAAACCGTTTGCGATGGCAAAGGTGCATCCACTCTTTGTGTTCTGCCAAATTCTAATCTTCTGAATTCCGCATGTCTCTATCTTTTTCACTTTCCAAATTTTTTTGACTGGATTATACTCCTTGAATAACATCTTCGAACCCTAATCTTTCCGATTACTGCTTATACTCGTACTACCTCTACCAATATGGGATTTGAATCGACAGCTTCATTTTTGTTTTAATGTGGTATGGCAACTCGAACTGATGTACGTACGTACGAAGTTCTACTTTGTGACTGACTGACTGACTGAACCATATACCTTATTAAAAAACAGTTATTTCCTTTTATATACACGTTATTCCACTATAGAAAATGATGAATAAATGTTTTTTCAAAAGTCTTGGTAACTGAATAAAGTCTATACATACTGTCATCATCTATAATATGGTCCAACATAATAAGTTTAACATTGAATAGAATGACCTATCTTGTCTTTAATTTCGTTAGAAGATAAATGCTGGATTCGTTGGAATATTTTTTATAAAGCTGGATCTATGAACATGATACTTAATTATCAGAGTGTTATGATGAATAACATCTACTTGCCCAATATAATGTATAATAGGAATACAAGTTTCGAAAAAAAGTGCTCACCAATGACTAGCTTCGAGAGGTAATTCTCGGAGTTCTAATAAGAAGTCATGACAAGTGGAGTTCTACCGTGTCGAATTTGAGGTACTTACTCACCGAAGACGAGGATCAATGGTTGCGCAATATCATGGATTGGTTGAAATTAGACATTAACAATGTTGGGTGCTGGAGGTTAAGCTTTCGCGCTCGGGACCGAAGGTTCTTGGTTCGATTCTCGTGTGCGTGATCGTGGATGCGCATTGCTGAGGAGTCCCATACTATTACGAAACGGCCTCCCAGTGCTTCCAGGTTTTTCATGTTTGTCTAACATTGGTCGGTTCATTATCTCAATTAATATTTCATATATTTTATACAGATATTAGTAGTTTGTATTGGACTATTTAATGAAGACTAGTAAACTCAGTTGATCACATTAAATGTTATTCTTCCTAGCTACTAAGAAATACTCCACATCATCATTATCATGAGTATTTACCAACGAATATCTAAACAATTAGTTGATGGAAAATTGAAGAATTCGCCAAATATTTTTCATTTCGCTTAAAAACTAACCTATACAGAAATGTACACAAATATGAACATAAGATTAACTAAAATTTAATTTATATATCATTTGAATATTTGGTTGTTTAGTGAGATAGTACTTTATATAATTCTCAGAGATAGTGAGATACTAGCCTTAATATGATATACTTCATTCAGATGATAGAGAATATCTCTAGCTTAAGATTAGGATATTGAAAGTGTTGTGAACTCTGAAATCACAGATCAATACAGCCCCATCCATTCATTTCAAACAAATATATTTATCTCTATCATTAAACAACCTATAAGTTGGATAATACATGAGTGATTAAGCATGTAATAGTCTAGAGGCTTTCATTATTTTTTCTTTAATTTGATGTTCAGTTTGAAGACAGTGAAAACTACAACGCAAATGCTACCAATTTCACTTGTCATCATTTTTATCAGATTAAATCTTAAAACCTAAAGTTGTTGATTTCGATAAAATAACATAAACCTCTAGACTGTTACAGTTAAAACATGTTCAGCTTACTGGAACCATCATTTAAGAAACTATATAAATGTCGAATAAAAGACATTTATTGCCAGAAATGCTGTAATAACCAACAACATATGAAATTTTATTAATTACATGAAATCTTTGTAGTCATGTGTGAGCAATGAGTTTGTGTGTATTCTCGATTTTGAACATCTAATCGTCTACAATACTATAGAAAAAGCATATATTTGTATCTCCAGTGTACATCGATCCTATAATCGATAGAATATACGATTAAATATATATCAGGATGAGGGTTTGTGGAGATTGTAGTAATTTAATAGCTGAATTCATGAGTCGATGTAAGCTAGACCACCATTGAAAACCTGGTAGCACTGGAGGGACGTTTCGTCTTAGTATGGGACTCCTCAGCAATGACCATCCGCGATCCCACACACGAGACTCCAACCAAGAACATTCGGTCTCGAACGCAAACGCTTAAACTCTAGGTCCTTGAGCCGGCATCCGACGGTGTTAATGTCTAACTTCAACCAATCCACGAAGTTGAGCAACCGTCCACCATTGTCCTCAGTGAGTAAATATCTCACAACAGACAGTGGATGGGCACTACTGCGGAGTCCCATACTAGAACGCAATGACCGTCCAATGCTTCCACGTTTTCATTGATGATCTAGCTTAGATCGACTCATGAATTCAACTATTAAATTAAATAGATTTTAATTCATGACTGAATATGGATTTAGGCTTAAATCACTGATTATTGAAACCTACCAATTGTTCCTTACCACATAATCAACAAATTTCAAATGACTGAACATTAATAAAAGCAACAATTCATCGACTGATCTAAAACAACGCACTCAATAAATAAAACAGGAGGGCTTTTCAGATTATGATCCAAATACAAACGATATCTGTAGAAAACAAACAAAAGTATTTAAAAAGTAAAATGATCAATGTTAGAAATAAAGGTGGAAATAAAAGTAATGTAGTTTGTTAAACCGTAGACGTAATTCACATAATCATAAATGTGTTTCTAATCTTCACTATAATTTTGGTCTATAGTTCCAATAAATATTGATTATGGAAATATTTGCCCGAATGTAGAATCAACAAAATTTATTACAATCAAAAATCCATTAAATCAATGTATTTCATTAAAATTGGATATAATACTTGAAGAATTGAAACCAACTACAGTGAGGAATTATATAATTCAACCAAAATCAATCATTGAAATACCAATTACAATAAAAATTACAAAAGTATCTAACTTTCAATGGTAAGTTTACTCGTGTTGATTCCCAAGAAATATACTGTAGTAATAGTCAAAGAATGTCTTTTCAATGGAATGAATAGTATTATATAGTTGAGATCATGAGTCAATTGAAGCTAAACCACCATGGAAAACCTGGAAACACTGCACAATCGTTTCGTCCTATGGTGGAACTTTTCAGCAGTGCGCATCCACGATCTCGTCTCGCTAGATTCGAACCCAGGACCTATCAGTCTCGCGCGCGAGCACTTAACAAATAAACCAACGGGCATCCAACGGGAATTAATAATAAAAATTTTAAGTTATTCATAAAATCAATTAAAACTGCAAATAATATAGTAGGAGAGTTGTACATTTATAAAGACATTATTTCAGGATAGAACAAAATGACTATATCTTACTATTTCGGTAATAAAATATTGTAGTAAATTATCATCACTGATATTTTATCTTATGAAGACATCCCGCAGGTGAACTCAAGGAAGTTCTAAGAAGCTCAGAAAGAGCTAAAAACATTCCATCCAAGCATCTTTTGGAAGAACATTCCAGAATCTCGACGTGTAGCTCCCTTATTAGATAAATGTTAAAAACCACTGTATGTGAATTGGATGACTGTAATGATTTCATTTCTACTAAAAACTATAGATACCTGAGAGTTTTGTACCATATTTGACACTGTTTGTTATAACATTCCTCCTCCCTCATCTTCTGTCTTCTAACTTGTGACTTGGATGGTTTCGGAGTTCCAGTGCTCAAGGAGTACACGGTATAGCATGAATCTAAGCTCTAGATATAATATATCTCATAGTGAATAGCTGACTTAAAATCGTATAAAATCTACAGGTCAATAGTTGCACTTAACCGTTTTAGAATAGTGGTTCTAAGAACTACGAATGATATTTTTGATTATTTTCTTAAATTTCAGATGCGACTTTCTGTTTTATAACGCAGTTCGGTTAAATTATTCTGAGAGGTGATGTTTAAATAAAACATTGGAGAAGGTTAAAACCTCATTTGTTGTGTAGTAATTTAAGAGGTTTTTAACGAGGACTGGAATTGTCGAAATATAATTTTCTTTCTTGACAGTTTTTATAAGTTTTTGTTACTCATGTAGTTTACAAGCTAATAAAGTAAATACTAGTTACTAGTTCCAAGTACAGTGATTAAAATTTGTTTGTCATTAAAGTGACATCTTCTGGTTAATGTACAAATTTAACCGCTAAGTTGCCATCATTATCTCGAAATTTCCCAGTTTTTCAATTTTGATTTCATTGAAAGTAAAGTGCCTTACGGAGATTTATGAAGATACGTAGGACCTTCCTAATGTTCAAGTATCCATTTATGTTGATGCTTTTTAATCCATGATGTATTTAGTGAGAGTCAGCATTGTCGTAACTATGAAAATTAAATTTTTTCGTCTTTTAAGTAAAAACTTTCATATTGATTCAATGCACAAATACGCAATCCTCGACTGTGATTTTCTTAATGATGTTCATCTCAACATTCAATTTTATCAGTCTCTTAACTATGTACCTACCATTATGGCTAATTATTAACAGCAAGTTGGCAGTATTATGATTTATGACAAAATAATTAAAACACATGGATAACGTTATCATTTAAAAAGAGGATTTCTGACAACCGTTTAGATTTACTATGGTAAGGTTGTTTGAGATACCCAAGCATTCACGGAATTGACTAGAATGTCTGGAACACATTTTTGGAAAATGTTTTGTCTCTTGGATTCAGTTTGGGAATTTTCAAAATTGACAGTTATGCGTGTTATTAATTTAGAACATAAATTCAATATTGTATAATTCTGAGACGTTTGAGAGTATATGTACCTTAAGTGGATGATTTTGGTAAGGTTTCGTTTAGATGGACAATTACAGCTTCACAATTAAACCATGCAGAGATTGAAACTTACCAAAATGTTTTAAAATGATAACATTTTGTATCGTAGAGCTTCTTATAATTATACATGGCTAGTTTTCTGTTTTATCTCTCATATGTCAGATATCTCAATACTGTAATAAGACACTGAGTACGCACTAAGTAACTCAGCTAACTTACCTTATTTGACTTCTTTAGGCATTTATATTAGCTTCTTGTAAATAAAAATTAACTCATCCACAAGTTGATGACAACACTATTAGCTTAATAAAAATATCCCAAAAATTTAAACGAATATTTCTGTAATTTATTTAAATAAAAATTTAGCAATTTAGGTTTCTCATTAAATGATCAACATAAAAGTAACCTGGTTATATGTGCAACAGTTGTACCAATTCAACTGGTTCTTGCACCATCTACCGTTGAGCTAACTTCCGCTAATCTGTCATATGGTTTAATTAGAACAAGTGGTATGTGTGGATATGCTACATTGTATAATCCGTTACATGCTTCCGCAAGATTTTGTTGGCAAACATTAGGTGATCAAAATCCTTTTACAATATGCCCAAAAAAAGGTGAGCAGCTATTTTTGTTTTCTTCAGTTCTCTAAATTTTTTTTGTAGAGATTCAATACTAGCGATTATGCTGATCTAAAAAAAAATTATCTATACGTGATACAGTTTTATCATTTTCAAACTAGTCAAAAGATCCAATGATTTTAAGTTGTCGTGCCAATACCCGAAAACGAATAACCCTGGTATTGTATTTAATAACAGATTTATAAACTTCATTTGTTTAAAAAGATTGATGACAGACTAAAGTCCATTCATGATCGATGATTACTTAGTGCCTGCATAAGGATAATGACTTTACTACTGACAGAAGTGTTATAATTATCGCAGTTTTATTCATTTTTATCCAAAAGTAATGTTCTTTTGGTGCATTTACAAAACCAATATATTTTCTTAAGTGTAGAAAAAAGTTCCATTACAATTACGTACAATAAATACTGAAGATGAATCCAGTTAGGAATACATCAATGTAATCGTTTTCTTTAAAGTCATATGTATATATATATTGTGAAAGTATAAACGTAATAGTGTTTATATAATTAAATAAATTGAATAGCATATTGTTCAACAACGAAATGTTCATCTACAATAATAAAAAGCAATCAAAACCAGATATGACTGCATTATGGCAGTATAACATTCACTACATAGTGATACTTTCAATTGAATTAGTTTATTATTTTTTAATTTATTAATTTTTACTTGTTAACTGAACTATCATAAAAATTTTAATTCACTTGAAAGCAAATAATAATTTGTTTTGGACCACACATATCTTATATTCTCAAGACAATTGTTTACATCTTAACTCGAGGTTGTTTACTTGTACTTTCTCATTGTTATCTAGGACTATGATTGATCAATCTCTTGTTGGCATATGTGCGCGTCCTGTGCCTATTGCCTCGATATTGCTTTAAGCCATAAGCTTTTTAAGCAAAGATGGATAGTATCTAGTAGTGGACTCCAGGATGCGTGTTCCGTCCTGTTTGGGACTCGTCAGCTGAATTTGCCTACATCTCAGAGTTGATGTTCTCTCTGGGACTCGAAACCAGTAGCGTTCGCTTCAAACATTATCGCGTTATCCACTTACCTACTGAGTCCTGATAGCCACTGGCTTGTGGTATTGTATGTTTGAATCTTCCCATTGTTATTTAGGACTGAAATCGATCAGTCTCTTGTTGGAATATAGGACGAAACGTGCGTTCTGGATTCCACTGCTTGCCACTATCCATCTTTGCTTATAAAGTTGTTTACTTCGTTACTTATCCCTGAGAACTTAATATATTTTATTCAACAAAGTATAAACCAGTGATTCGTCCAAAGAAACACAGATACTTTAACGAAACACTATCATATTCCCGAACTTAAGTAATGAAGAACAAAAAAAAGAATGAAATGTTTATGTTTGGTTTGTGATCATGGATTGCAATGGCTTCAGTAAGGTGCAAAAGATGAAATCCTAAAACATGCGGTAAATTTGGTGGAATATGGTGAATGACTGTAAAAGCTTTATGCAATTCAGCTTGATGACCCGTGTCCACTAAGTGGGCGAGAATAAAACTCTTAATCACTCTTACCTGTCCTTTTCTCAACCAAAACGGATGGTGTTCTGTTATATTAGTGTAAAGCCATGATCAAAAACTAATTGAAAAGAAATTTCGTCGTTCGATTCGTTCCTTCTTTATTTACCAAATATTAAAATGGGAATTTTCACTGACACTCATACACACAAGTGATCAATGCATATTTGAGTAGTTTAACGGGTCAATGATGCTTTTATAGATGATTTCTCATAGTTTCCACGATATTTATGTACAGATTCTCTGAAAGACAGACAAATCATCATTACAATACAATGATCTGGGAACCATTTAACAAGAGTGTATATTATTCAATAAATTAATAATTAGTTCATTGAAAGTTTGAAAAATGGAACAAAGACATATTAGACTGTGTTTCAGTATCTGTAAAAGAAGTTAGATTTGAATTCTATTTTACTTCACACCATTTCATTTTCACCGCATATTGGTACTTATAAATAAAATACAATTTGATCTTGAAGTTAATTTAATTCAAAAAACCAATATCCTCTAACTTAACTGTGATTACATTGTCAGTAAATTAAATTTGCATCATAAATAGTTTGTAAATGGCTTAAAGTAATAAGTGATCTATTGCTCGGTACTGAGTCATAACTGACTTGGATTCAATTCATTTTTGTAAGGTTTTCACCATATATGATATTGTTTGATGGTCGGAGGCGGTTGATAGGAATTCTTGAACCCAGATCTCATACCATGTGGTACTCATCAGGAAGGCGCACCTGCAATTTTTAGGGAATTTAAACTTTCTGTTGCATTTAAACCAGCGTCGCTCGTCTTCATAGTCCAAGATGTTTTCAAGGAGCTGTTAATTGGTTTTGTAACTTATTAAATACAACCAGTGAACAACGAAAAGTACTCCAGGCGAAATTCAGTTGCTTAGACTAATAACCCCATTGGAATGGTCAATAGAATTCAATGTGTAATAAGGACAGTACAAATATAGAATGAGCCACTATTCAGTAAATGAACGATGTAAGCATGCGACATTCGAAGTTAAGCCGAATGGAGCTAGATACATTGAAATAATACCAACGATGCATAAAATATCAGGAACGGAATCAAAACTGGATCATTTCGTTTCGCCTAGAGTAACACATATTTTTTGTGTTATGAATGCAAAAGGTAAGAACTATTTCACTTAATATAATAAAATAAACCAATTATTCCTTTATCAAACAGAAAATAAGTACATATAAAAGAATTTTCGTCTAAATTAGAGCGAATAGTTTCACATTATTTGGGCGCCGAGTTGATGTAAGACATTAAATAGGAATAATATATATTTGTAAAATCTAAGCGAATGAATTTGAAGTAAATCCAACGTTTCGCCTAGCAATCTGGATATTCAATAATTTTGATGTTTGATTATATTTCCATGAAAACGCTTGGACCAGATTGCCAGGCACAAACATTGAATTTACTTCAAATTCAATCGCTGAGATTTTGAAAATATATTATTTCTATTTAAGAAAATAAGAACCTTTAGACTGTAGAGTTCTAGGAATCTCTAATTTCACATTCCTTACGAAAATAGACTTCATTTCACTTGTATTTGCACAAGTTGTGTTTAATTTCAGATTTATTATTGGAACTTCAAACTTGACTTATTTACACATTCGTATTCTATAGTAATAATATCTTTAAGACAATACAATTCATTTTTTTCTTCTTTATAGGTGTAGTAGAACCATTTTCTTCATTAAATTGTGAAATTGTCTATTATCCAAATATTAACACGACAATGGAGGGTAAATTTCATTTAAATCTACTAGATGTCAATGAAAACCAATCTAATACATTGTCGACAACAATAAATAAATTTGATAATAATCACAAAATATTGGAATTATCATGTATTGCAAAATTATTACCTAGTAAATTATCATTTTCTACACGTCGACTACCACTTGGATCAGTTGCTCATGGTCTACCTTGTACACGTCAGATAACTATATTTAATTTAGGACAAAATCCTATTCTATTTTATATTAACCAAGAATTTAAAAGTGCTGTAAATCATAACGATAGTATTCCATCTTATATGCATAGACTATCAAGAGCTTTACCAGCAAGAGTTGAAATTCATGTCAGTCCAGTAGAAGGGGAAATACCAGTTGGTGGTGAGACTAATTTAAAGGTAATGTGTTTTGTTGTAAAACACTTTTCTTGTTGTATAAAATGTTTTTGACTAAATTTCAGGGACTTGTTAAGTACTTTAAATGCAGTATGATCCCTAAATAATTTTAAAATTCACTTGGTTACTTTAATATTTTTTATAGGTGTATCTAAATATTACTGTATACTTGATTTAAGCTTGATGAACATCTAGTTAAAAGTAATCTTATTTCCTTATGTTTTCTGATTCAAAACTTTAATAGACTATAAACTCATTATTGACCTTCTGTGGTTTACTTAATTGAGTATTTAAGAAACACATACAGATAATAAATCTTATTGTTTCGCTGATAGTGTCTGAGAAATATCTAACTTACTAGTATCAGTTCACTATTTTTACTACTTGAAAGGTTTTGCTCCTTTGTTCATTGACGGATTCAGTACTACAACCAGTGTTTATATAAGACATTTTCTTGTCGTATCTTGTATTGTGATTTTTAAGTACCATGTTACAATATATCGTTTTCTACTGATTTTGAATGTTTCTTTTACTTTTTAAGGGAATTATTGTAAACTTGAATCATACGATGTAGCTAATCCTCTTTAAAGGGCGTTTGACATCGTTTTATGAGCTTTGCTGAAAGTAGTTAATCACACGACCACCCATCATCTTTATTCTGGATCATCGGAAAAACTAAACTTGATCTTCTTGAGTATTTATAATGTTCGAACATACCGATGTAGAGTGTATTTGACCAATTCTGAATGGCATATTGGAATACCATCTCGGTACAAGACTTTAAAGTTTCACTTTTGAAATGAGATATTCAAACAAGCGCACTGTTCTGGTGACATATAGTAAGAACAGCAAATTGTAATTCATCAACGTTTAGTTGGTTTGTGAACATTTTTGATCAGTGTACATCGAACTAATTAGGCGCAGTCACTTAATTAGTTTACTTCATAGTTCTATCGAGTTAAGCTATCTACTTCTTATGTAGACAATAAAGAATTCCCTTGTCTGTCCATGAAAGCTTATCTTTCCAAAACGACTCAACTTAATAACACCTTCAGTTTCGAACTAAATATCATTAAGTAAAAATTGTTCATTAAAAGATACTTATATCAAGATTAGAATATGAAAGCTAAAGTTTAGAAATATATTCTATAAATCATTTTAACAGGCTCTTCAATCCTTTAAAAAATCTGACGTTCTTGTTTGTACTAGAACACATGAATAAACTTCTGCATATATTTATTATGTTTATATTGATTGGGTTGAGTTAATATCTTTATGTCGCAGTTTACTGTCAGTATTATTTCAATTGTTTGCTTGATACGAGAAATGTGATTTTACCATACTCATGTAACATTAAAAAATTATATTTCTCCAGTTTGATAATGCATATTGCAATTTAGTTTGGAAGTTACCTACCAACTAGATCCTGTAAAATAATTAGAAAATACGCATATCTTTAGAAAGCTTTTCTTAACATATTATTTGTAGAACCTATTTTGCCATGACACACAAGAAAAAAATTATTCAGGGTAAAAGTTGGTCAAAAGTTAAATCTGAAACTATTCGCTACGTGTTAATACCTTTACGGTATTCACTGATCACTATATTAATAAACCAAAAATAGGAATATGAAGAATTAGGCGGTAACAAAAGGCCTCTTAAAGTTTATACATGAGGATACTTACGAAAAAGAAATTGCAATTTTGAGTTTATATAAAAAATATTACACAATACTTTCAAAATAACTGTGAAACGGTTGTGTTCATTAAAAATTCTAATAAGTTGCCAATAGTGACGTAATTTTAATGGAAAGTTATTTACAGTGGAATTGGAGAATATGTTTAGCAGGGAAGAAGAATAATGAGTTTGAATATGTATTTTGATGATAATGTAAATCAATACATGATTCAAATTACTGACTGTGTTTACAAACAACGATGGAATAAATAAAAATTATGATACAAAAATGCATTTAGGGGCCTGTATCTGACTCCGGTTAGATCGTATAATCGATTGCTATTGAAATATATATTTCACATATCCTCGCATATTTCATCGACTTAAATTGCGTCAGTGAATAACGGAATTAAATAAGCCAAATACGAGAATGGCTTTTGAATACATATATCCTGTGCACTCATTGATCTGAACAAGACAACAAAGGAATGAACAGAAGAAAAGATAACGAAACAAAAATGACACGCATTGGAGATGGCGGATAAGCCAACTCACTTTTATCAAGCGTCAATCAGTATTTATAGCCGGATAAAAATAAGTTATTGACATGTGGTGAATAGGATAAGAAGTGTACACACATACGCTCATATAAAAATAGTCAAGATTAATAAGTGAATAATTAACAAGGTCAAAACGTGACTCAAGATGGATGGGTAAATGGACTTGTTCAGAAGCTAGAATAAGGTATATGAGCTTAACATAGCAACCGACACTACATACGTACGGTCAAACTGATCATCCGTATACATAGTCGATCGAATGTCTGAATTTCTGTAAGCAGGTTATGAAAATATAATCAGCGTTTCTTTACTTTTTTGTATGTCCTGGCAATGTATGTTATACAAATTAAAGTTTGAGAAACGTTTCTGTTAAAAATCAGACCTAGACTTACCGGAAAAGATTTGGTGAACTAAGAAAAATGTAAAAGCCTGATTTTGTGGTCGTCACAGTATGACCACATCAGGCCGACTGAGTATATATGATCTTGTTGAGTTTTTCTAATTTATATAACGATGATAAAATGAATTCTAGAGCAATGTGATAAATACTTTGCATTTTGTACTTTGATTATAAGTAAGAAAATGGTTCCAGCGTTCCATTGTTTTAAGAGAAAAAGATTGTTTAGGTGGAGAACGTAAATAATTTAATAAACGAACTTCCGATTTTCAAAATCTATGAACAGACTGCTGATCGATAGACGAACATAATGACACTATCTGTGCCACTCAAGACATAATTCCCCAAATAATCTGAAGTCGAAAACAAGATCACTTGTTTAAAAAATAAGTTTTTTTATTGATATAATAACATACTTTTACACAAAGTTTGAACATGAAATAAATATGGTATGATGTAATAAGCGATTGAAGGAAATTAATTTGTAATTCATTCACGTGGAGAACTACGAAAGCCATCATCCAGAAGATACGAGTGTTTATTAACAGTTGTCTACATAAGATAGTTCGGATCCGTTGATCAGACACTATCAGCAACAAGTTACTGTGAGAGAAAACAAACCAGATTCCAGCGGAGGAAGAAATCAGGAAGAAGCGCTGGAAGTGGATTGGGCACACTTTGAGGAAATCATCCAATTGCGTCACAAGACGAGCCCTCACATGGAATCCTGAAGACCAAAGGAGGAGAAGAAAAAGACCAAAGAACACATTACGCTAAGAAATAGAGACAGACATGAGAAGAATGAACAAAAAATGAATAGAACTAGAAAAGAAAGCCCAGGACAGAGTGGATTGGAGAATGCTGGTCAGCGGCCTATGCTCCATTTGGAGTAACAGGCGTAAGTAAAGTAAGTAAGTCATTCACTCTCCAATCATTTAAGACCAGACTGTAAGAGATAATCCTTGAACATCGTATCAGAGAAAAACACATAAATCCCGAGGGATACTGATATTTATTTCAGAATTACTTTATCAATCTTCTTTCACAAATTAACCAGTGTCCGTGTATATGCCGAACATATTAATTTATTTATCAGTTACAAGGTGTGAACATGACTATATTCAGCATAAAATAACTAATCGTGCACTAGGACATCAGAGATGAAAACTTCAGAGATCTTACACTAAGCAGTGCATTTACTGTGCTCAGTTCTATGATATTTACTGGACCAACATATGGTTATAATATTTTCCTGATAGTTGGAAGTTCAGTCAAATGTTCACGAGATGGTGTAAGATAAATATTACAGTGAGCGAATATAACTTGATATTGCCGATCTTAAACAAAATCGTCTTTCCGCACAATATCTGTATCCATTTAACTTATCAGAAAAATGTCATTCAATATTAATTTATTCTTTCATTTAAAATTAAGGTCACCTGTATACCGATTGGATTAGGCAAATTTGAATCGTCTGTGACATTAAGTACATATGATGGTCAGGATTTTAGTTTATCCGTATGTGGAACTGTACTTAGACCACAAATTCAGTTAGCTCCAAACACTTTCGAATTTGGTGGTAAGTCTAGATATTCAGAATTTTTTTCTCTCTATGTGCTCACTTTTTTTCATTGAAAGTAATAATATCAATTATAACCAAAATACATGGATAGGAAATTATTCCTCTTGTTTTCGTCTTGTAGGTGTTAATTTTGATTGTGCTCTACAAAGGAGACAATTCAAATTCATTGAACTATGCGTTTTGTAAACCAAAAAAACCCAATAATCTTAGTTAAGTAAGATAAGTTTATTTGTAGCGAAGGAGAACGCAAGTGGGAACAATGGAATGTAATTAAATATAAAACTACGTAATATGTTAGTAAAATCTGAGAACCATACAGTAAATTCTTCATTTACAAAATGTCAATCAGTTGTCTCAAACTTCAACATTCTTTCGTTTGAATGATTGTTTCAAAATGATTAGTAAAAATAGATACTAGTAGTGGTTCAATATATAATCTATGTTCCCTTTAAATTGGCATGTTAAGAAAATATTTTGATCAAAAGTCCCCGTTACATTAAAGCGCCGTTCCTTGAAAAAGTTTGCCGATTACGCAATTTTCGGGACAGTTACTTAGCGTAAGCAATGGATGGGGGTTGCACAATATCTTCAACTGATTAAAGTTGAATATTAAAATCACTAGGTCCCGGTTTAGTAGTCTATAAAATAACCGTCTGCACTTGAGACTGAAGGTCGTGCGTTTGATTTCCAATTGCAAGTTCACGGATCCCCACGACTTAGGATATCCGATCTTGGACGAAATATTTACAAAGTGCTTTCACGTTTCCAACGTTAGTTTAACTAGGATCAGTTCATGATTTAAACTACAAAAATAATAAACTTGTTAATGATAATACTTTAACTGGGAAATTCTCAGTTATGATAATATGAACTGAACAGGTAAATATATATCAGTCAGATTCAGTCTTTTATGTAATGACAGAATCATTGATTTGGTGAACCTTATGAGAAATCATTTAGAAGAATATTTTTTCTCGTTTATAACTTTACTTTTTGCTCAAACATTACAACAGGCAGTATCATTTTGCTTTATTTTTTTCAGGTGTCAGAATCGGTTCAATGAAATCTCTTCCATTTGAGATTATCAACAATGGTATTACACGTGTATTAGTAGAAATACAATTAAAGAATTTTGATGAATTTCATATATCTGATAATATAAATTCATCTTCATTAGATGAATATATGAATGAACAATTTTATACTACTGATAGAAGTCATTCAATTAATAATAAATTAACTTATTCTTCATATTCTGAAGAATTCGATAATACATCTATAAATACTATGAAAGTTCCTCATTCTATCAGTTATTTAGAGTGTGATAAATTAAATTGTCTTTATCATATTTATATACCACCTCAAAGTAAATGGATTGGTTATCTAATCTATAAGCCTAAAGATGTACGTTTTTTTCTATTCTAACATAATGTAACTATTAAAATTTTGCATAGTTTAAAACTAATTAATATAATTAATGGCATGATCCTGAAAATTTTCGTTACCAGTGGTTGAAGATGGCAAAAGAACCAGGAGATGACTGGGTGAAACATGCAGGAATTGTAAACCGAGAATGTGAGAGGCTCAAGTTGTCTTCCATGACTTAAGATCAGTTTAAATGTCTAGTAATAATGAAATAAGCTAAATAGATTTATTATTGACTGGTATATAGGTATCATTACCAAAGTTTGATTTGTTAATTCCGAATAAATTGAGCATTGGGTTGATTTGTAGTGTCAGTTGCTATGTTAAGCTCATATACCTTATTCTAGCTTCTGAACAAGTCCATTTACCCATCCATCTTGAGTCACGTTTTGACCTTGTTAATTATTCACTTATTAATCTTGACTATTTTTATATGAGCGTATGTGTGTACACTTCTCATCCTGTTCACCACATGTCAATAACTTATTTTTATCCGGCTATAAATATAAATTGACGCTTGATAAAAGTGAGTTGGCTTATCCGCCATCTCCAATGCGCATCTTCTTTGCTTTGCTCGCTGATATTTGCTCATGTGCTTATAACATTCTGGCCTGCGTTATTTGACAATAAACTGTATCTGCCACTTCTCTTTGCCTTCTGATTCTATTCACCGTTAAGACTTGTATTATAACGGTTATCGAGGTGAACGAATAAAGAAGCACGGCACTACAGATTGTTGTAAATAAAAATAATATATTTGTAATATCCCAATAAGTAGAAAAATTTAACTTTCTGACGTTTCGTGACTCAATGTAAGTCCCTTCTTCAAAGAAAAATGACCAAATCAAAATTAGTCCACGTTCAAATATTATTGCTTACTACTGAAGAAGTGGCTTACACTGAGTCACGAAACGTCAGAAAGTTAAATTTTTCAACTTATTGGGATATTACAAATATATTATTTTATTCAATGGTATATTCTAAATCTGTCTTATTAATATTTATTTAACATTGGAAAGTGAGTTTTTAACACAGAGATTTAAATGACCAATTTTGGGTAAATTACATGATGAATATATTTTTCACAACTTAGTGTAAGTCACTTCTCTAGATAACATGTAATGCAAGGACTAAATTACATACATTAGTTAGCATGTATAAACAAGTCTAGTCATGTTGCACTGTTATTAGTGATTTTATTTGGTAGTTTTCAATGTTTACAAAATAATTGAGTTATCTTCTTATATAGCTTAAATTTCCTTTAGCATGGGTCAAGATTCCAAGAGAAGACTCTTCAGTATAAAGTACATCCCATTACACATAATGTAATCTATAGATAAAGTTCTGTCTTTTATTTGAATTGAGGCATTTCGAAATTTGTTAATTATCCTGTAAGAAGCTTTAATTCTTAGTAAAGGATTCTTTGTAGTTCGGTCTTACCTTGAAAGATACAGTAAAACTACAATGATAATCTATAATATTTTTAACTATTCTTCATCCATAAACATGCCGTTGCTACTTTGTTATATTTCTAACAATATTCGTTGGAAAATTATTCATTGTTGATTAGCATTAAAATCAATTAAATAACAATTAGGCCATTTATTATGTTGTTAGTTGCTACTTGAAATTTCCGAAATGACCATAACCGTTGGGTAATATAAGTGTTTGTTAACGGTTTTGTGATCAAATCACATTACATTCAATCGTTACATTGTACATTCATACTTCTATTTCAGCCAGTCACAACGTATTACCTGGTACATATGTACCATTGTGACTTTTAGTTTTAATATAAGGAAGATAATGATTTCAAAGTGAATGATGCACATTAAATTAGATCTGTAATATAACCATTACATTTTGAGATTGTAATTAATACATGAAGTACAGTCGATGAGAAATAGTTTTTTTTCAATGGGTTAACTTTTATAAACTGAAGTTGATTGAAAAGTTATTTTTTTAAGAACTTTATATCGATTGTTTCATCATCTCCAAATAATCTAAACTTAAAAAGATTAATAGTTGAGATCATGAATCACTTGAAGTTAGACCACCATGGAGAACCTGAAAGCATCTTCTGTTCATGTCCTAGTGTTATCACCTTCTGCATTAAATGAACAGTCTCAATAGAGACAATTTCAAATGAATCTCATATTGTTGTTCTGTACAATCTAATTTTACTTGAATAGATTCGATACACGTTTATAGTGATTTAATTAGATTATCGTTTTTGTTTATTTAAATACAGGTCTCATTTCATGATTTTGTACTTCCATTACTTATAAATAAACTTAATCCAAAACTTTTAAGTCAAAAATCTGATGATACCAATAATATTAATGTTAATACTGAAGAAGAAACAATAATTGATGGTGAAACTGATTTAAAAATATCTATTCAAGATTATGAACCTAGAGTGATAGCTACAGCATTAAGACAACCTATTGTCATTGAACCTCAAAATGGTATACTGAAATTTATTACTACATTAGATGATAAAGTTTCAGACTCAACAAATGTTTTATATCAGGTAAGTGACTTCTTTGATCATTAATACAGTTTTTCAAGTAGATAAGTCGATATTTTATTCTATAAAGTTTGATATTATGACTATTTCTAATAAGGATTATGAATTAACTTCCGGAAAAACGATGACGATTACGTTAATACTAAAGCCATGTGATGTTGCAACATCATTTGAAAGATATTTTTTTGTTTCGAACAACTTACACAAAAATTATATGAAAGTAACTAATTAACAACAATTGGATAGTACTAGAAAGGAATGCTCAGGACAGAGTGAGTTAGAGAATGCTGGTCGTTGGCCTATGCTCCATTGAGAGTAACAGGCGTAAGTAAGTAAGTAACTAATTACATTTCAAAAGTTTATTTATTTTGATCTTGCCACTGTTGAATATGTATATCGAACCACTGTTTTGAAAAGAAATTTCATAAAACCTATTGTATAACTAAGTGAAAGGAACTTAAATATTTTGAATTCACTTAGTATTGTTTGTTTGAATCTTCCCATTGATGCTTTTAGGACTGCAACTGGTCAGTCTCTAATTGGCATATGTGCATACTGTGCGTATTGCCTCGATATAACCTTAATTCACAAGCATTGTAAGCAAAAATGGATAGTGGCTAGCAGTGGAATCCAGGATGCACGTTTCGTCCTATTTGGGACTCGTCAACTGGATGTACCTGCATCTCAGAGTTGATGTTCACTCTGGGACTCGAACCTAGTACCTTTCGCTTCCAGCTCCGTTGCCAGTTGCAGTTCTAAACATCGACGGGAAGATTCAAACAAACAATATCAAAAGAATTGAAACTTCACTCCATTGCACAAGCAAGTGGCTATCAGAACTCAGTAGCTGGATGGATAACGCGATGGCATTTGAAGCGAACGCTACTTGGTTTGAGTCGCACAGTGAACATGAACTATGAGATGCAAGTACATCCATCTGACGAGTCCCAAATAGGACGGAACGTGCATCCTGGATTCCACTGCTAGCCACTATCCGTCTTTGCTTTCTAAATATTTTAGTATATATTGTTAACAAAGTAATAAAGTTCCATGTTTGATCATACGTCTAAACTATTAATGAGTTTGTAGGTATCCATTCCATGGTTGGAACTAATAGCTTCAAATAAATTGAACAACTGGTAGAAACGTATTACTGAATATTTATTTTGTGATATCTGAATGAGTAGAAAATTGTATTTCTGACATTTTGTGACTTAATTTAAGCGACTTCTTCAGAGTTAATAAATAACCGAAATAAGATTAACACAAGTTTAAACAGTGTGTATGAAAAAAATTGCTTCCTACTAATCGGAATATCACAAAAAATTTACGTATTATCACATATCATAGCGTTTAATATCTCTGAAACTGTGATGTTTAGACTTAAATTTATGTACAAAAAGACGGTTCTGATATCGAATGTTGATACATCGACTTACATACTTTTGCATTAAATTCAACATTGTTGATAGCTAACTGTCAAATACCCAAACATTTATACTTTAATAAACTTATCCTTCTCCATTTATAACATTTACTAAAATCTATACTTATTACTGTAAAGTTAAACTAATTCGAAAAACTACTCATCTCAGTGTCACTAGTAATTCACAAGATTTGAAATAATTCCAAAGGTATCTCATATCTTCATTAGTTAAAGTAATTTGTGACCATAGAAGAATGTTAACTGTTTGATTTCACATTAAGATTCGCACTTTTCATAAACCAATAAGTGATTACTAATATTTACAAAACTAGTCTAATGTAAAGAAAATGTCTTTTACACAAATGTGTAAATATTGAAGGGACACAAACTGAGTTGATTAAAATGCCATAATGCCTTTGTATTAAATACCAACTGTTAGTGAGATTTAAACCTCAGTATTTTTTTGACTATAATGGCTTCTACAGAGTAGTCTGGTCAAGGTAACTAAGTAATATTATTCTTTGGTGCTTTACACTTTATAAATAAAAGGTTTGAGATATTTAACAAGATACTCCATCCTTTATACTTACATTTCCAGATCAAATAGTGTTAGCAATTCATAAGGTCATACTTTAGGGAGAGAGTTTGAGATAAATTATAGGTCAAGAAGCTTTATAATTTCATGACAGTTAATGCCACTGGGTTATTAAAATATCTTAGTATCGTAGTCAATTATAAAGTATTCTATTTGAATCGTTTTTATACGTATTATAGATAGCTTAAAGATCTTTGTGTTGAAACTGGAGTGACTTTTACTGATTAAAGTCTTTTCAAGAAGTAAATATTGTTAAAAGAACTGTGAAATCAAATTCTTAAACAGAATAATACTAATAGCATTGATTAAACTACACATTACGTACTCATCTCATGGAAATTAGAACATACAAACTGCTTTCATATGTTGTATGTATATGTTTTAGCATCTTTGTATAAAGTCACTAACCAATTTACCAATGAAATGGCATTTAGCCATACATAAAATTCAACGTTTCAATAAACGTGCCCATGGAAAATTGACCATATTCAATGCTCAAGGCATAGAAATAATGCCTGATTTAGATGGTTACATTAATGGGGATTTTGCAGAAAATAATGATAGAACAATTCACCTTGAAATTAGATTATATCCAAGTAAGTAAAATTAAATTTTTTCCATTGGAGGAGAGCATTCACTTACTTTTAAAGTAAACGTTCTTTACTTTGCACAATTTATTTCAAATAATCTTGTTATTCCAAACACTATCAGATGCTCTGAAGCGATAATCTGTTATCGCTAATGTTTTAAAGTGGACCTACTATTATCATATCAGATAATTTTATCACTTTAAATGTTGGAAGTCGAAGGTAAAATTGACAAGACTAATTAGCTTAAAATGAGAGAGACTATTCATCATTACTTTTTACTATCATGCTCTCTGCATAAAAGTTATTTTGTTTTTCAGGAGTATTTGTGTCATAAACCTAGTTATGTTTTTTCGTAACCGTGACTGCCCAACAGTTATTTATACCTGCGTTCTACTGTATGTAATTTGATAGTTGATTTTTAAAATCCTCAAGACATGTTTAGTCTCAATAATATTTTACACTACCTATAACTGTTTATCATTGTATTTGTAAGGACGGACTCTAGGAAGCCTCAAGAAGCCCAGAAAGAGCCGCAAACATTCTATCCAATCACTGCTAGGGGAATATTCTAGAATGTCGGCGTGTAGCTTCCCCATTGGATGGATAAGAATGACCCCTATTCGCCTATTGGTTGTCCGAAATGATGATGTTCAAGTAGTCTAGTAGTATGCGGCATAGTAAGAATTAAGGCTCTAGATATAACAGTATTATTTACAAAACATTCAACGAAGCCGAAACTCATAGGGTTATGATTGTTGCAGGTTTCAATTTCAATGGTAACGTTACACAACATTAACTAGAGAACAAATAAATTGTTTCAAGCAGTCTTAAATTTCTCCTTAACACTCCAATTCATCCGAACTTAAAAGTAGATCCCAAGTAATTATACACGCGTTATATATTTGTAACTAAGATAAAAACTTATAAACATTGTCATGATGTTTATAGCACTTAGTCCCCTTGACGAATTTCGATAGTGCAATAAGAAGACGAAGATTATCAGAACTATGTTATATATTAGCGCAATACATTTCAAACACTCTGATCACACATATACTTGTTAAGAACATTTATATATACAAATAATTAATCAATTAGACTAGAAATAGAGGATAAGAGAAGACAAGGATAATAAAGAAAATATTGTGAAAACAGTTTGAAACCTGATCACTTTGAATAATAAGCTAATATTACCAGGGTAGATTTAGGGTAAAAACAAACTGTTTTTGAATACAAAAAATGGGTTTGAATTTTCGTATGGCTAAGGCTTCAATGAACCTAATGTATAACACCAAAAAAGCCGAGTTAAGATCAATCTCATGCCCTGTTTCAATTATATCTTTGGCAATGATGACATTATTAATATATCCTCCTTTCTAGTTAAACCAGGATCTTTTAAGTTAGAACTTCCAGTTTGCTTAACATTTCCTGAAGATTTAAACAGTGAACAAAGTCCGAAATCCAATTCTTCACTTTATAAAACACTTCAAATTCATATTGAATTAAAAAAATTGGAGTTGAAATTTGAACCAGAAAGAATATTAATACCACCCATTCCAACTGGAATAAATGTTAGAATACCAGTCAAACTGACAGCTTATCAAATGAATCAACCAATTAAAATATTTGGATTTTGGAATTTTACACCAGCATGTGAAGCTCAATTAATTAATGAAGAAAATATCCAATGCCCATTTAATATTGAATACCCGGAAGGTCAAAGTAAGTTTTAAAAGGCTGAATAAAATTATCGATCAAAAATATCTTGAAATGAAATAAAGTCTGTTTGCGCTTATATGAACTGCTATATCGATTGATGTGCGTGCGTGCCCTGTTTAACACATGATTTGATGATCCCCGCCAATCAGAGAGAAGTGAATTATCGATCAGAGCTATGATACACTAATAGCCGTATGAGCAGTCTTGAGTACTTATCAGTCCTCTTTTCTGCCTAGCCCAACCAGTTAAATCGAGAACACCAATAACAGCCTCTGCAATATGAATCATTATTCTCATACATACTGGGTTTATATACCAAACAAACTGACCACATCGTACCATAAAATAGAAAATAACATTTGTACAAGAGAGCCGAATATGGCTGTGAATAGGGAGAACAGTAATTAATGAACTAGGGATAACTCAGGAATGTTAAATTGTATAATAATAGTCTTTAGGTCAAAATAAAGCTTATAATAAGAGGGACACGAATATGAATAGTTTGAAATTATACAATAGGAAATATACATATTACATTGGTCCATAAATAGTCCTCAAAAGTTACCATTCATAAATCTCCACGGGATATAACATGAACTAAAAGCATTTACTCTTAAATATTATTTGCATTCCGAAAACTATCAATCAATAAGTAATTTGCGTGAAATTGGTATTTTTTTCTCTTTCTGCAGTGTGATCATTATTACTTTAACCAAATATTCCGAAAAGTATCACAGAACTTCGTTTTTCCGTAGAACTTACTTCGTATACCACGAAGCAATAGGTTTATAATGTGGATACATTTCTTACTGTTGATTTCAAGTTAACAAACTAAAATTCACTAGGTTATGCTAGGTAATAGAAAGCATAGAAAATTCTATACCTGACTCGTTCAAATTATGCATTTTAGAAGTGCTCGAAATCTTCATTTGAAGTGTAACCTTTTGTTGATGTTGTGTTCCCTGAGTTCGTTAGTTTAATTATAGTTTTAACTGTTCTTCTGGATAACACCTACACGGCCTACGTCTACATGAAGATGTTCAGAATTACAATGACCATCTAGCTTGATAAACACACAATCAAAAACTATTCGAAGTTTAATGGCCTCAAGGAGTTATATATATATATATATATTCAATTCAGATCAATCTAGATTATAAAAAAAGAAAACGTTGTTTTGTGGCACATAATAACAACGGTGAATTATTCGTCTCGTAGGTAGTTAGTCTAGTAGGTGAAATTAAATATACTGTGGTGTGGGTTACTTATATCCACATAAATATTATATGACGATGGTCAGGCATACAATGTTTTTCAGCAGAAGATCGATAAGAAAAGAAGGAGAACGAAAGGCAATTTGTATAAAAATGCATGAACAGTAAAATTGAAGACGACGGACTGATATTTGCATAAGGAATGGTCAAAATTGCGACAATTTATAGATAGTTTGCAAATTAATTATTCACTGTATGGTTGTCAGATTTTAGTGAGATGTTCTGTAATTTTGGTGTCAAATACATTTGACTGTCTCCATTCGTGTTCTTGTTCACTACAATACTTCTTCTGGTTACAGAAAGAAATTATTGATATTGATATCTTATAATTAAAACGACACAGAATACTGCACAGTAAACAAGCACCGTGTCATTTTTTCTGTCTCTTTCTGTTTCTACTAAACAACTCATCAATATCTCTAATTCTTCTTTTCTTTGATAATTTACAGTTCTGAAGCCATATTGTAACTCATCATTTCCTGATACAGGAAGTTTAAATTTATGTGTTAATTTTAATTGTAAATTAAATGGTCTTATTCTAGCACCCAATCCAAGACCATTATGTTTAATCATAATTGCAATCATCGATAATTGTGATAATAATGAAGCATGTTACTCATCAAACAAAAGTCAAAGAGATCATTTTTTATCATCATATGTTTGTTCAGCTGCCTTACCTGTTAGTGCAGCTGTTGACAATTGTCTGATCAGTTGGTTTGATTATATAACACGTCGACCAAATGAGTTTAGACTTACTGATTATCAAGTAAGTTAATGATTGTGTATGATTACAATTTGTCTTCTTTCTGATGAAAATAGATTTTTATCAAGTACTAACATCTGATGAGAGATCTAATGACATTTCGTTAGATTATTATGACTCTGATAACGATATAATTTACTTTTAATTAGAATTCGGTTACAAGATATCGTTACTCAGTTTACCTTCTAGTTCTGGCTACTCTAAGAGGTAAATGTGGCAAGGAAGGTTTATCAACAGAGAGGAAAATACTGTTAACCATTAGAATTCATCTCAGTTTATACAAACTCAATTTATTGGCTATCGATAAAAAGATTTTCACAACGAGCAATGGGCACACAAATTTTAATGTAAATGAATATTATACTGCACAAATGAAAAATCACACTGAATTAGTTGTTACAAATGAAAGCTGTATTGAACTTATACATAAATCAAATGAACCAATATCTTACTAAATCAGTACATGAACCTACGTCTGAATTCTTCTAAATAAGTATTACATGGAGAGGTCACCATCCCTAAAATTTAGTTATTCTCTACAAAATACCACCAAAATTAACCAAACTAAGAGTATTTCTTTAAAGTTTAAATGTGTAAATATATATGCAGCTAGTAACAAAATTTCAAGCTATGAAATACATTTGACATTATCTAAACCAAATGAAAATTTGCATAGAATTAAACATATAAACTAAAGAGTAGATACAACAACTGATAAAAACTAAACCAAACAGCTTTTACAGGGTATAAATACATCAGTATTATCGACACGTAGGCTCTACTGAATTAATGAACAACACCAGTACAGAAAGTCATTGTAAAGCAGTTTTAAACTGTCACGAAAAACAGACCTCCTGGTTACAGTCCTCGGGGTAAATGTAATCCATACCTTCCACTTACACTTTTCAAGTCATATTTTTTGTCTTTGCCCATCCATAAACTATCGTTCATAATTGCACTACATAAATAAATAGCTATTTCATTCTAATTTCTTTCTTTTTTCTTAGTATCTTAGAAATAAACTGAAAGAAATAAAACAGAATCGAGACCTAGATATTATTTCACTATATCACTTATTTGATGAATTAAAGCTTTCACAGAAAGAATGCTTAAACTTAGAGAATATGTCTTCTGATCAAAGCTCTTCAATAGGAAGTAATACATATTGGAAGGCCGATCAATATTGTTTAAACGGTATCAGAAATACACGAAATAACATTTTTGATATTTCAGAAAGTATGTTTATTACTTATATGTGACAAATTTTATTCTGAATAAACAGAAAAGTAAAAATTTTCTAAAATGACCTCTATAAAAACACTAAACAGTGCCCAGCGTTGATTATTAACGCGGCATAAAAGGAAACTTTAGGGATCTGTTAGAGGCCTTTCAGACAACTTGGTCGACAAAGATTTGTGATCTCATTGCCAGATTAAATAAAACATCATCTATCAGTGTGAATCAGCTTGAACTAATATTCAACGATAAATATTCCATTCTTGTATGTAATGATGAAAGTAACTTTATGATCGTTCATTCTCATTAGGATTTTCCTAAACCAAAAATCCCCTATCACATTTATTTGCATCTAATGAGAGCACTTAGATGTCATACAGTTTGTGCCTATCAGACAAATGACAATACACTAAACTGGATTAACTCGATGACCATTTTAACAATTATGCAAAGATAGTAGCAGCAGTGGAATCCAGGACGCGCGTTTCGTCCTATTTGGGACTAGTCAGCTGGATGTACCTGCATCTCATAGTTGACGTTGACTCTGGGACCCGAACCCAGTACCCAGTACGATTATCAACAGTCAAACATTGCCAATATTGATACATTGCACTGCAAAATATGACTGTAAACTGTGTCCTCCAATTATCCCACTTAAATAACCATACGTCCGACCCAAGTACTGCGTGTATTTAATGGGGCTTTCAATGTTGTGGTTGTGCATCATGTGAAGTATCCAGAACATTTATTTTTCATAGTGAACTGCTGACTTCTGTAATATGGGGTTATTTTGGAAAAAGCAATAAGTTTTCTGGTAATCTGGTTGCGAAATAGTTGCCATATATGGTCACAGTGAATGTTTGTTTTCTATCTTCATACAATCTAGATAGCCATATGTTTCAAATCAACAGCCCACATTTTATGTGGCATATTACAAATGGTAACACAGTAATTCAGATACATGTTCCATGTAATAGTCCTTCTGACAATGAAACATCCAACTGAAGTTCATTTCTTTGTTCCCTTCTATTAATAAATCATTTTACTCTCTTTTCACTTTGGTTTACGACCCTCATATATCATATGGTGCCTCAAGTACTTGAAGCTTCTTCGTATTCCTTATTCTATTAGTCATGTAAAATATGATGTATAGCATGATTGGACGTTAAGCTTACACTTCTTGATTGATGTGCCTTAGATAACCACCGCTGAATTATCTCCCTACTGTAGCAAAAATAATGATCAATAATTTATCTATGCAATTCTTTAGTTCATAAATTCACTAGCATATTTTTTGTATTACAGGTCCATTTATTCATCGAGATCATTCAAAAGACTTTGAAGATAACAATGAGATGAGGTGACTATGGATTATTACTTCACATTAATAGTTTTCTATTAACAACATATCATTCTTCGTGTTAACAATGCTTATTTTCTAATACTTAATAATCATTGGCCTCGAGAGATTATACTCAACAGTGTGTTGCTTTATTTGAAGTTATGCCTATTTCCAGGCACTCACCTTTATACTTCTAACACCATACATTTGACACATTCTAAAAGAAACTAGCCTTGGATCATACGTCTGGCATATGTCTGGCGACAGTACAAAGCGCTGAATTTTAATTCAGAGGCTTCAGTTATGTTTGGAAGAAAAATATATATGCATACAGCTGATAAATCTCATGCACGACTTAAATATATGTATACTTACAGGGTATATTATCAAGACATAGGAACAAGTGCAGTAATTTGTCAAATATACCTGATTTTACAAAGCTGTTTTTTTTTTATAAAAAATATCTAATCGTGAAAAATCTTTTTTTCTACGTTTTGTTTAGCAATGATTATTTAAACCTTCCAGACTATATATCTGAGATACGTAGTTAACTGATATATTCATGAAAATCCAAGTGATATCAAATTTGTACTACGAACAAATGATTTTTCCCTTTCTTGTATGCTTAGCTTCATTATCATATTGTAGTGAACAAGAACACGACTGGAGACAATCGAATGTATTTTAGCACAACATTACAGAATATCTCATTAAAATATGAGAACCATATAGTGAACAGTTAATTTGCAAAATAACAATCAACTGTATCAATCTTGATTGTTCCTTCTGCAAATATCCGTCCATAATCTCCGATTATAATTGTTCATGCATTTTCGTACGAATTGCGTGCCGTTCCCGTTCTCTCCTTATCGATGTTCTACTGAAATACATTCAATGCCCGACCATCGTAATATACTACTTATGTGGACATCAGTAACCCACACCACAATATAGCAGAAAAGAACATTTATTTCAAAAACTACACTATTTACTCCATGTGAACTATGATGTCGTTTTAGCACATTTTAAATCTCCTAGAGATAAGATGCCAAATATCAAGAGTACATTTCTGTTGATGCATTTTTTAAATTTCAGAATATCCCCATCCACAATTTCTTCAACAATAACAAATTCTTATGGATCATGTTTATTTCTACCAGATTGGCAATTAATTGATCGAACAGCAACAGAACAAGTACAACGTTGGTTAAGTGTTCATGGATTTCCAAAAAGTCGTTATCAATTTAAGTTTCCAGATGATTTTAGAAAGTAATAAATTGTGTATTTCACTTTGTTTTGTATTAAGTGATAAGTTACAAATTTTTTTTACTAAATGATGATTATATTGCTAAATTGACTCATCACCATCTGTTTGGAATCAATCGTAATCAGTCGTAAAACCGACATATTAGTGTAGATCCTAGATGAATTAGGGCGATATCGAGACAATACGCATAGCATGCACATATGCCAATAAGAGACCAGTTGCAGTCCTAAACATCAGTGGGAAGGTAGACCCAAACAAACAATACCAAGTGAATTTCAACTTTACCCCATTGCACAACCAAGTGGCTATCAGGAATCAGTAGCTGAGTAGATAACGCGATGGCGTTTGAAGCGAAAGGTACTGGGTTCGAGTCCCAGAGTGAACATCGACTCTGAGATGTAGGTTCATCCAACTGACGAGTCACAAATAGGACGAAACGTGCATCCTGGATTCCACTGCTAGTCACTATCCATCTTTGGTTAGAGGAATACTGTTTAAAATTCACAAAGACAATCGAAAATTCATCAAAATATCAATTTCCCTAATGCGAATATAACTTGTTATAATCACATCAAGTAACATTTAGATAATGAAGAAATTTTAACTCATGCATATTTTTTTAATGAAACTATCGTTACCTTTAAATTGTTGGTATACACTTTATGATCAAATCAAGTAATTAATTGATAAGAGCATTACTCTTGGAAAGTATACATAACAATGAATTAGTCACTGAAGCACTCAACCCTCAATTTTGAACCTTACCATATTCATGCCACCCGTTGAATTCATGAATATTACCGCTAGCTATCACTTTAACGACATTTGAACTAAAATCCAACACAGACATGTATTATGGTTATGAAGTTTCATTTTAAAAAATTTTTTGGATGAGTTTCCTTTATCCTTTAGGTTAACACATAAGAACTATTTCAATCACTTTCAAAAATACTTGGTAACGCATACTGAATAACGTATCACAGTTCTTATAGGCAAATAAAACAGTTAATTTTTAAAGACCACTTACACACTTTCAGATCTTCAGGATTAGTTATCAATCGATCACTCAGTAATCATCACCGCATAGTCTGGTGCAATGTGTGTGTCGCACAAGTCACCATACCACAAAAGTACAACGTGATGAAAATAACAAAATAAATAGCAATCAATATCGAAACAATATAGTAGCAATGATTATACGAAGGATTGAATATTTGGAATATGGTTAACTTACTTTTTAGTTGTCATCTCTCTACACTGTTCTCTGAGCCCTCTCGTTTACATCTCTAAGAATATATGACGCATGAATATAATCATCCTGATAGTGGTTGCACTATCAATGGATTATAAACTCAGAAATATCATTGATAATATCTGTTCACATTACAATTCATAAAATATTCTTATCAGCTATTATTGTAGTGAACAAGAACACAAGTGGGGAATCTCTTGGTAAGATCTCAGAACAATACAGTAAATATTTAATTTGTAAAATGTCAATCAATTGTCTCGAACTTTGTTTTTCTTTCATTTCCACGACAATCATTTTTTGCTCTCATTCACCTTTCTTTGATCTTAACCTTATGCCTTCAGGCATTTCACTTTCGATCGATGATATATACTACTTATATACGTTGACATCAGTAGCATACACCATATTATTTGTTGTTTATTTGTTTTACAGTTGTATATCACTGACAATTACAATATTGAATAAATCATTATTGGGTGAAAAACAAAAATCTTATCCTGTATCTCAACAGAATACAACAATAAAAGAATCTAGTCAAACTAGTATGAAACATGAACTAAACAATAATAAATTGAATATTGATAATATAAATGAAACAGTACCATGTAGTATTAATCCGTTGTATAATTGTTTATTACATCTTTGTGGTAATAAACAACCACCTGGTCTATTGCCTACAATTAATTTACCAATAAATAATCCTTATGAAGCTTTGTCAATTGTTTATTTTTATTGTTCTGCATTGTTAACATTTGCACGAAGGTTAGTTTTATTTTGTATAGGTTGACATTATAAAACTTTGAAATTATGTATTGGATGAATGGAGAAAAATTGCAAAATATTCCGGACCTAGATAATTTAGTACTTGCCAGAAGGGAACAGCTTCAATTTTGAGAGTAGTGGTGTTGCTCATCGGATTAAAACTATGTTATTTAGTGTTAGTCTTTGAAATTATTTGTGACACTTATTATCAAGTCTGACAATAAACATCACTCAAGATTCTAACCAAACCTTACTGACTACTGCCAAATGTCACAAAGCATATTTTAGGGTTTCTTACGAACTCCTGTGATCACACACAGTGTATATTAATGTCAACTCATTGAGTTTAGTGACCCGGTTCTCTCATGATTCATAGAATTTCTTCAGCACTGCAAACAAAACAACAATTTATTAAAAACATTTTAGTGATGAATCCATCTATACTGAAAGGTTATATTGATAAAGTGAACTTTAGTTAAGACATAAACGTGCTACAACACAATTAATAAAATGGTAAGATTACATACAAATCAATCTCAAACATCTGCTTCAGTAATAAGTTATGTTTTTCACTGACCTAAAGTTATTTTAACATTTTGTTAACTTAAACAAATAGACTTTTTCAATTGACCAAGGGATCATTAATTCAACAATCATCAGATGAAATGCAATGATAAGTCAGTCCGAATAATTCCTCTAGTTAAGCATTGCTTATTAAATAGCATAGTATAGTTGACAACTAAATACGTTGTTCGTTTAGATGCACAAAATCTTCAACTACTAACTTGTATATGGTTGCTGTCACAGAAAAACATTAATTGGAGTGCAGTCGCAAACTACGAAGTATTGAACACTTGCATATTTCTGTCTAGGGAGCTTCTCATGAATCTATGAAGGATTGAGTTTAGCGACTTTTGATATCGTTTTGAACAAGATATCATTGAGTCCGTAAGTAGAAATCCAATAGTCCGCCTTTTTTAAGTCTAGTCAATCTAAACCATAGAGTAACTCAATTGAATCATTTCAACTTTTATTTGCAGTTATTCAAATTTAGAAAAATTAATCGTTACTTCTTATCTATTGTTTTAAGCTTATGAAAGATATGCATTTTTTTATTATTCTTAATTTGACTTCTTTGATTTTAGTCAAGGTAGTTGTCTACCTCATATCTTACCAGAACATTTAATGGAACCGAATGATTATCATTTATGGCATAAATATGGATGTCCAGGTTTAACAGAATCTGCACGTACAGTGTATACATCATTACCTCAAGAGAATAATATCATAACAGTCACAGATTGGATGAAACCACAAAAAATCAAAAGTGATAATCAATCAAATGATGATTTCATAAAAATAGATTTAAGTCCATTAAGGGAATCTGAACTAGATCGATTTTTAATAATATCAGAAAGAGCTTGGACAGATTTACTAATACAACTTATTAAAGTAAGTAGAAATAGTGGTTTATTGTGCTTGTTTCGTAACAGATATTAAAAACCGATATTCCTGTTTATTTATTTTCCTAATATACTCAAGTTTTGTGATGCATAACTTTCTTTTACTACTTGTCGTTAATCTTCTTCATTGTGCTTTTTTATAGCCCTCTAAAACATTGTCAACATATTTTAACAAGCTAGTTTTCATTTTGGTCAACATCCTTCAGCTAAGTTCATCTCTAACCTTTAGGGAACCAAGACTCCCTGCAGGATTTCAACTCATGTCACTCATTCAAGTTCAAGACGTTAGTAATAAGCAATTTAGGTATGTGTTGTATCATTTGCAACTCGGATATTAACATAGAAATCGATCACTTGATAGATCTCTGTGCTAATTAGGTTGTATAAAGCAGATCAGTAAAAGCTTATGGACTAATCATAATAAAACGAATTCTTACTTGATGAAAAAAGTATTATTGTTTAGTAGATATAAATAGTTGAAATCACGAGTCAATTGAAGCTAGACCACCACGGAAAACCTGGAAGAACTGGACGGCCGTTTCGTTCTATTATGGAACTCTTTAGCAGTGCAGATCCACGATCCCGCACTCGCGAGATTCGAACGCAGTACCTACCAGTCTCGCGCGCGAGCACTTAACCGATAGACCACTGAGCCGGCCGGCATTCAACGGTGTTAATGTCTAACTTCAAACAATCCACGAAGTTGAGCAACCATTTCACCAATGTCTTCAGTGAGTTGATACATCCCAACAGAACTGATTAAACTCCACTGGTTACTGTTTCTCAATAGAACTCCAGGAAATACCTCTTGAAGCCAGTCACTAGTGAGCATATGATACTTAAGTAAATTAGAATTCTAGACCTACTTAACTTAGAATAGTGCTTGGAGTTCATTGATAACTTACTGAGTTTTTTGATCCAGTTTTAATTCTTGTTTATGATGAGTATTAGTAATATTTAAATAGTTTTGCAACTAAAATTAAATTATACTCATCGGTTCCCTACTTTTATACCTTTATTCATAATATTTTAGTGTTTTCTATTTAACCATATAACCATCAATTCACTGGATACAATTAACTTACCACCAAAAGATCTTTTATTACATAAAACAAGTGAATCAATATCATCAACGCCAACAGTTTCACAACAATTTTCATCACAAAATGAATCAAATAAATCAGATCAAGTAATTAAACACACAATTCGATTATCAGATCAAAGAGACAATGTACAGAAAACAAAGTTAACAAATTCCAATGAAATTCAAATGAACAACTGTTACTCATCATGTGAACGTATCATATTGACTTGGCTAAATTATTGTTATCATCAGTATGCATATCAAATATGGCCTGAAAAGAAATCCGTATCTACAAATAATGATCTGATAGTTACTAATTTTGATGATGATTTATGTGATGGAATTATATTAGCATGTGCTATCGGTGCATATGTGCCTTGTCTTGTTACTTTAATTAAATCATTCTTAAATTTTTTTTGGTTCATAACTGTCATTGTTTTATGATTTAATGTTATCATAGCTTTTGTTCCCGATAATTCAGAACTGTTATGTTAATCAAGATAGTAACCTCATTTATTTTGATGAGTGAGTAAAGTATTCCCGACTTAGAAGATAGAAAATTATGTACACTTTATCTATGTTATTGTTACGCAACCACAACAGTTCAACTGTAGTTAACTTAATGAATGCAGCAGGAGAAAATGGAAGTCTGATATTTTCGAAACAACTTTTACTAGATATATAAGAACTTCGGTCTAAATTAGAGCGAATAGTTTCACAGTATTTGGGCGCCTCGAGTTTATGTAAGACACTAAATAGGAATAATATATTTGTAAAATTTCAGCGAATGAATTTGAGTCTTGAAAGTTAGGGCATGACACAACTTTTTCGCGATAATATTTTTGGTAGTAACTTTAAAGAACATAAATGTATAGTAATGGTCAAGTAACCAATAAATGAAAAGTAAGTTCAGTGTGCGAAATATAAAGTATCAATTCAGGGTAGATGATTATCATACAAAAGTAAGGATTTAAATTATGGAATAAAAAATAATGTAGGAACTTTCTGATAAAAAAATTGGTATAAAACCTCAAGTTTCAATATAAACTATGTTGAACATTGGGTAGATTTTACTAATAAACATTTGTCTCAGTGAGTAAAACAACTAAACTTTCTGACGTTTCATGACTACGTGTAAGCCACTTCTACAGAGAATAAATAAACGAATTAAATAAACCCAAAATTCATTTGGTATAGTTTGTTTTAATCTTTCAACTGATATTTAGGACTACAATTGATCAGCCTCTTATTAGCCTTAAGTCACAAGCATTATAAGCAAACATGGATAATGGCTAACAGTGGTGGCAATCCGAACAGGATGCACATATGTCAATATGAGATTGATCAATTGCAGTCGTAAACATCAATGGGAAAATTCAAGTAAACAAATCCAAATGAATTAAAACTTCACCCCGTTGCACAAACAAGTGGCTATCAGGACTCAGCAGCTAAGTGAATAACACGATAGCGTTTGGAGAGAATGCTATTGGCTCTGAGTCCCAGAGTGAACATCAGCTCTTTGATGCAGATACACTCAGCTGACGAGTCTAACATAGGGTGAAACCCGTGTACTGGAATCCACAGCTAGCTACCATCCATCATTAAATAAACCCTAGTTTAAATAGTACGAAGGAACAAAGCAAAAATATTTAGTAAGATCAATCAAAAAGTGAAGAAATATCATGGAATTTCCTACTCACCCAGGAAATTAAAAATACATTATTCACATTTTAATGTTTTAATCTTGTACGATTCATCTGTCAGAAGTAGATGAACATTTCTTTTAGAATAATGTCACTCACAGTTTCCATTACAATGGCCTTAACTTTTCAACTGTAATACTATATTTTACCTGTTTTAGTGTTTAATATATATATATATATATATTTATTTATTTATATCAACTTATTATTAACATTGGTGGTGATACGACGATTCACAGTACTGATATTCTGGAATTTTTAGAAAGAGGAACTAAATTAATATTTGATCGCCAATCTTCTTTTATGGATTATTAATTTATAATTGTAGAACCTGATGAGAAATTATTGAAAAGAATATTCTTCGTTCATATAATTGTTTTAATATTTGATCGTAAGATTATCAACTCTGTCTTGATCGACGTACATACCGTGATCAGTTAGCATTTACTCGAGAAATAGAGAATATTTGTAGCTCAGGTGAATGTTTTCGGTGGAATTATTTTCTTTGAAAAAGGACGTATATTATTTATGTAGTTGTCGATTCGGACAACATTATCTGCTATTAGTTTGACACGAGAAAAACAGATCACTAAGAACACAAGGTTGTGGACTGTAGATCAAAAGATATACATGTAACTTTTACTAGATGTACCATAGCAACAAGCTGATGGATGTTAATTGATTCAAGTTTTTTGTTTAATAAAATTATTATTTTTCAAAATATTTTGTTATTTTCGATGGTTTGATCTCACCACTTTGTTAGTCCCTAGATTTGACTTATTCAGAAATGAAGGGAGAAAATATTAGGGACCAGGTAGAAAATTTTATTACCTAAGCTAAATATTTATGTTTTTTAACTTCACATTTCATATGACTACAAATACATTTATCTGACAAAGCAACTGAAACTAAGGTGCGAATAATATAGGCTTTATTTATTCAATATCGTAAACTGTTTGAAGCTAGACATGTAAACTACTTAATTACTTCTCAATGTCCTAAAGATCCGATAGACTCTGAAATACTGGCAAAATAAATTAGGTGGTGAAACTGATAATTTTGCTTTCAATACTGACTCTAAAATTCCAATAAAGGCATCAGCCTTCTCAAGATTTCGGATAATTTTTTCTGATGGGTATAAGCCAGTATGAAACCCTTGTTCTGTTGATTACCTCAAGTCACTTGTTATCTCAGGAAAGTACACCACAGTGTCAACTCAGACCAGTGTTCACAGTACGACTTCATCGATAGAGTTCGGTCATCATTGAAATACGGAGAAAACGTTATATTGGTCACTACTCAGTGATTAACTGATTGTATGTACGAAACATTCGGTTGAGATGATATAACAATTGGTTAGCTGTCAATTAACAATTGACCCGCCAAAGTTGAGAATAACGGTCACGAAATAGCTAATGATTATTCACCTCTGATCATCATGACAGGAATGTATTCACACAATCCTTTTATTGAAAGATCAAAAGAGAAGCAAATATAGTTTAATAGTATTTATTGTTTAATATCTTTTCGTTAACTTTTAAAAGCGTGAAAGTATAAGTTATGGTCTTTGCACTACCGTTACCATTTTAGATTCCTAATTACTTTTCCAAAATCTACACACAACCTAATTCAGATGAACAGTGTTTTCATAACGCGATCATTTTAGTTCAAGCATTAAGAATGATTCATTTTGAATTTGATTTGTGTCCATCTGATATAACAAGTCCACATCCATTCGGTATGGCGTTATTATGTTTACATTTATTTTGTCAGTTGCCGGATTATTTACCAAGACAAACAATAAATTTTACAGGTAGGAATAAATTAGCTAAAACACATGCTTGTTAATATATATATATATATATATATATATATATATATATATTCTTTCATGAACAAGGTTTTAAAAGAATAAGAGTTTAGTAGTCGCTAGCAATAGAAAACAGACTATGGGTTCTGTCTCATTTTGGCCTCGCCAGATGAACGTACCCATACTCTAGGGTCGATCTCCACACCTGGACTGAAATAAGATTATACACAATCCCTGGATTTTACTGCAAAATACTATCGAACACTTAAGATTTATTGGGATTATCAAGGCATTCCTCTCAGGATCAACATAGTCCAAAATAGACTGATAATTTTAAGTTATTAACATTGACAATAAAAGATTCAAACCTTTATTAATCAAATATTATTCAATGGTTTAAAAATTTAGAAGAAAACGAAATTAACGATAAGTTTTCTAGTGATCACATAATAATATTAATAATTGTCAAACTCATTTCATTCGGTACCATAAGTTGAATTACAGTAAAGAATTATCAGCAGAAAGTATGCCAACGGGAGTAAAATCCTCGTTTTATAAGCATATAAATAAGTTTGTAGTCTTTACATAAAAGAATAAATTTTTCGATATGATCATCAAGGTTTGACTTAATAGCTTTGAACAGATTGAGCGTTTGGTAAATTATTAACAAGAGGAATATATTTGTAAGTTATTAAAATAGTAAATCAATCAATGGTAGATAACCGTTGAAAATCTGCAAGCGTTGGGCGCTGTCTTATCTCATCAGGGAACTCCCCAGCAGTGTTTATCAACGACCCCGCACGCAGGAATCAAAACCATGGCGTCTTGTGTCATGCATGAATGCTTAAGCTCTAAACCACTGAGTTGATAGCTTCGAGATGATATTTCAGGAGTTTTGATGAGAAGCTTTGACCAGTGAAGTTCAACCGTGTCAAGTGTAGGGTAGTTGGCCACCGATGACAATAGTGGATGATCGCGCAATATCGTGCATTGATTGAAGTTAGACATTAACAATGTTAGTTGCCGGCTCAGTAGTCTATAGATTAAGTTCTCTCACACGAGACCGAAGGTCCTTGGTTTGATTCCCATGTTTGGAGTTTTGGATGCAGACCGGAGACGAGTATGATGCTGAGATGAAATGTCCGTTCAATGCTTCCATGTTTTGAATGGTGGTCTAACATCGGTCGGTTTGTGATTTCAGTAAACCTCAATAAACTTCACATCTTATTGATATTCATATTTGTAGAAAGTGCTTTTAAACAGTAATTAACTTTTATTTATATTCATTTGTAAATGTTTATGATCAGTCTTACCCTCATGGCATTTCAGTCATCAAGTAATATATTTCATTTAATAAGTCTTTAATAATCGCCTCTCATTTCTTCAGAGGACAGATGGATAAAAAAATTCACAAACCTCCATGATGGTATTTCTTGAGTTTCTTGGTAACTAGATTTACTTTCAGTTATTAACACTTTATGAAAGTATGTAAATGAATATGTTTGACGGACGTAATTAGTTGATTTTAAATAGATAAACTCTCATTCTTTGTGCTGCTTATTGGAGAATTTTCTGATTGACTAACAAGATGAGAGATCTTTTCAGTAGTACGATTTTTCTTTGCTAAATCTCCAAAACTATTCTCAAACTAAGTTTCATCTTATTGTAAGACTTAAGTCCATTTTTTAAATGGCTAATATTTGGACAGATATCATGAATAGATAAATTTTACACCATCACTGAAAACCTGGAAGCACTGGACGGCCGTTTCGTCCTGGTATGGGACTCCTCAACAGTGATCATCCGAATGTTCAAATTTCTAGTCGCGTGTGCTTGATTTCGGATGTTCACTTCTGAGTAGTCCCATACTAAGATGAAACGGTCGTCTAGTGCTTCATGTTTTCAATGGTGGCCTGTTATTGAGCCATTCGCGATATCTTTCTGGACTCAACAATCTCTACAGCCCCATACTGATAACGAATATTTGATTAATAAAGTTTCTACTATATCCTATCATCTCTTCTAGAAGAAAACGCCATATGTTAATTCAATTTTGTTGTCAAAAAATTCTGAATATTCCATTGAAATTTATTTTTGTGTTTACATTTTTTCGGGTCGATTTAAAGGTCTTTTGAATTCTACAACTAAACGTCAACTATTATTTGCCAATACAAGTTCTCAAACATTAACATATTATTGTGTAATCATTGGTCCAAATGCAAATGATTTCAATTGTTCTATAATAAATACTTCGAATAAAATTATAAAACGCGAAATCAACAAAACAAATTCAAAGAAACTGGATGTGAAACAATTAAAAAGTTCAACAAGTGATAATTACATTATGAATAATGATACTAATAATACTGATCAATTATGTAATAATGCTAAAGAAATGAAAATGATGATACCACAGAAAGGAAAATTACAAATATGTCTTGAATATAAGTAGGTCTAGTTGTAAGAATGAATGTGATATATATATGCTCACATATGTTCTTGAAGTAATAGTAGTATTGTAGTGTGGTCTACTTATATCCATATAAGTAGTATATGACGATGGTCAGACATAGAATGTATTTTGGCAGAAGACCGATAACGAAAGGACTGAAATGAAGCGCAGTTGGTGGGAAAATGCATGAACAATGGAATTAGAGAAGATGAACTGATATTTACAGAAGGAACAGTGAAGATTGAGACAATTGGTTGTTAATTTGAGAATTAACTGTTTACTGTTTGGTTATCAGAATTTAGTGAGATAGTCTGTAATTTGTGCTTAAATACATTTGATTGTCCCCAATCAGTGTTATGTTCACCACAGTATATGATCAGTAATATTATGTATTAGTAATTTGTTTCAACAATCAGTTTTTTAGTAGTGACATAAATGTGAATTCTCTGTCAGTCCATTTTCCTGATCAAGATAAGTTTTTTTAGATTGATTGGAGTCACAGTCAGTGAAGTTGAACATGTTTAAGTCTGGAATTAGTTCTTAAAGCTATACATCATCTTAGATAGACACTACATGCCGTATCACTTTATAGGGTAAAGTTTCGAAACACCATTTTTTTATGAAAATTCAATATCGTTAAAAAGTTATACCTTTCAGTTCATTTCTTTTAGGTCTGAATTGACTTATTTCACATCGATAGAATCCAATTAGCAATAAAATAAATAAACAAAAATCACATCAGTCATTAATTAGTAATCAATGTAAATACCAAATTTTTTACAATAAGGTTCTGACTGATATTTATTAGGTTTAGATTGGTATCATGAATGGAACAATGTTGAACCACCATTGAGAACGTCGAAGCACTAGACGACTGTTTCGTCCCAGTATGGGATTCCTCAGCAGTGCATATCCACGACCCCGCATGCGGGTCTCAAACCCAGGACTTTCGGACTCTCGCGCAAACGTTTAACTTCCAAATTACTTACCCTGAATTCAACGGTATTATTGTCTAACTTCAATCAATCCACGACATTGTGCGACTGTCCACCATGGTCTTCAGTGAGTAACCGCCTCACAACAGACATAGTTGAAACCCATTGGTCATGGCTTCTCGATAAAACTCTAGAAAATGCATTTTGAGGTCAGTCACTAGTGAGTACATGATACTTACTACTGTTTTTCTTCATTTACATAACTTCTTGAGTTTTATCCGAACCTCATTCATTTTTATCTTATAATAAATTCATTTACTGTTGTTGCTACTATTACGAAACTTTGAATATCAATCTTTTCTTCTAGAATTTTCACATTATTTATCATATAAATATTCTGCCATTTGTTACCATTTTATCAATCCTTGTGAAGGAGAACATTTCTAATATTATGATATACAGTATATGTGCCTAGGTTCTATGCTGTTGATGAGAAACTATGAATATAGTAACTTATTAATCATAACATCTAGTCCTTGTATGTTGAACTTAAGTGACTAATAGGTTAGTAATTGATTCAATAAATTTGTTGTCTATAATCTTTAAGAAGTCAGATTTATCTCACATCATCTAATCATTTCATTCTTAATAATAATTGCACAATTTTGATACATTTTTACTAAAGTATCATCATATAATTACTTTTCTTTACTAACCTACTACTGTAGATCACGTTTTCTTAAATTAACAGAAGCGGTATTTTTAGCAGTTTCTCAACGTCAAAATGCATTACAAGGTAAAACGGTATCATTTATACTTTCGGGAATTGTTGGTGGACTTGATACATTAGTAAGTGATGGAGATAACTATATCTTTTTTCTATCAATTTGTTGATACCAGAATTGAATAAAGAGTTCACTGTAACGTTGGTCTTCCAAATAACTATAAATATACATGTTCGATAGAGTACTTGCAATTATGAAATGAATGATACAAAACTTTACTGATACAATGTGTTCAAACCATACAATTAGTTATCTGTAGAAACTTCATAGACGCACATTCCTTTTCAACACCTAACAAGATGATCATGGACTATTATGAAATCACTTCTGTCAACTAAGCTCAAGTAATTAGATGTTTTACGTATACCTAACCATCGCCTACCTCCATTGACAATGGCTATTTGAATACAAGCAGATTCGAGGAAAACTAAGAGCCATCAATCCAAAAAGTAACGTCAGTTCATGAAGTTATTAGCTATCAGTCTGAGTCATGTAGGTTGATGCAGACTAATTGTCTGAAATCTGAGCTATAACTATGATCAGTGGTTGGACACTTCAAGTGATATGACTCAGAATAACTCGATAACAAAGTTGTAAATCATACTAAGGTCATGGATTTACTATTTCTATCCCCCAGATAACATGATTTCGTTCATCCTACACCACTAATACTTCACCAATAATTTAAGTTATTTTGTCTATTTTCATAGTTGAAAGCTTGAGTCAGTTAAAGCTAGACCACCAGGGAAAACCTGGAAGCACTGGACGGCCGTTTCGTCCTTATATTATGCCACCTTATATACATTAGTTCTTCAATTCACAAAACATTTTCTTTAAACCGCAAATGACAAAATATTAAGAGTTCCACTTTATTCTTTTCCTCTATGTATTTCCTTTCTCTGTTAGCCAACTAAAATTATTAAATCACCTTGTTATCAAATGACAGAATTTAAAATACCAATTATAAATCCATACAAATTAAATGGTACATTTAATATTCAGATAATTGAAAGTTGTAATGATTTATTCAATGCACTATGTCAAACACAAGGTTTAAATGTAAAGAAAAAAGAATTAACTTCAGGGAATTTATTATCTACTGAAACATACTCTGCAACAGAAAGTTCACTGGATCAATCATCATCAGATAATAGTCAATTACCACCAGAAATCATGAAAGGTGAGTTCACTTTTTATTGAGAATACTTGATTATCATGAATTTGACATCCAATAGAAGATTAGTAAGATATATTAAGCATAATACCAATCAGCTTAACAAGGGTATGAGTAAACATCTCCAAGCTTAACTTGAAAAGGGCCAGATGAAGATAATATGTAGCTTTATCTTAGCACACTCGGTTGAATGTGGTCATATTGGAAATAATATTAAGTCATTTCGAGTGATCTGTCATAAACCTTTATTGTTTCCAAGTGGGATTCGGTCCCATCTCCTACAGAAGCAATAGGGATCCGAATCTACGATTCTAATCAATGTATTAGATAAAAATTCTAGACGCCCTTATTCGTTCTTTGGTCGGATATGACTTAATAAAGGATTTTACTCATTCTTCCACACCCTATATTTCTCTATTAGTCTTCACCTCCTTCCATTTATTTTCTTCTTTAGCCGATTGTTTACCCAATTCTGATTTCAATAAATTTTTGTGACTATTATTTAAAAGTCTATTTATACGAGTTTGACCTAATTTATATGTTGAACTGCCGATCAGAACTTTTTTATTCACCACTAGTACACCTATCTTTGTACTATCAATTTGTCCTTTTTACCCATTACTTATTATCATGGCATCTATGTTATTAAGACCATTGGTCTATTAATTGACCTCACTGGTTCAATATTTTCATAAACCCGTATGAATACTCAAATGTATTGGGATAATCCCTGACGATAATCGAAATGGAAACAATATTGTTCACTTACGTGTATCTTTCTAATTTTCGCAGTGAGGATCTTTAGTATTTTTGTAAGAAATACACAGTCATTTTTGTAATACTATTTAAAAAGTTAAACGATATCGTGCTCATCTATATAACCTGAGGATCAGTGACTTTGAATAGAACTCGGTGTTGGCATGATAAAGCAATGTAGAACATGACAGATAATGGACTCAGTGAGTAAGAATAAGAAGATCAAGGTTTCTGAGTGAAATTGCCTCAGTACGAATGACTTACAAAAGAGTCAGAAGGATAGAACGTAACATAATAAAATGCAGTGACATTACATACTTCATGTATATACGTTTGTCTGTCTGTGCTACAGTCTAACCAAGAACATTGAGAGTACCCAATCTTATAACTGATATAAATATAATCCGTCAAATCAATCTATTTGATTCATCATAAATCTGATTCGACAGAGCTAACGAGGTGTTTTGTGTAATTCTAAACAAATCGCTTTCGACTAAATAACAATAAAATATATTATTCCGCAAATTATTTCTGGGAGTCTAAATACATACACATACAATTTTACAAATATACTGTATAACAATCTACTATTTAAAGCAGTCCTGAATTATCAAATCTTTCGATAAAATACTCTCCAACAATTTACTAAAAAATTCACTAACTGATCAGTTAGTAGCGGTCAATATCTCATTATCTGTTCACCCATATTGATTAGTTTATAAACAAATTGTAAGATTATTGCTGTATTAACAAACTCAGCATCTCCATACTATTCGTCTAACAATCGATACATAGATCGAAATCCGGGTTTCTTTATACATGGAACTAGTCAGCATAATGCATCTACACTTTTGAAGGAATTGACATTATTCATATTATTTAGTCCTTTATTAATACTTAGTGTCACAGTGAGTGATAAAACTAAACTCAACTGTTTACACAGCTAATAGTCTTTTCTAGGACTAGTCTACCACTTAGTAACAAATGATTCCATCTGATCTGCTCCGATCTTAACGCAAAGCATTAGCTCCCTCAAGACTGCAAGTAAGTCTTGATAATCAGTATTGACTGACACTAGACCTAGGTCTAAACCATCCTACCAACGGTTTACATTGGTTTAACATTTAACAATATCAACTTAATATATTGGCTATGATTCTGATAATCATTTACACCATTTCAGAATACTATCAAAGAAATCAATATCAATCATTTCATTGTCGTGAAAATATCATTAATCTTTGCGGAACTACCAGTGATAATTGGACAGATTCACATCTTATAAAACAATCAGATAACATAGTGAAAATTAAACAAAAACAACAACAAACAACTGACGAAAAACAAAATATCAAAGAATTATCAATTATTTATTTACCATTAGGATGGGGTACAAGAGAATGTTGTTTATTATTATCTAATGAAAAAATTGGTGAATTTGTTATCTTGTTAAAAGGTATTGCTCAATTACCACAACCAAGTTTATTACCATTTACTGAACAAAAAGAAAGAGGATATCGTATTAAATCTGCTGTTGCAGCTGCTTGTAAGTACATTAATGCAATTTTCGATTTCACTGTTATTTCATTTTTATAGTCCAACACATATAGTTTAATCTTCTTGATACAATGTCCAAGAATTAAGCCTGACAATCAGGTGTTAATTGTTTGGAGAGGGAGTGAGTGATTTAATCACTGGCTTCCATGCAACACACGAGCCTGTTATCGGTGAAAACCAACTATCAGTTAAATTATTATTTTAACTACTTTACGTTTAACTATGTTAGTGTCCTCTTAGAATTGCTGTGTTTGAAGACATTACAAGATCACCTAAATCTGAGAACAGAACGAAGACTTAGTGACACAATGACCAGATAAGCTAAATATTCCGATGCGTCCCAGCCCCGCCAACTAGAGAGAGAAGTCTTGGTTCAAAAGAGGGGAGATTTATTCTACAAGCATTCAGAAGCACAACTCAAGCGTATATCTGCAGCATGAAAATGTCTTTAGGAAACGTTACAAAATAGCATATTAAAAGAGACAACGAACCAATAACATTTAATGTACTGCCAAGTGGGAAATGTAATATGGAGCTGAAAATGTGCGCTTTTGGAGCAAAAACAAGAAATTCAAATTTCCAAAATAAAATTACAAAAAAAAGACATTTACTAGATGAGTTCTGGGGATCTAGCATCCTCAACAAGTATGATAATGAAACGTCTAGCAACTTGAATCAATTCCTATTTTCTTCCATGTCAATGATGTTCATAACCACCAACTGACTGAGTTATTAAACAATTTTATCCCACTTCTCGACCTTAAATTCGTTTCATTTAAGGAAAAATAATTTATTTTTAGTAGTACACTGAAATTATACTAATAATCTTTCAAACTGTATCAAACCTTTATTTGAAAGCTTTTGGACGATCGGGTGATCCAAATGTTATATATTTTCGATGTCCAATCAACTGTGAAATAAAAGAAACATTATGGTTACCAGTAAAAAATGATTTACGTCGGACAGCATTGTTAAATGCTATACACCTTCGACTTCCACCATCAGAATTAAAACGTCGTCAATTAGCAAATACACTTGAATCAGATGAATTACTTGAGTTAGCTAATAAAAAATTAATATTACCTAATTTTGATCAAAATTCATCGGAGAAAAAGTTAAAACTTCAGGTAAAAATTCTATTTTCTACAAACGTTTTCGAATTATATTTCAATTAGAAACTTCGACGTTTTTTTTTTCAAAACATCTGAATTTTCATAAAATTTTATAGTTAGATTCAAAGTATCAGAAGGGGTTTTGTGGATGTTATAGTAATTTTAATAGTTGAGATCATGAGTCAATTGAAGCTAGACCACCATGGAAAACCTGGAAGCACTGGAGGGACGTTTTGTCTTATTGTGCGACTCCTCAGCAGTGCAAGACTGGTAGGTCCTGGGTTCGAATCTCGCGAGGCGAGGTCGTGGATGCGCACTGCTGAGGATTCCTACAATAAGACGAAACGGCCGTCCAGTGCCTCAAGGTTTTTCTTAGTGGTCTAGCTTCAATTGACTCATGCTTTCAACTATGAAAACAAAATATATGTTTTCATTTAAGTTTTACTTATACCAAATTTTCCCGTCATTTTTTTTCTAAATATTTTTCAGAAAAGATTACATATATCTCGATATCTGATATATAGTGTAGAAATCGATTCAAATATGATCAAAGTCCCACAAAAAATACATGTGCCAATTTCTATGGATATAGGTATGAAAATGTATTAATAATAATATATGTGATGTAAATTTCATTTTATGATAATTTTTTGTTTTTTAAAATTGAACTGGTTTTAACAGTATGAACCTGCTAACGTTTTCTAAATAAAATTACTCTGTTTCATAATACTGAAGTCAACTTCACTTGTAGTCCACTAGCATTTCAAATTGTTAGTCTTATTCAGGAGATACCATACATTACTTTTCGTTTAAATACTTTGTTCATCATTTTGAAATCTTATTTTATGTATACTTAGATATTCACCATATACTTTGAAAATGTACTTTGTTTATCTTTTCGTTCTTTTACAAATTACGTCATGGTTCACTTGCTTGCATACTGCTTACACATTTGCTTATAACCATAAAAATATTCTCATCTGACTTTTAATTTACTCTGTCTAAAAAAACTTGTATCATCGGCATCTAGGTCATTAGATATTTCCAATAATTAGTGGGACTGGGCATCAAAAGAATCAAACTTTCAGAAAAAAGCCATCCTCCTTTACAACCTAAATAGAATTAAGATTGAAAGTTATCTTAACATATGGACAACAGTAAAAAGACTGCTAAAAATAAGAAAGCATCGAGCAGTTGTTTCTCTCTGAGTTTGGATACTCCAGTAGGGTGCCTCTACAACTGTAAAAATGGACTAGGACTCATGATCTAAATATTTTAGATAAAACATGATATTTGTATACTATTGAGTAGAAGTATAATGGTTCGCATGTTCAACTGAATAACGTTAATAAGCAAGGTAATGTGAGTCCCACTCCAGATCATCTATTACTTGGTTCAATTCATAGATCATAATCTCTTAACAGAACTTTGGAAATACATATCGAATCAGATCACTAGTGAACAAGTGATTTTCTAGCGAGAAGCCGTGACCAATGAAGTTCAACCTTGTCAAGTGTAGGGTAGTTGGCCACCTATGACAATGGTGGATGATTGCCTAATATCGTGCATTGATTGAAGTTAAACATTAATACTGTTACGTGCCCGCTCAATAGTCTATAGATTAAGCGTTCTCACACGTACCGAAGGTCCTTGGTTCGATTCCCATGTTTAGAGTTGTGGATGCAGACTGAAGACGAGTATGATACTGCGATGAACTGGCCGTCCAATGTTTCCAGGTTTTGAATGGTAGTCTAACATTGATCGGTTCATGATTTCACTGAAACTAAACAATCTCCACAACCCTATACTGATATTTCTTTATATGCGAGCAATAATTTCCATCACATCATCATATGTTTTCACAAATCGAGTTAGCTGAGCTATTCATACTCACTATCTAACACAGCTTGTATAAGGTAATAAGGTTGCTTTTAACTCAACATTTCTAGTTTTCTTTAAAAGTTGTCTATTGAAAGTACTTAGGTTTGTTGAAACTTTAGCCAGACAAAAATAATTTGCACTTTTATTAAACCTGTGTTTTCTTATATTCTGAATTGTCTATTTTGACTTTTGTCTCTCGTTTGATAATTTTTAAGAATTAAATGTGCTATCGGGCTTTTCTCAATGTATTGCGCTTATCCATATCCTGTCGTTTTCTAAACTTCGTCGTCTCGTTGCATTATCTAAATTTACCAGAGAGACTATCTGTTCATAAATATAATTTAACTGATCTAGTTATTTATCTGATAACTAGACATTCAGTAAACTTGAGATTTCTGTTAACTATCAGTTTTGAGGATATTTAAGGTCTATCTCTCTCCAACATACTTTCAGTACTACAAGGTGTTTTTCTAATACTCACATGTAAAATTAGACCAAAAACATCAGTTTGCCAAGACAAAAAGGAATATTACGCTGTAAATGTACGATTGTTGTTGAAGCAGAATAAACATGGTGATATTAAAACTGAGGATGAAATTCGGTTGTTTTCACTCCCACATTTCTTGAAATGAGACAAAAGTTTGGGAAATACCAATAATAATGATCTCTTATTTCTACTTACAGATTCTGATTACACATTTCCTCTTCCTCTCAAAATCTTTGCTGATAAACCCGGTTTAACGTCAGCTAAACTGGTAATTCAAGGTCCAGATGATATACGCCTTTATCGTATTGAATGTGTAGCTTTACCTGGTAATGAAAAAATGGTTTTAACTTTCACATCACCATTAAATCATCCAATTACTCAACCAATACCAATTGTTAATAAAACAGCGTATGATTGGGAATTATCCTCACAGTTTATTGGTAATCCAATATGGTTTACTGGACCATCCACCATAAATGTACCATCAAATACAACAGTTCAATACTCCATAACATATTTACCTAGAAGAGAAGCCGAAAGTCAAGTAAGTTACTACTCGCTTATACTTATTTCCTAGATACACCTGATTTTATGCATAATTTAACTAATATATAGCAGTTTGGAATAGGATTTAAATCAAAGATTTCTGTCTGTGTTATGTTCTCAAAGAATCAATAATTAAATGTAGTGATTGTTTTTAAAACTTTAAATTCCTACGTCTTTTGTGTTCTACAAACTCAAAATACGAAGTAACACGGATAAATTGGACAAAAACTTTTAGTGATGAGTGGTCTTGGAACTTCTTTAGACTATCAGGAATAGTTAAAGGCACCAAGTGGGAATGGCTCTGATACAGATTTAAGGAATTTACTCATGAGTAACAAACACCGAAAATTAACGAGTGATCGTCAAAAACATTTTTATGAAAGTAAAATCAGCTCAAGTTTTTGATAAGGTGAAACTGAATTAATTGATAACTTCACTTCATATCACCTCTCGAAGCAGAGCACGAACTAGGAAACCATTTTGTGGTTCAGCCAATTGAGTCTTAAATAAATCTTCTTTTTCTACCGTATCAAGCACTAAGATTGAAGTCCAATTGGAAACTGACTTTAAGACATAATCTACTTCTGTTAAAATAGTACCAATTGAAGACTGAAAGAATTTTGTGGTCAACATCCCGGTTAACGTCTGATGCCAGTTTTTAAGTCGTTTCTGCTGTAACTCAAGCAGTAACTTTACTGGGTCAATCGTCGGAGAAATATTTCAAATTAATCCCGCTCCCACTTGTTATAACTAAACAAAGATACTGATGTAGCTTAATTCAAGGAAGAAATCAAAGATGACAGATGAAGATTTATTTGACTCTAAACATAAATCACAATTATATCCGGAAGCATCGATGTTTGATATGTTTCACTTATATTGACCAATGGTCTGATCTGAACAAATCAAAATAGGTAGCTCTAATGATTAATTAGTCAGTAATTTAGCGTACGAATACAATTTACAGTGTCAAAAAGATGAACTGCTATAACTAATAAATATAACTAAATTACTGAGTTACTTATATACTACTTCCTAATGATGTCTAAAATAATACTGTTCATTTTAAAGCTCACTGTCTTCATCCTAGTCATGTAAAAATCAAGACATTAGATTATTAATACTTATCTTTAAAACGTCCCATCATATTATCTTTTTTGGTTTTACTGTGAGAACATATACAAATAGAATAAAGCAAAACTAAAAGCTACAACCAATAAACTGCTTGACTTATTCTATGCTATCTATTGTGTAAGATGCTATTTTTAACTAATGTCTGTTCTAAGTGTAAACATTGACCACTATTTTGTTTCTATCTAGTGACTAGATGCTTATCTACCGGTTTGTCTTAATTATCTACACATTTTGTTTTATTTAATCCAGTTAAGGTAGATTAGGTTCAAATGAAGACACTGAAATCAAACATTATAATATGTGTAAAATAAGTGGGTATATCAATGAAAGCTAGCATGGATTATACAGTTAATAATCTCTTTTAAAATCGATAGGCGACCTCTTCAAAGAATGCAAAATATCCTCAAAGCCAATTAACTTATGAATGTTGACTTACATGCCAATAATTATCTTCTACATAAATTTCCAACATTATATTGGGAGGCCATTATCTGTGAAAACAACCAAGTAGGGAATGTGTAAATAAATTTTAGACAGCACTAGGTAGAGATCATGCTACGGTGAAAGTTGAATGAAACTTAAACTGTAGACCTTTAAGTTCTAACACGTTAGTCCTAAAGTGCAATAATTTCTACAAGGCTGGAAGATCTCGAATTTCTTTCGTCTTGGTTAGTAATGCATATTGTTGATGGGCCCTTAAAGCAGAACGAAATAGCTATCGAGTACTTTTTGGTTTCCAATGTTCCTTCAACTTTTATCGAAAAACAATCTTTAAATAGTAACTATTCACAAAATCATTCTCTTTAGTACTAAACATTTCATTTTTCATCCTGTTAACAGACCAAACTTGTTCTTTGAAATATTACTGATGGCAGTCAATTAGAATATCAATTAAATGGGATTGTATTGAAACCATTATCACTTGGAAAAATTAACCTCGAATTTACAAGTAATGCTTGTGATATAAATGATGAAATATGTAAAGTTTCAAAACAAAAACAGTTACAAACGTTCACTCTTAAAGTTCCTAACTCAACTTCAATAATGCAACGTTTCCAACTGCAAACAAATTTACCTAAGGGTCTTATTGAATGGATACCAAACAATCAGAAACATATGAATCGTATTGAAGTTATGTCTGGTCGTACCGATGAATGTAAATTTCAAGTTTCTGTGTCAAGACGAGGATCTTTTCGTGGTGTTATAGTTTTTGTTGCAGATGCTCCGAGTAATAAGTAAGTTCTAAGGCTTCAATGAAAACAATTCATTTTAAATAACTCATTGTAATAAGAAATTCTACAAGTACCATTTAAATATTTTCGTATAATTCTCGCTTAAACGCCGTGTGAAACAATCGATAAGAAATTCTGAATGTAAACTTCTTGCCACTTGTATTCTTCAGTAACATATATCTGAAATCGTGAAAAGACTGATACTCCCTGTTGATTAAAAAATCCGTCACCTAGTGTTACAGATACGATGAATACTAATTACCACGCTACCTAAATCCATGAATTCTTGCAAAATTATTTCAAACTATCTAAAATTAAATAACATGTACCGCAACTGGGGGGGCTTTGTTTACTCTTTGTCATTCCTGAGATTTTGAGTCCTTAAATTACTTTATATTTTTTTAATCTACGAACCTACATTCTCTTGTCTAATCACATTTTATATGTTTAATATTTTCTACTGCTACTGATGCTGTTATTTTCTATACTACTCTGGAATTCATCTCAATAATTTCATCTCAGTGCGTTAAATTAGCGAAGAAACTTGAACCGATGCATATACGTAACAGATTCTTCTTAACTTAGGAATGACTGACTGTACTGTCAAACTATTTAGTGCAGCGACCATATTGCAACTTGATCTATAGGATTAGATCAACTCTCTAAAGCCTGAGGAGTATCACACTAGTTGCTGATAACAGATGATTAATTAATTTGTAAATTATTTTCTTTTTTTCTTATTACTATGTTATTCTACTTTGGTTTATTCAGTTCAGATAGTGATGATGAAAATGATGAGGAAATGTCATCAAAATCTAAAAATAATCAAACTAATGAAACATCAAAAACATTAAATGAATTAGATGAAAATTCGAATTCAGTTTATCGTCTTTGGTGTGAAGTAGAAATTAATATTAAACCAGGTATTTGAATATTTTTATGGTTGGTTAATGAATAAATTAGAAACTGGCTTTAAATATTTACATACCTTGATTGGTAATAAATCAGATACTTCTGTATTATTTGATCTTTTAAACACAATGACAAAGGAATGAAGATTGTTGTGTAAAGCTGAAAATATATACCATTATGATTCGATTAAATGATTTATAGATCAACTGGTTATTACATGAATATGAATGTCTACTTTTTGATCTTGTACGAATTTATAACTCCCTAATGCAAAGTGAAACGGTTCTTTAGTTTTATTGTCAATAAAGCTCTATCTGCTATCGACTCAGAAAGAGGAATATCTGAATCAGACTAAAAATTAAAAAGAAATTTCTCATAAAGATTAACCTTAGCTAGAAAATTATTAAAAATCAGGAAGATTATTGAATGCTATTTGTCTATGATTTATTTATTTATTTAAACACATAAATATTGGCACAAAAGGTGGCACCAGATATATATGAGCCACAAAAATCGCATTTGATTTGTGTGAGGGCTGAGATACTGCCCGGAGACCCAAACCGAAACAGGTGGTTTTCTTAGGAGGCCACACCCCGAGCCTTTGACATGAAGATCTGATCTACAAGGCAGTGGAGCATCGTAAGGAAATGCAGTCCCATAGTAGCCGGTGACCAACGATTGATTCATATGCCATTTGTTTCCTCAGGATAGTGGAGCCCATGTGCACCATTGGTTTGGAATCAGGGATTTCCAAATCCCCTAGGTGGACGCGCCGTGTCCACCAATCCGGTTAAAGCACCGTACATTCGCTTTTCGTCCTCTCAATTTCGTAAATAGCACCGGTGCCACGAGAGGTCAGTGAGTAGGACTTCCCTGGCAGAGGTTATATACGTGTGGCCATGTGAGAGCATTTAGAGAGAGCGAGCGGACTCTTCCCACTCTCGGCCGTACCAGGGCATTTAGAGGCCTGGATAGTGGCTAGCAGTGGAATCCAGGACGCGCGTTTCGTCCTATTTGGGACTCGTCAGCTGAATGTACCTGCATCTTGGAGTTGATGTTCACTCTGGGACTCGAACCCAGTGCCTTTCGCTTCAAACGCCATCGCGCTATCCACTCAGCTACTAAGTCCTTTGTCTATGATAATGATTATAAAAGTCATCACAACATATTTAGTTAACATTTATGCCTGACAACCAGTGATTTCAAAAAACGAAATTATAAAGTAAACGATAATTATAACATGTTAAACTGTCTAAATATTATAGGAAATTAAAGTCATCAATGTTAAAATATATTTTACTGTACTATAAAGATAAACTGAAAAGAACATAAAACATAAGTCATTTATAACTCAGCTGAATTGAATAATATATTTTCTTTGTAATAACTTCTGATCTCTATCGAATTAAATTTTCTATTCATTTTCTTTGATACTTTTTCCTCTTATATGGTTATACTTCCTGGAAAAATTGATCTTTCCAACAAAATTATTGTTATGACTTTATAAAAAATAAAGACCGTATGCCAATTCGGTATGATTTTATTCACGGGTTTTTATCACGTGAATTATCCACCAATCAAAATACGACTTATCCAATCTTAGCGCTGTGCCAGATCAATGACGTTCAACTGGTATGAGCAGTCTAGAGCCTTTATTAGTTCCTTGTCCAAAACATCAATTACAGCTTCTGCTATGTGAATCATTTATTTCAAGCATACTCCGTTTATATACTAGACAAATAGACCGCATCAAACCATCAAATAAAAAATAATATTTGTACAAGATCAAGCCAAATGTGGCTGTAAATGTGGGATACAATAATCAATAAACTGAATATAATTTACGGACAGTAATTCGTATAATAATAATAATCCATAGGTCAAAATGTAGCTTATAATAAGATGAATATAGATATGCATAATCTAATCACTCAATAGTTAAACGATAAGGATATATATGGAATAGTTGTCCATTAATAGGTCCCGGAAGTTACCCGTACTCATGTCTTCGCTAGGATATAACAATTATCACTAACAAAATTAACATAGTTTTTATAGTAACGTATTATTAAAAGGATTACAGGAATTCAAAATAACATTATCTTATTTTACTTAAAATAGTTTATATCTCTGACATATTTAAACCAGATAATGATTTAAAACTAGGGGAAATTCAGTAACATACTCACCCTCATTAGTTCTCATCCACAATTTCACTAGTGATTAGAATCAAAGCCTTCATACTTTGCAATTAGTACGTTAAATATATTTAAATTTTAAAATTGGCACAAAATTTTCATATTCTTTTCTACATGGTCACGTTCTCTTCAATGAACCATGATTTATAATATTTACATATAAGCATGATATATTTATAAAAATGAAATGAGTCTGAAGTTAGTAATGAACTACTATCAGCCGATTGTATTAAATATGACAAGAATTACTTATATTCTTGTAACAAAATAACTTATTATTGATGACTGATCAAGTATATGAACTTATTGTATACTGTACAACGGTACAAATCATCCCGCACAATTTGATTTACAAAGTTAAGTTTTGTAAATAAGATAATTTCTATCACAATATTGACATTAATTAGGTTGGAATTCATTATCATTTTTATGATTACAAATATAATAAATATGATGTAACTTCATATGAATTACTAATTAGATTGTCATAAAATAGAAGTGATCAGTGTTGTATCCCGTGGAGATTTATGAATGGTAACTTTGAGAACTATTCATGGACCAGTATGATATGTATATTTCCTATTGTATAATTGTTAAGTAAATAAACTTTTCATATTCGTGTCCCTCTTATTATAAGCTTTATTTTGACCTATGAACTATTATTATACGATTTACCATTCTTGAGTTATACCCAGTCTATTGATTACTCTACCCCTACTAACAGCCACATTTGACCAAATCGTGTGCAAATGTTATTTTCTACTTTATGGTACGATGTGGTCAGTTTGTTTGATATATAAACCAAATATGTTTGAGAGTAATGATTCATATTGCAGAGGCTTTTATTGGTGCTCTGGACTTAACTAGCTGGGCTAGGCAGAAAAGAGGACTGATAAGTACTCAAAACTGCTCATACGGCTTTTGTTTATCACTGGTCCGATCGATAAATTCACTCCTCTCTCATTAGCGGGGATCATCACATCATATATCAAACAGGGAACGTACGCACGCACTTAATCGATATTACAGTTAGTAGATAAATTTTTCTATACAGTAAAAATAGATGGTTCTATTTAGAAACCTAAGTCTTGAAAGAAATTTTTGATTAAAAGAAAATAGAGACGAAGTCTATTTGTTCTTGTGATAATTTTAGTCTTAGTTGTCTAGTTGTCTTACTGTTACTTCACAAACACTTGCTGTATATAGATTTTCGGTTTTTGGGAGTTTTTCTGAAACAAGTACAAAAACCTTATACTTTATGATATATGATATTAAACCACATATCTACGAATGTACATTTGAGAATATAAGCCTATAAAAAGTATGATATTTTTACTTCATCTATTTCATAGCTAATATGAATAGAAATAAGATGGAGCTTATTCATTGATCTTTAATATATCAGTTTCTTCATGGTTGAAATCATGAGTCAATTGAAGCTAGACCACCATGGAAAACTTGGAAGCACTGGCCGGCCGTTTCGTCCTACTGTAGGACTCCTCAGCAGTGTGCATCCACGATCCCGCCTGGCGAGGTTCGAACACAGGATCTGCCAGTTTCACGCCAGATCACTTACCCGATAGACCACTGAACCGGCCGGCATCCAACGGTGTTAATGTCTAACCTCAACCAATCCACGAAGTTTGAGCAACCGTTCATCAACTGTCTTCAGTGAGTTGTTATCTCACAACAGACGTGGTTGAACTAGTAGGTCCTGTGTTCAAATCTCGCGAAACGGGATCATGGATGCGCACTGGTGAGGAGTCATACAATAGGACGAACCGGCCGTGCAGTTCATCCAGGATTTCCATGATGGTCTGGTTTCAATTGACTCATGATTTCAACCATGAAAATACTGAAATCTCCACAAAACCTCTTTTGAATATCAGTTTCTACTGTTTACATGTTCTCATATAATTTAATCTGTATAAAAATATTTTAAACATTCACAATTCAGAGCGCTTGTCAAGCTTATCACTATAAAACAATAATTGACTAATGATACTCGTTATTTTTTATTCTCTTTAAAGGTCCACCTATTAAACAAATTGAAATTATCTGTCCATGTCTTAGTTCTAAAACAATTGAATTACCATTTACTTTACAATCAGAATTGTTTAAAAATAATCAACCAGTTGAATTTGATGTCATCATTGAAGATAAATGTTTAATTGGTCCAAAAACACATTGTGTAACTTCTATTGACAATTCTGGTAAACTTTCATCAGTTTATCAACTAAATTGTATTCCATCTATTATTGGAACTAGTAATTCAACGTGAGTTCATCAGTTTATCAGAAAGTGCACAATTTTTTTTTCAAATATCAACAAAATATTCTAATTATGAATTATCTAAACAGTGTATAATCTAAAATACTAAATTTCAGTACAGCTTTTTCTGATTGTTAAGATCATAGTACTACAGATTTTTGCCTACATGCACAAAATATAAGTTCACAAAAACAACTACTAAATATCCTAACCTTCGATTGGCCATCCTTACCTAGTACCCGTTTACTAACAACTGCATTACTTACTCGGTAGTCCCAGGATATACGAGCAATGCTTCGAAGACACCTATGATCGAACACTAGTAGTCTACGAATATACTCTACTCTTATCAGCCATGTTTCACTGCCATAAAGTAGGACGGAACGAACTTCTGAGCAGTAAACCCGTCCTTTGGTTGCTAGACGGATATCTCGCCTACGCCATAAATGACGCAAGTTGGCGAAAGCTAGACGAGCCTTCTGTATCCGTGTTGAGATTTCGTCACACACCAGACCACAAGGGCTGATGAGACTCCCAAGATAAGTGAAGCAGTCAACACGCTCAACTACTTCACTCCCTATCATTAGTTCAGCTGTCGATGCAACCCAATTCTGAAGTAACATTTTGCACTTCGAGGGAGAGAATCGCATCCCGAACATGCCTGCATTGTTGCTTATAGTGGTCAAAAGACTCTGCATTTCGTCAGCGTCCTCATCGAACAGAACTTTGTCATCTGCGTATTCTAAGTCAGCAAGTGAGTCTCCCGGTAAAAGTTCAACTCCTGGAGATTTAGATAATGAAAGTGTTATCTCTAAAAGCATGTCAACGACAAAGTTAAACAAGAATGGGGAGAATGGACACCCCTGACGAATACCACTTAAGGTTATCAATTCTGATGACAGTTCGCCATAGGCTCTAACTCGACCAGTTGTGTTCGAATAGAGAACCTTTGTGAGGTTAGTGTGCTTCTTTGGTACTCCTTTCAGTGACAAACACTGCCATAGAACCTCACGATCAACGTACGAACGAAGTTCTACGTTGTGACTGAATATCTTTCTTAGTTCAGAGTTGAAAACCGAAGTGGTTAATTAGACAAATTACAAGACTATAATTCTTCACAAATAATAAATCGCAATATGTACCGAAATAGGATATTTATTATATAAATCTAAAAAACAGGTTTATAAATAATTTACCATATTAATAGATGCTACTATATATTTTATCAGTAGTATTAATCAAATAAACATTTAGAATTGGGACAACATAAAAACATCACAAATCAGTTAAATATATACATATTAACTTATGAAAGTACTGAATTTACAAAGAATAACTTTCAACGTTCCACATTCTTCACTATTCGCTCAACCTTAACACTGATCAAGATCATTCGCTTATTACTCTTCTGTAATAAAATGTGAAAGCTGTAAATTCTTATGACTAGATTTGTAAGATGTGTAATTATTTTAAATATATGAACAACTGAATCGTTACTAATAAGTTACAATTTACAGAAACGAGACAAGTGTTTATTTCAATGCATTAATCTATTTCTTCTTTATCTAGTGTCATTTTTTATAATCCAAACTTTGGGGAATTTTGGATTGAATTAATAATAAAAGCCATCAAACCAGAAGTTGTCGATGGACCAATTATAGAAGCTGAATTAGGAAGGTAATCAATCCAGAATAAATAGTGATTACTCTACTATTCTTTGTATATTTATTATGTTACGTAGTTAATCTAATGATTTATTTACTACAGACTTTTTTAAATATCAGTCATTAATCTTATCTTACAAATGATTTGCAATTTCTTGGATGATCTCAGTTTATAGGTTTACTAGTTCATCTCTACAACTAAACACCATTATACACTTGGTATTGTTTGCTTGAATCTTCCCATTGATGTTTAGGACTGTAATTGATCAGTCTCTTATTGACACATGTGCATACTGTGCATATTGCCTCGATATACCCTTAATTCACAAGCATTGTAAGCAAAGATGGATAGTGGCTAGCAGTGGAATACAGGACGCTCGTTTCGTCCTATTTAAGACTCGTCAACTGGATGTGCCTGCATCTCAGAGTTGATGTTCAATCTGTGGTTAGTTTAATGTTTGAAACTCCAAATCCAAATCTCCTCTCTATCTACTTTGATTTTAACAGTCAAATGATACTACCAACCTTTGCATATTAGGTATGACTTAAAGTTGGTTGTATAAACCTGTATTCAATTAGTGTTGTGTCAAAATTAGATTTGCCTACGTTCAATTATGATTTTATCAAACTTAGTCGAAGTATTGTTTGTTTTATTTCACTAAATTTTCTAGCTCAATAATCACCAAAATCTTATTAGATAATCCAACAGAAGAGCTGTACATTTTAAAACCCAAAATATTTAACCCTGATGTTTTCAAATTACAATTATCAACATCAACTAAACAACTCGCTTGTCTATCACCATCATTAACTACAGAATTAGGTGAACAACATCATTCACATTTACAAATGTCAACATTATGTCGATATTCTGATAATGATACATTAGATATAAATGAAGTGGAAAATAATTCTTCACGTATATTATCAACCAATCGAAGTAGTGGTTTACATACTACAGAAAGAATAATTAAATTAAAACCGAAATCTAAATTATATCTTGGATTGAAATTCACTCCATGTGCTATTGGTAAAGAGGAACATGAAGGATCAATTGTATTTTATTCAGAAAAAGTATGTTCGATGAAATCCCTTTCAAGTTCAACTTACATGTTTTCTTTAAAAAGAATACAGTATTGGTTTTATTGGATGACTATTTATGATTTGATCTTAATAAGCAATTTCCATAATTTGTATATTAATTTATGACCGCGTAGTAAACAACTTCGTGTTTATCTAGTTCCTAGTACCGACAGCATTTTCAATTTAGTTGGAATGTGTCTACCAATCAAAACCCAACATCAAACCACGATGTCAAGTCGCTTAGAGTACTGTCCACAATGCAACCAGATCAACAGAACATTGTCAGCATTAAGAACCAGATAAAAATAACTTTAGTTGCTACTTAGTGATCAGTCAATTGTAAATACTCGGGCACTACAAGAGTTAACTTACTTAATTACGCCTGTTACTCCCAATGGAGCATAGGCCACCGACCAGCTTTCTCCAACCCACTCTGTCCTGGGCCTTCTTTTCTAGTTCTATCCAGTTCTTGTTCATTCTTCTCATGTCTGTCTCTATTTCTCGGAGTAATGTGTTCTTTGGTCCTCCTCTTCTCCTTTGGCCTTCAGGATCCCATGTGAGGGCTTGTCTTGTGATGCAATTGGATGATTTCCTCAAAGTGTGCCCAATCCACTTCCAGCGCTTCTTCCTGATTTCTTCCTCTGTTGGAATCTGGTTTGTTGTCTCCCACAGTAACTTGTTGCTGATAGTGTCTGGTCATCTGATCCGAAGTATCTTGCGTAGACAGCTGTTAATAAACACTTGTATCTTCTGGATGATGGCTTTCGTAGTTCTCTACGTCTCCGCCCCATACAGTAGAAATGTCTTCACATTTGTATTGAAAATTCTAACCTTGGTGTTGGTTGACAATTGTTTTGAGCTCCAGACGTTTTTCAGCTGTAGGCATGCTGCTCTTGCTTTGCCGATCTGCGCTCTCACATCTGCATCTGATCCACCGTGTTCATCAATGATGCTGCCCAGATATGTAAAGGTTTCCACATCTTCCAAAGCTTCTCCATCAAGTGTAATTTGATTGGTGCATATTGTATTGTATCGGAGAGTCTTGCTTTTCTCTTTGTTTATATTGAGACCTACTGCTGCTGAGGCTGCTGCTACACTGGTCGTTTTCTCTTGCATTTATTGTTGCGTTTGTGATAGAAGAGCCAGATCATCCGCGAAGTCTAAATCGTCAAGCTGCATCCTGCCTGTCCACTGTATTCCGTGTTTTCCTCCAGATGTTGACGTCTTCATGATCCAGTCGATCATCAGGAGAAAGAGAAAGGGTGAGAGTAAGCAACCTCGCCTTACACCGGTCTTTGCTTCAAACGAGTCGGTGAGTTGTCCTCCGTGGACGATTTGGCAGTTTAGTCCATCATAGGAGTTCCGTATGATATTGACTACCTTCTCAGGCACGCCGTGGTGTCGAAGAAGCCTCCATAGTGTTGTCCTATCCGCGCTATCAAATGCCTTCTCGTAGTCGATGAAGTTGATGTAGAGTGATGAATTCCATTCGATTGATTGTTCCACAATGATACGTAGAGTTGCGATTTGATCTGTGCACGATCTATCCTTACGAAATCCAGCTTGTTGATCTCGAAGTTGGGCGTCCACGGAATTCTTCATCCTGTTTAACAATACTCTATTGAAGACTTTTCCTGGTATTGAAAGAAGAGTGATGCCCCAGTAGTTGTCGCACTTGCTAAGATCACCTTTCTTTGGTATCTTGATCAGAAGTCTCTTTTTCCAGTCTATTGGTACTTGTTCTTCATCCCAAATCTTACTGAAGAGGATGTGGAGTACCTTGGCAGTTGCTGTTACATTTGCCTTCAGTGCCTCTGCCAGGACGTTGTCTGGTCCCACTGCTTTGCCGCTCTTAATTTGTCTAATGGCCATGCTGATCTCTTCAGTTGTTGGTGGGCCAACATCGATTGGGAGGTCTGTGGGTGCTGCTTCGATGTTGGGTGGGTTCAGTGGAGCTGGTCGATTCAAGAGTTCTTTGAAGTGTTCTACCCACCTGTTTCGTTGTTCTTCAATGTCGGTGATTACTTTGCCTTCCTTGCTTTTCACTGGTCTTTCTGGTTTACTGTAATTTCCGGCAAGTTTCTTTGTTGTATCATACAGTTGTCTCATGTTTCCCTCTCTTGCAGCCTTTTCCGCCGTCAATTCTAAATCTTCCACATATTTACGTTTGCCGGTTCTGATGCTCCTCTTCACTTGCTTGTTTGCCTCTGTGTATTCGGCTTGTGCCTTGGCTTTTTCCGCTCTTGTTCGGCTGATATTGATTGCTACCTTCTTGTTTCTTCTTTCTTCAATTTTATCCAGTGTTCCAACAGCGATCCTTTCCTTGTGATGGTGCTTCTTTTGGCCCAGAACCTCCTGACATGTTGAAATGATTGCCTCCTTGATACCTTTCCAGTTGCTCTCCATGGTAGTCCCCTCTCCATTGAGTAGATCATGTAAGGCCTGGAACCTGTTGCTTAGGGCTATGTTGAATTTGTTGAGTTTGTCAGCATCTCGAAGAAAGGCCGTATTAAACTTTTATGATGTCGTCCGCGCCGTTGTCCAGTGCTTCTTGAGTTTTAGTTTCATCTTGGCGACCAGCAAATGATGATCGGATGCTATATCAGCTCCTCTTCTGGTTCTAACATCCTCCATCGTCCTCCTGAACTTTTTGTTGATGTAGATATGGTCGATTTGATTCTGTGTAGTGTGATCCGGTGAAATCCAAGTGGCTTTGTGTATGTTTTTGTGTGAGAATATGGTGCCACCTATGACCAGTTTATTGAAGACACATAGGTTTGCAAGTCTCTCACCATTTACGTTCCTTCCTCCCAGTCCATGTTGTCCTTTCCAACCTTGGCATTGAAATCTCCCATCAGAATGGTCAGGTCCTTGGTTGGGCACCTCTCGAAGATCGACTGCAGCCTATCATAGAATTGGTCTTTAGCGTCTTCATCGTAGTCGCTGGTAGGCGCATAGCATTGGATGACGTTCATTCTAATGCCCTCTCTCTTTGTTTTGAAGGAGGCTTTGATGATCCTTGGTCCATGAGATTCCCATCCAATAAGTGCATTTTGTGCTTTTCTGGACAGCATCAATGCAATTCCTTGTGTATGTGGGGCATTTTCTTCTTCATGACCGGAGTATAACAGAAGTTCTCCTGAAGATAATCGCTGTTATCCAACCTTGTTCCTTCTACTCCGAGGGCAGAGTTTGAATGATTTTTTCTGGTTAGCGTTTTTTTAGCGAGTTGATTTTCTACGGGATGGGGTCGCTAACCCCATGCCCAACCCTCCTCCTTTACCCGGACTTGGGACCGGCAGTAACCCCCAAAGGAGCTACAGGCGGAGTTTACAAGAGTTAAGTCATGGCCCAAATAGTTTAGTGATTACGTTTCAGACTATGAAGCTGAATGGCTCCGATTTTAATCTCATAGAGGGCATCAGTTTCCTGAAGATTGTACATATTTTTTTGGAAGATTGGAAACAATCACGGAACTTATGTTTAAGATTTCCTGTCGACTGCATCTAAGTGCCTAACAGATCATGACCTCTGTAGAATTATTACTATAACCATCAATTGCAAATTAGGTACATGATTGACAAGGAAGTTATTAAACTAAAAGCTAGTTTTAAACCTCCACACTGGCGTTCCCCTGTTCGTAGCCGAATTTTATCAGTTGATGTTACTGTAGTTTTTCTAACGGACTGAATATCACTCTATGCTACCTTAAAATGAAAATCCTATTCGTATCGCACTAAAGGTCTGGTTAGTTTATTAAATACATTTGTATTGACATTTATATTTCCCAGATAAATTCCCATAATTCATGCCATTCTGAGAGTAATGATTTGAAGATCCTCGCATAAAGTTATAATTAAAGTTCCAATTTGATCAAGAAAGAGCCAGAAAGAGCTATCTCTTAATAAACCTCTCCGTCAATGACTGGAGACTTGATCTATTTATGTTGTAGCTTGCTAGGATAAAGTATTTCTCTTTGTGCCTATTGTTCCGATTTGTTGAATAAGTATTAGAGCATAGATGAAACAAACAGTCCCAATTTTCCGACCTTGGATATTACAGAACCATAATAAGGATCTTTTTCTACTCAAACCAGTTGCCTGAGATCTGAAGTAGACTACAACATTAACTAGATATGAAAGCCTAGAACTATGTAAGATCTTGAATAACTCTCGGTAAAAATCATTTTGCTTTAGAAAGGAAGTGCAAACATAACGACGAATTCCAACTGTTTCATTAAACAAGACAGCATTCAAGAAATGGTAGATTAAAATTCAGTTCTGAGTCGAAATTTTTCCCTACGCCTATACTTGTAAGACAACGAGAATTTACCTGAGTCTCCAGATTCCCAAAAGATGGTATAAATTAGTTTATCAAACTGGTTAGATGAGATCATGTAGATAAACACAACTATTTCTTGTGCAATGAGATTTTGAAATCTTCGATACAACATGTAGTTTAGGATGTGGTTTGAAGAAACCAGGTGTAATATTTCGTAAGTTCAAACCCTTATAATGACTTCAGTTATAGAAAATCTAAGCAAGGAGAAAGGCTGATATGGTGGACTGAATTACTGCTGGAGATATTCGTATCATTGGCATTTCTAGACCATCAATGTCGTCAAAATTATACTTTTTATTTAGAAAGGTGACTAGAAGACTGGACAATTTTCGGTAGTTTGGTTGATGTATAAATGTGTTTGTAGGGCCTACCATGCAGTGATCAGTCCCATACTCACCCATTCACAAAGTATTCCTTTCATTATAAATATCAATCTTGAATAACATGTCATAAAAGTCAACCTTCGTTACCCAAATAAAGAGGTAGCTATAAACACCAAAACTTTTCATTCTATAAATTGTTGTTCCGAAAGACGCATTTACTCACGAAAATGTTTTGAATTCTTTGACAGATCAAATGACCCACTTAAGTTTAAAAATGTCACGTCTATACTGTTTATTATGTATAAACAAGTATCTTTCCATGATGTTTCACGTAATTATCTAGCAGAAAGAATTCTGCTTTAATTCCGACTATACAAAGTAGGTATCTGTCTCCTTTTGTTTCTTTGTGGATATTTCTTTGATCAAATTTTCAATACCTTTTTTCCTCATAATATGTAGTTAACAGAATGGTGTTTTAATTTGCATGGTAATGGTGTTGCACCACAACCAAGAGATCCTATTAGTGTATCAGTTATGATTGGTTCAGCCACCACATTAATAGTGCCAATTACGAATCCATTCAAATATGATACTATATTGGATATAAGTTTGTATGAGACCACTTTATCTGGTCTGTTCAAGCATTTGGAAGATACACGTAATGCTATACTTAAGGATCAGTCGGACAATAAATCAATAAACTCATGTTCAGTTGATAATCATAACAACAACAATGAAGAGTTCGATGATCAGCTGATGGAACCAAATGAATGTAATTGTGATGAAAATAATCAACCGTATAGTAAGAGTTTATCAACGAATCCAGGCAATACAAATATCTATTCAGCTTTTCAACTTTTAATAAAAGAGAAAAAGTAAGAAAGTATTTGATTCTTTCAATTTATGTACATCACATATGTGATCGTTATTAGTCTCATATAAATATAAATAAATGGTGAATTTGTGTACTACAATAATCAGTAACTAATTCTACTTAGACTACAAACTGGCCCAAGCTAAACAACCAATCAAAACCCGAGAACACTAAACATATGTTTCTTCCTAAAATGAGACTACCCAACAGTGTGTCTCATACTAGGACAAAACGGCTGTCTGGCTATCGAAAGTTTTCAGTGATTGCCTAACCTAGGTTGTTTCTTAATCCGAATAACATTCAGCAATCTCCATAAAACCCATACTGTTAACTCATCATATAGTTGCATTCTCAATATTAAGGTAAGGTTTAACTAATGTGTCATAGAAGAAAGTTATATTTACTGGTTTTCATTAATTTTTGGTAACAAGTGTAGTATTCAATCAAAGCTTGGGTGAAACTATAATTTATGGACGACCTTTGAGCGACGCCAAAGTGACCTTGAGAGTGTTTACCTACTTACAAGGGTTAAAAAGCAGTTTGAAGAATAAGGATTACGATTCATAGTTGATGTGTAGTTCACGTAGATAGTTTCGGTAGTGTTACTGATATATTCAGTCACAGTGCACTGTGATATATCGACGGTTCAACTTCACCAAATATTGTATTCCATTCACTGACTTGATGTATATTGTCTGTTAATAAACTCTTGTTCTGGTTTATATCTGATTCTCAGTCAAATGATCAGATTTGAGCGACTGTGTTGTCATATGGTCAAGTATCAGCAACAATTAAGTTTTTTTCGTTTTAACATTTAAATTCTCTAAACTTGATGGTTGAATTCTAAAATTTGGAAAATTCTCATATTGTGATTTAGAATTCTAAAACTCCAGCATAATTATATAACTCAATGAACTTAACTGTTCTAAAATGGGTTAACATTTAAGAATGTTAAAAGGACTCCGAGTTAGAAAAAGACCAATTTCAGGAATTACAATTAATTCTATGTCTCTAAAAGTGATATTATCAGAGTTCAATATACATAAATTCATTAGTTTCAGGAAATAAAACAGAATATTTCAAAGCTATCAGGTTTAAAATAAATCACTTGATATTTTTGGCGTCAAAAATGATTTTTATGTATTCGAATTAGTAATATATGCACATTGATAATGGTAGTTCGGTTGGATCAATAAGAAATTGAAATGAATCAATGAACAAAACTAATCATGTGGTGTATACTACTTATGTCAACAGACACAAGTAGTATGTAACACTAATCAGAAGTGGAATGCCTGGCATCAGAAAGTTGAAAAGACCGAACTGAAGAGAACAGGAATATAAACAGAGAGCAATTGTAATAACAACAGGAGTGAAGGAACAATTATATTTGTAAGAGGCAACTGACGAAATATGTGCAAATCAAGTATTTAATGTATGGTTTTCATATTTTATCAAAGCACTCTGTAATTCCGCACTAAGTAATAAATTTATCTTCCGCACCTAAGTGTTCGTTCGCTACAATAATACCACAGAATAATTAATGGATCGTTTTATCAAGTGGATTAGTAAAAATCACTATCACGGAGACATAAAACCTTACCATATTATATGAATAAGACGTTAACCGTTAAATCCATTAATGCTCCATTATACTCTCTTTTTCTCTAACAGAAATATACGTCTGTGAAGTAAAACAGTTTTTGATATACCTATATCATTTGCTCCACTGGAAATGAGAGAACATGAAGCACTTTGCACAATTGTCATGCATAAGTCAAATTCTAATAAATGTAAATCAATAAGTTCATCATCTTCCACTTCTTCTTCTGTACGTTGGTTAATTCCAATTAAAGTAAGTTATAGTGAAGGTACACAAATTCTACACCTTTAATAAGTAAAACTATTTGTGTTTTATAACTGTAACAATATATTTAAAAATATGACAATTAGATTTGAGAAAGAATGTTTATGAAAAAATTAAGAGAGAATCAAGTATTTTTTCATACAATACATTAATTAATAGTAAACTACTTTAGTAATTTGGATGAACATAATAATCACGTAATGTTTGATTTACAACAAACATCTTGAATATTTTGTTTATTGTTTAAGTTATTATAAGTTATCAGAAGGGGGTTTTATGGAGATTTTAGTAGTTTTATATAGTTGAGATCATGGGTCAATTGAAGCTAGACAACCATGGGAAATCTGGAACTACTGAACAGTCGGATCGGTGGTCTAGTGCTCGCGCGCGAAACCAATAGGTCTTGGGTTCGAATCTCGCAAGGCGGGATCGTGGATGAACACTGCTGAGGAGTCCTACAGTAGGACGAAACGGCCGTCCAGTGCTTCCAAGTTTTCCATGGTGGTCTAGCTTCAGTTGACTCATGATATCAACTATATATTATTGTAAATTACTTGAAAATTAATTTTACTCTAGTTTCTATCTCTTAATCAACCAAATAACTAACCGAATACATCTTTCATTCAATAATCAAACTATATACTCATTGATTATTTTTCTTTACAAACTCTTAAAATCACATCTCATTATGCAGTATGTATCTTTAATCCTTAGTCTTTTATACTTCACAGAGTTGTTAATTAATCCGATCATCCACATACTTTCCTACACTATTAGCTAGTAATACCTAAGCTCCACGAATTACATGTTTTTATTATCATTCCTTGAAAATAACTTTTATTAAAACTGAAATTAACTAGATAAAAATGTTGAACAGTTTTACTATCTTAAATTTTAAACGTCATCAGAATGATTTACCACTACTACATATGATCGAAATTGTAAACTACCATTATCGAGGAGAATAAACTGTTGAATCCCAATAAAATAGTACATAATTCTAACTTCAAAACAAAGAGAAAAGGAGTCTCGATCAATGTCATTAGCTAGTTAATATAGTTAAGTCGTATGATGAAAATTATCTTCAAAGTAACCCTAACTCTACTGTACAAAATATTGAAATATAATTATAACCTCTCCCCCTTTTTTTCCTTTATTTTTTTTGATCACCTCTATCTTAATCTACACATCCATGATTCCCAATTCGTTAATCGTAAATACCTTGATAAAACCCCTTTTATTACATATTATATTCACACAACAATCTTATTATTATTACTATTTATCATTATTATCTCAATTGACAAGATGAAATTCTCCTACTATGCATTTTATTCACACGATATTCTTTTTCCACTACCATTTTCTTATATTAATATTATACTGATTGTGATTTGACACTTTATATATACTTGAAATCATGAATCAGTTGAAGCTAGACCACCATGGAAAACGTGGAAGCACTGGACGGCCGTTTCGTCCTATTGTGGTGGTCTAGCTTCAATTGACTCATGATTTCAAGTATATATAAAAATTACTAGAAATCTCCACAAACAACCCATTTGACACTTTAGTCTAAATCATTTCTGACCTTTATTATATAACCTTTCTAATTTGTAAATAACACAATCTTGAAGTATCTATATCATAACAGATGCAAAAGTTCACCATTTTTAACATATAACATGGTTAAATTCATTAATACATGCCTCATTTTTGCCTTTGTAAAATATCAAAATAATTATGGACTTATAACTGTAGAGCCTGATGATGAAGTTATTGAATACAATTGTTCGATCAAATATGCGTTCATTTTTTGAATATATAATGATTTTCTTTTAATTCTTTTACTCTCTCTCTCACTCTAAGGGTATACCTGAAATGAAATCCTTATCATATCCATCATTGAATGAATTCAATACATCACCAATTATTATTCATGGAACTGTACGATCCAAATCATATTTTATTATAACATTACGTTTATTCAATACATTAATACATACAGAAACTAATTTATCATTTGATGAAAATATCAAAGATATTGAAGTACGTGTTATACAATCAGAAGAAGATAAAAAATTATTTAATGAGAAAATGTTTAATAATAAACTTAATGAATCATCATCATTATTATTATTACATAATCATTCGACAATATTGGATCAAATAAAAATGAATAATTTAGAATGGATCATAAAACCAATTATAAATAATGAAGATCAAAAATTAATGAAATTAATTAATTTAGAAAAAATTTTAATTGAATCATTATTTATTAAATTATTTCAAATAAAAAATTATGATCATTTAAAAATGACAGAAATTCAATTAGGTATGATATTTTCACCTGTCATTTCATTTAAGTAAGTTAATTTTTTAAATGATTATTTATTTAAACATATAAATATTGGTACAAAGGGGAACCAGATATATATGCGCCACACAAATCTCATTTGATTTGTGTGAAGGCTGTGATACTGCCCAGGTGCCCAAACTGAAGCAGGTGCCTTTCTTGGGGAACCACACCCGGAGTCTTTGACCTAAAGATCTGATCCACAAGGCAGTGGAACATCGTGAGGAAATGCAGTCCCATGTTAGCCGGTGACCAAAAATTGATTCATACACCATTTGTTCCCTCAGGATACTGGAGCCCATGTGCATCATTAGTCCGGAGTGAGGGTTTCCCGACTCCCCTAGGTGGACTTTCCATGTCCACCAACCCGGTTAAAGCGCCGAACATTCACTTTTCGTCCTCTCACATTCGTAAACAACAGTAATGCCACGAGAAGGCAGTGAGTAGGACTTCCCTGTCAGAGGCTATATATTCGCGTGGCCATGTGAGTGCATTTCGAGAGGGAGAGCGGACTCTCCCCACTCTCGGCCGTACCAAGGCATTATTACTAACAAAATAATAAAATATATTGAAATGTAAGAATATATGAAAGTGAATTCGCTAATTATAAACATGTGTTAAGTTTTCTACCCATTAGATGAAGTTAATTTAGGATTCATTAGCTCATTAAAGCGTTGATGAATTGTTTATATGATGCTTTTGAGGTAGAATAATCTTCCCCAGTCATCATTTTTTTAGGCCATTAACGGACTTAAGTGCAGTCTACAGTGTTGATTGGATATCATGTCTGATACATCTTTATGTTACTCCTAAATAGATCTTCCATAAATATATTCTTGACACTTTCATTTTAAAACTAAATTCGAAGAGATTTTTAGGCTGCAACAAATTTGAGTCCAGTAAGGCATAGACAAAAGAGTGATACAGTTATCATCATTCTTCTTATTGGTATGCTCTGATCATAATTGGTAACAGTATGGTTTGTTTCCATCATTAGGTCGGTCCATAAAATCTCTTAGATAGTGTCTATCTTAGTGATTAAGAATAGTTTTAGCAACACTAAAAACCATGTCTATGATTTTTAGCTGAACTTAATCGAGCTATTTGGACCTCAAATCACCTTCAATTGGTCTCGTTATTAAAATTGACGGATTTAAAGCACACTTTATCACTGTTTAATGTGATCGGTTTTTATTTGTTAAGGCGTTTGGTATGAACATGTTTGCCATCCCCTCTTTTGTTTCCAGTAACAGACAATTATTGTCCACCGTAGAAGTTATTTCCCCCATAGGTACTCTTATAATCAGGTCTCGCAAACCGTTGAATCAGTCTGGGAGTAAAAACTACAGTTAGAACAAGTAAAACTCGATTTTCAATACTCCATCTGTTTCTAAAACATAAATTAATATAACCCATACGAGAACACCAAGTTAATCGTCAATCAGAAGAAAACTATAGTATACCCATAAATACCAAACAACAATAGAGAGCAGCCATGCAAGAATAATTCAACTTCATAAACGAGCACTCAGAGAAAGGCAGGCCAAATTCAAGCTGAGAGTGCTGGGTGCTTGAAGTAAAATATCATTGGTCACATTAGTTGTGGAGACAGCTAACAAATACTCCACAGACGAAGCGGACACCCTCTTCGTCTTCGCCTGCATGAACGTCAATTAGCGGTCAAACTCCATGACACTACCTACTGCTTAGTGCTTTTTAGAAACTTAGTTTTCTACAGGATGGGGTCGCTAACCCATGCTCAATCCTCCTACTTCACCCGGGCTTGGGACTGGTAGTAATTCTAGAAAAGCTACAGACCATGACATATCCTCACTTATATCAATACATGTGGACAACTGTGGACACACATTCGACTGCAAAAAATGTTGAGATCTTAGATAGAGGAAGTTCTAAGAACATCAGAGAATTTTTAGAAGCTTGGCACTCATGTCAATCAGCAGTCAACAAACACATTGAAATCCATCCAATTTATCAACCAATCAGAAAAATTATAGATAAATATAGAACCAAAATTCAAACCAGTGAGAAATACAACTAAGATAAAGAAGTAAACAATGAGAGGTTTAAGGTCAACAAGAACCAACCAAGATCTATGTCTACAGGACAAGCTGTGAGTCATCTCTGGAGAAATTCGAACACCTCACTTCTACCTGAAGTTTGTGCCGACGATGTCCTTCAGAATAACGGAGAGCTCTATGACCAAACCATCCAGCTCAGAGAAAAAAACTCCATCAAAATACTCCACTCACTTTTCTTCATTAACAACCTACTGAGGGATTTTGGTCAATGGACGTTAACTGCTTTAGCATACTACATAGGATTCCCGCCTATCTATGCTTACCAATTTGTAATAAAAGGACAATGGACAATAAATTAGCTACAGTTATCCAGAAATAAACTTATATTTATGTTATTCACTAATCGATTGATCTCTTTTAAATTATCTGAATACTCACATGTTTGGATATATTTTCCTATCTGTTTGTCTTTGGTTGAAATTATTGATGAACAAAAAACCATTAAATTTAACTAGAAGTACGAAAGCTCAAAACTAAAAGCAAATAACATAGTGAGGTACAAACTGATTTTCACGAAATGTTAAAATTTAAATCTAAATAATAACGTGACATCGAGAACAATATGATGAAAAGGTAGATTAGTTTGTTTTGTTCAGTATAACTAATTCTGTTTGAATTTGATTTTTGGACTATTCAATGTGAAGCATTCATATAGCATCGAACGATAATTACGCTTTTTTAGATATAAAGCATTTTATGTAACCACAAATACTTTTTTCATAATTGTAGATTAATTCCATTTCCCTTTTACCATTACATTGTTAATTGTTAACAATATACTCAATTAGCCAGTTTTAGACAACTTTATGACTTTCTCACACTGATACATCGACAGACGGAATAAGCGAGAAGTAGCAGATTTGAAAAATAATAACAAATATAGTACACAACAAAAAACACATTTCAACGGGGCAGTACCATATATAATAAAATAACTCCCATCTTTTGTTCGCTCCATTGATGCTTACGTCTCTACAACTGCTATAAATGATTTTACACCTTTATGTATATCTTATTTCATAAGTTATAGAAACTTCAAATGTTTAGACGTTTTTATTACTGAAACAACAAAGTAAACATTATAACCTGCTGTTACTTTACACACTAACAAATTTAAATATCTAACACGAACGGTATATTATAGAATAACCTGACTGATCTATCTTAGTAATTATTGTTTTTTGTTGTTTCGTGCTCTCCGCTTCCGTTTTATTTTCAAGCTGATCATATCTGTAAACGAGCATGAATTCTGTAATTATTTTTAGAATACGGTTACTGTGAAACTATTCGCTCCAATTTAGACGAAAGTTCCTATGTATGGTTAAACGTTATTTGTCCGTTAAAATTATGGGTTGATATTTAGTTAAACAGTTGAATGAAATAACTGGCAAATTACTTATTTTAACCTTGAATATGTAGTAAATTGAATATACTGAACTACTGTCTATTTGAAGATTAGTTATCATTGACTAGTGCTTTTAAACTGTTATGATGTAGCTTTTTTTATTTCTAGTAATACTACCTACATCTATTCTTTAAAAAAAAAAATTCTCTAACAATAACACTGTTTCCTCAAAATTTTAGGTGCAGCGCAGATTTAATGATAAGAACGTCTCTAGGAGGAATTTGGAAATTTGGACTTGTTTTTAAATCAAAAGATCCTCCAATTGATGATACAATTTATATTCCGCATAAAGGTGTTGGTCGTCCAGTTAAAGTTCAGTTAGATTTAACTAGTCAAACTGAGTAAGTGATTCAAACAATTTTTTTTAAATGTGATCAGTAATTCACTTTTTTTCAACATTCACTGATAAATAGAAACGATTTAGAGATCACTTAGAAGCCATTTATGGTAGAATTATCTTCTGGATTAGCTTACTTATGATATGGAAATAGTTGTTGAGTGTTTGTTAACTAATTTTGTATAGGAAATTCGCACATTTCGTAGGTTATAACTGGAATCTAGGATTACATATATTCATAGAACTAAACTTTTATTATGATAGGAATACAACAAGCTGTCAGTCCAATACAAATATTTTTCATACGTCTCCGAATCATTTTTATTTTCCCATTCCAGAGTCAGTAACTAATTTGCTTTTTGAATGTTATTGAAACGAAATCTATAAAATATATCTATACTATGTTTTAAGACCACAACAGTGTCGAAATACATTGTCAGACGTAAACAAACTTCCGAGGACAACGACGACTGTCTATAAAGATGTGAACTGAAATTTTTCGGTTTGGTAGATAAAGTTCATCGATAGTATACGATGTACCTTGGTTCAGAGTTTACCTTTCATGTTTTTAGTAATAAAGACAGCAATAATAAATCAGATGAACACTTATGAATCAGTTTATAAATTGATTTAATAAAAATGTATTCCAAATACAATTTAACTATTGGGTGCTAAACAATATGTCTGTATAATTTCTAATTATTACTTGATAAATTTTAGTGAACCCTTAAAATTCATCGCACGTTTATACCCTAAAAATCAAACGGAGTACACGATTGAACCGGAAGAAGGTATTTTACCACCAATGAATAAAGATAATGAAGCCAATATAAAAAATTCACCTCTGATTATAACATTCAAACCGAATTCATATGGAAAACCAATAATTGCTCAATTAATAATACAGGTAAGTTAATTTTGAAAAATATTAAGTATTTACATAATGAATAAGTTAACATTAACAAAAGTAATATTACATGAATAATAAAAATTTAGCAACTAATAATTAAAGCAGATAATCAACAAAAAAAACCAGTAAAAAAAGAGTTCAGATACTGTTCGAACGTTCCCATTTTAAAACGATAATTTAACCCGAACATTAAAAGTCTCCATAAGAATTCAAAAGCATAAATTATGGAATATTGAATTTAAAAAAGGATATGACCAGCTCAAACAAAAAACATGGTAAGTAAAATATAATAAACGAGGAACACAAATATTTGAAACCTAGATTTCAGACTGAATAACACATGCTCAGATATTAGAATTAAAACATACATTTATGAACGGAATAACAGCAAAAAACCAACTACATAAACATACAATTGTAAATAAGAGTACATACTAAGAAATAAAAAAGGACAAACATGCAATGAGATATGCGCCAACATTAGGAAAAAAAATTGACATATGAACTCTTGGGGCAGTGGACAAGTAAAAAAAATTCAGACAAACAGCCATCAACATTCGCCAATCGAATGCTGAAAACAACCAATTCGAAATAACCTGTCGCAACTGAAATAGGAAACAATACAAAATAAAACTCAATATACTTTTAACAATAACTCTCTGCACTTTGAACAGAACAAAAATTATATAAGCAGACTCTTATCAGACTAGTAGTACGATCAATATTAATTCATATGACACGCAATTAGTTCATCATCAGGAGGAGTTCAAATGTATACACTTACCAACAAACCGGCACGAATACCTGAAACTAACAGAAAAAACACTGCATAAAATAGTGATCAGTGCGAAAGACAAATCAACAATTCATAAGAGGTGTCGTACACTCATCATATAACCACTACTGATAAACATGAAAATACTGAACAATAATATTAGGAACTGACTCAGTAATACAGTTTACAGTCTAACTAACTAACTTGGAATTTCCACACTAATATCCACGAACATTGGCCAAAACCTTCTGATAACAAATACGACCTGATCCGCACCGTGAACACAGAAGACCTATTTCAATCAATAAATAAATACAATTATCATCGACTTACCACAAAAACTCAGCAGTTCCGCACAAACCCATCACCATCGGTCAGCAAAGACACTACACACTACGCACACGGTCGCCACATTCACCTGTAGGCTTGCAGACAATGCGTCAAGCATCCCTGAAAACAAAATGACCCCTGGGAAATTCCTCAGCTAAACCCTATCCTACTCACACGCATTCCCATCTCCACAACCACTGTAGGCTAAATTAACTAGCGTATCACATACCTAGATGCCGATTTACATAGAACTACAAATTAAGCCAAATCACAAAACACACGATCTAGAAGTCCCACATACCTCTAATTGTCAATCACTTGTTTTCCATGCACAAAAGCCTAGGCAAACATCAAATGTCATACAACCAGATCCCTTGATACATTTAAACAGAGCAAGGACAACAAGGTTTGCAGAATAAAGCAAGCAAGCACATATAAATTCATAGATACGATTTGAGGTGACGTCGGTAGGGTATTGATCTACCTTGGAATGGTATGACAAATACTCGGTATTTTATACACTTATTCTTCTTACTATTATGATTTCGAGTACGTTTCGAACATTTATCTAAACTTCACAAACTACAGTATGCTAAACAATTGTTAATAATTACATTGGAATTGGAATTCTAGTTTGTATGCAGCTGATGAGAAGCCGTACAATAGAATGAATTTATTCTACTCTACAAACCTTGTTGTTCATGCTCTGTTGAAACTTTAAATACACAAACTCATACATCTCACAAAATAAGGTGTTTCTCTATCCAAGAACAGATCCATCGACGAGTCTCTGGGTTATTATAGAGTCAAACACTCCAACTATCGCTCGTCTCAACAAAACATCTACTTACGTTGCCAACTCCCTAAGCAGACTGCATAACTCCCAGGAGACTTCCATCAAGTGACAGATGTTCGTCAGCTAGTATCCAACTATAAGCATTTTAGCAACAGCAAAACTTAACGGATATCCATACCCCCCCCACAAGTCCAATAGAGTAAATCAAATCACATAAGAGAAAACGCACTAATACACATCCTGATCACATAAAGCAAAAACACATCCCTAGTATCCCAACCAATCTACAGTAAAACTGTCGATATAGTACACGTAACAATATTTCAAACACCTGACAGGAATCATGACTAATCCACTCACAGTCTCTCTATCTCCTCAGTCATACATCTCGACCGCAAACTTATCCGCGTGTCTTTCTCCTCGAAATTCCCCAACACTTCGAACAAACACTACGTTCCAATCAGTACTAACTGAATTTACATCTATTCATTCACAAATTTATGCAACTGTCTGAAGACACGAACCCCTGTAACTAACCCCACAGTCAGTAAAGACAATTCAGAACTGACTTAGTTTCTCGGAAAATGTATTACATATTATCTTTTACATCCTTACAATTCTCTTTTCATTACACTCTTTACAGACAGTCACAATGGAGTGGCACTATGAACTCGTAGGACACATTCCAGTCTACAAACCACCAAATGGAAAACCACACCCATCAACATTCGCCAATCGAATGCTGAAAACAATCAATTCGAAATAACCTGTCGCAACTGAAATAGGAAACAATACAAAATTAAACTCAATATACTTTTAACAATAACTCTCTGCACTTTGAACAGAACAAAAATTATATAAGCAGACTCTTATCAGACTAGTAGTACGATCAATATTAATTCATATGACACGCAATTAGTTCATCATCAGGAGGAGTTCAAATGTATACACTTACCAACAAACCGGCACGAATACCTGAAACTAACAGAAAAAACACTGCATAAAATAGTGATCAGTGCGAAAGACAAATCAACAATTCATAAGAGGTGTCGTACACTCATCATATAACCACTACTGATAAACATGAAAATACTGAACAATAATATTAGGAACTGACTCAGTAATACAGTTTACAGTCTAACTAACTAACCTGGAATTTCCGCACTAATATCCACGAACATTGGCCAAAACCTTCTGATAACAAATACGACCTGATCCGCACCGTGAACACAGAAGACCTATTTCAATAAATAAATAAATACAATTATCATCGACTTACCACAAAAACTCAGCAGTTCCTCACAAACCCATCACCATCGGTCAGCTAAGACACTACACACTACGCACACGGTCGCCACATTCACCTGTAGGCTTGCAGACAATGCGTCAAGCATCCCTGAAAACAAAATGACCCCTGGGAAATTCCTCAGCTAAACCCTATCCTACTCACACGTATTCCCATCTCCACAACCACTGTAGGCTAAATTAACTAGCGTATCACATACCTAGATGCCGATTTACATAGAACTACAAATTCAGCCAAATCACAATACACACGATCTAGAAGTCCCACATACCTCTAATTGTCAATCACTTGTTTTCCATGCACAAAAGCCTAGGCAAACATCAAATGTCATACAACCAGATCCCTTGATACATTTAAACAGAGCAAGGACAACAAGGTCTGCAGAATAAAGCAAGCAAGCACATATAAATTCATAGATACGATTTGAGGTGACGTCGGTAGGGTATTGATCTACCTTGGAATGGTATGACAAATACTCGGTATTTTATACACTTATTCTTCTTACTATTATGATTTCGAGTACGTTTCGAACATTTATCTAAACTTCACAAACTACAGTATGCTAAACAATTGTTAATAATTACATTGGAATTGGAATTCTAGTTTGTATGCAGCTGATGAGAAGCCGTACAATAGAATGAATTTATTCTACTCTACAAACCTTGTTGTTCATGCTCTGTTGAAACTTTAAATACACAAACTCATACATCTCACAAAATAAGGTGTTTCTCTATCCAAGAACAGATCCATCGACGAGTCTCTGGGTTATTATAGAGTCAAACACTCCAACTATCGCTCGTCTCAACAAAACATCTACTTACGTTGCCAACTCCCTAAGCAGACTGCATAACTCCCAGGAGACTTCCATCAAGTGACAGATGTTCGTCAGCTAGTATCCAACTATAAGCATTTTAGCAACAGCAAAACTTAACGGATATCCATACCCCCCCCACAAGTCCAATAGAGTAAATCAAATCACATAAGAGAAAACGCACTAATACACATCCTGATCACATAAAGCAAAAACACATCCCTAGTATCCCAACCAATCTACAGTAAAACTGTCGATATAGTACACGTAACAATATTTCAAACACCTGACAGGAATCATGACTAATCCACTCACAGTCTCTCTATCTCCTCAGTCATACATCTCGACCGCAAACTTATCCGCGTGTCTTTCTCCTCGAAATTCCCCAACACTTCGAACAAACACTACGTTCCAATCAGTACTAACTGAATTTACATCTATTCATTCACAAATTTATGCAACTGTCTGAAGACACGAACCCCTGTAACTAACCCCACAGTCAGTAAAGACAATTCAGAACTGACTTAGTTTCTCGGAAAATGTATTACATATTATCTTTTACATCCTTACAATTCTCTTTTCATTACACTCTTTACAGACAGTCACAATGGAGTGGCACTATGAACTCGTAGGACACATTCCAGTCTACAAACCACCAAATGGAAAACCACACCCATCAACATTCGCCAATCGAATGCTGAAAACAATCAATTCGAAATAACCTGTCGCAACTGAAATAGGAAACAATACAAAATTAAACTCAATATACTTTTAACAATAACTCTCTGCACTTTGAACAGAACAAAAATTATATAAGCAGACTCTTATCAGACTAGTAGTACGATCAATATTAATTCATATGACACGCAATTAGTTCATCATCAGGAGGAGTTCAAATGTATACACTTACCAACAAACCGGCACGAATACCTGAAACTAACAGAAAAAACACTGCATAAAATAGTGATCAGTGCGAAAGACAAATCAACAATTCATAAGAGGTGTCGTACACTCATCATATAACCACTACTGATAAACATGAAAATACTGAACAATAATATTAGGAACTGACTCAGTAATACAGTTTACAGTCTAACTAACTAACCTGGAATTTCCGCACTAATATCCACGAACATTGGCCAAAACCTTCTGATAACAAATACGACCTGATCCGCACCGTGAACACAGAAGACCTATTTCAATAAATAAATAAATACAATTATCATCGACTTACCACAAAAACTCAGCAGTTCCTCACAAACCCATCACCATCGGTCAGCTAAGACACTACACACTACGCACACGGTCGCCACATTCACCTGTAGGCTTGCAGACAATGCGTCAAGCATCCCTGAAAACAAAATGACCCCTGGGAAATTCCTCAGCTAAACCCTATCCTACTCACACGTATTCCCATCTCCACAACCACTGTAGGCTAAATTAACTAGCGTATCACATACCTAGATGCCGATTTACATAGAACTACAAATTCAGCCAAATCACAATACACACGATCTAGAAGTCCCACATACCTCTAATTGTCAATCACTTGTTTTCCATGCACAAAAGCCTAGGCAAACATCAAATGTCATACAACCAGATCCCTTGATACATTTAAACAGAGCAAGGACAACAAGGTCTGCAGAATAAAGCAAGCAAGCACATATAAATTCATAGATACGATTTGAGGTGACGTCGGTAGGGTATTGATCTACCTTGGAATGGTATGACAAATACTCGGTATTTTATACACTTATTCTTCTTACTATTATGATTTCGAGTACGTTTCGAACATTTATCTAAACTTCACAAACTACAGTATGCTAAACAATTGTTAATAATTACATTGGAATTGGAATTCTAGTTTGTATGCAGCTGATGAGAAGCCGTACAATAGAATGAATTTATTCTACTCTACAAACCTTGTTGTTCATGCTCTGTTGAAACTTTAAATACACAAACTCATACATCTCACAAAATAAGGTGTTTCTCTATCCAAGAACAGATCCATCGACGAGTCTCTGGGTTATTATAGAGTCAAACACTCCAACTATCGCTCGTCTCAACAAAACATCTACTTACGTTGCCAACTCCCTAAGCAGACTGCATAACTCCCAGGAGACTTCCATCAAGTGACAGATGTTCGTCAGCTAGTATCCAACTATAAGCATTTTAGCAACAGCAAAACTTAACGGATATCCATACCCCCCCCACAAGTCCAATAGAGTAAATCAAATCACATAAGAGAAAACGCACTAATACACATCCTGATCACATAAAGCAAAAACACATCCCTAGTATCCCAACCAATCTACAGTAAAACTGTCGATATAGTACACGTAACAATATTTCAAACACCTGACAGGAATCATGACTAATCCACTCACAGTCTCTCTATCTCCTCAGTCATACATCTCGACCGCAAACTTATCCGCGTGTCTTTCTCCTCGAAATTCCCCAACACTTCGAACAAACACTACGTTCCAATCAGTACTAACTGAATTTACATCTATTCATTCACAAATTTATGCAACTGTCTGAAGACACGAACCCCTGTAACTAACCCCACAGTCAGTAAAGACAATTCAGAACTGACTTAGTTTCTCGGAAAATGTATTACATATTATCTTTTACATCCTTACAATTCTCTTTTCATTACACTCTTTACAGACAGTCACAATGGAGTGGCACTATGAACTCGTAGGACACATTCCAGTCTACAAACCACCAAATGGAAAACCACACCCATCAACATTCGCCAATCGAATGCTGAAAACAATCAATTCGAAATAACCTGTCGCAACTGAAATAGGAAACAATACAAAATTAAACTCAATATACTTTTAACAATAACTCTCTGCACTTTGAACAGAACAAAAATTATATAAGCAGACTCTTATCAGACTAGTAGTACGATCAATATTAATTCATATGACACGCAATTAGTTCATCATCAGGAGGAGTTCAAATGTATACACTTACCAACAAACCGGCACGAATACCTGAAACTAACAGAAAAAACACTGCATAAAATAGTGATCAGTGCGAAAGACAAATCAACAATTCATAAGAGGTGTCGTACACTCATCATATAACCACTACTGATAAACATGAAAATACTGAACAATAATATTAGGAACTGACTCAGTAATACAGTTTACAGTCTAACTAACTAACTTGGAATTTCCACACTAATATCCACGAACATTGGCCAAAACCTTCTGATAACAAATACGACCTGATCCGCACCGTGAACACAGAAGACCTATTTCAATCAATAAATAAATACAATTATCATCGACTTACCACAAAAACTCAGCAGTTCCGCACAAACCCATCACCATCGGTCAGCAAAGACACTACACACTACGCACACGGTCGCCACATTCACCTGTAGGCTTGCAGACAATGCGTCAAGCATCCCTGAAAACAAAATGACCCCTGGGAAATTCCTCAGCTAAACCCTATCCTACTCACACGCATTCCCATCTCCACAACCACTGTAGGCTAAATTAACTAGCGTATCACATACCTAGATGCCGATTTACATAGAACTACAAATTAAGCCAAATCACAAAACACACGATCTAGAAGTCCCACATACCTCTAATTGTCAATCACAACTTGTTTTCCATACACAAAAGCCTAGGCAAACATCAAATGTCATACAACCAGATCCCTTGGTACATTTAAACAGAGCAAGGACAACAAGGTTTGCAGAATAAAATGACTTCGTTCCATACTGCGGCCTGTTGTCAGTGCATAGAATATGATATATCACACATAGTAAGGCTTTCCGCTATCTAAGAATTATGCGTTCACGAGTGTTGGTTATTATACTCAATCGTCTGTTTTTCGGCTATACAGAGCACCCACCTTCGTGGTGACCTCGTCATTGTCATTTTGTACTTTCTGTAAGTGTTGTATTTTATCTTGTTTGTCTCGTTAATGATAGTCGCAGCCTAAATGTAACGAATATATGTTGTTAGTATTCATGTGGTCGTTAAGCCTGTCATATCCGCTGATGACAGTAGTTTCTTTGTTTACTTCTATGATTTCAAGTCAGTTACTTTTCAACATTAGACGTTAGCCTTAGTTTATGACGGTATGTTTGAACTACTTTTCTTTTCAATTCGTTTTTTTATTCGTATTACTGTTTAATTAAAAGTGTCTTGAACTTAATTTCTTTTTGATTAACGTGGCTATCTCGATACAGCGCTGTGCTTGGTTCGTTTTACTTATTTAGGTCTTCCCTAACTCCCGGATATCATCAAACAAGACCCAATATATAGAAACCTTTATTTTAAGTAACTTTACAGTTCTTTCACAGTTAGATCTATAAAGAGGCAAAATTAGCTGATTAATATATGTGAATACTTGGTGGGAGTGAACGCTTGATTTTTCCAACTTTTTCCTTCTCCACAACTACAAGCGTATAAAGGAATCGACTGCATCTGATCTTAAACTTGACATTGTCTTTGTTTTCTTTAATCTTAACAGCTGAAAGAAAAGTCATTATTGTTTCCGAGTGACTCACACTTGGCGTCTGCCCTTTGTGTCATATGGAGGAACTCCTTTATGTTGTCTACTTGTCGAGGCATGATAAGCTAAAATTAGAATTAAAAAAATCTTTTTTACATGAATTAATTATTGCTCCAAGCGGCGTTTCTGCCCATAACAAAGAGTCAGCAAGCTTCCAGCCGGGTTCACAGCACACTTGTTTCCGGAGCTCATGAGTGTTGGGTACGTCGCGACCGCAAAACACATCAATATGGCTCATGATCACAATTTTAACTTGTCTTGGGGTATAGGTGGATCCCGAATAATCAACAATTCCATGAGTAAATCACGATACTTATCACACATGTGGTTCAAAATATGATCTAGTGCTTTTCTCCAGTCAAATGACAAGCCATCTACGTAGTCACACAGGATCGATTTCCCAGACACACGACATCTGATTGCCTCAATCCAGGCAACACACCATTCCAGTCGGATATCGTCGTCTAAAGAACGATCATTTCTCAATCCTAGGATAAACTGTAAAACAAGTTCTCCAACAAGCTTGTGATATAGCATCGTGCTAAAGAGAGGCTTTAGTTTGATAGCCTGGTTTTGAACAATGTTGCATAGAGGACTTTCACCAGTGAACAGATTACAGCCATAACTACATATAGTATTTATTATCAACGGGAAGCAAGCATATGTTGAACGGCTACTGAACACTTCTTTCATGTTGAGTTGAGATGTCTTATCTCCTTGCAGTAGACTTTCAATGTATTTAATTAAGGTTAAACTTTGACACTTCAAAAAACCATCTAATTCAACCATCCGTTCCTCGTTATAGTTTACATTGAATGCCCAAAATTCACTCAATTTTAGTGACCACCAAAAAGCACTTTCTAGTGTGTCCGTTGACGGTATTATTCCGTGTGCTATGCCATTGCGCAGATCAGCCAGCCAGCTAGGTAAGCCTGCCACACGAGCAAGAGACAAAATGGGCAATGCAAAATTCGGCCTTTCACGGTCTTGGGACTCACTAGGTAGCAACGAGACAGACCTCATGAGGGCCAGTGCCATACTTTGGCTTGAGTTTTCAAAGTAAGCATTTAGAAGTTCATAAGTGCAAACTATGGACCGAGGTATTTTGGATACAGGCATACGACATAACCATATCTTTATGGTCTCCCAAGCTAAACGAAGTTTATACGTTTCGCATGAAGATACATTATTAGCAACGTCACTAAATTCACTAGCATCAACCCAAGGAACTATCCGCTTATCATCATTCATAATACAATCCTAACTTAAAGTCAGGATAAAAAACTAAGCCTACCAGAAATACGAGACAACTCACGCCGCGTGCACCGGAACCTTCACAGTGACCTTGTTGAAACAATTCTTAGAGCGCCCAACAACCAACTAAATTGAACACCCATGTAAGATTGGGATGCAACGTGATAACGAAAAAATATGAAAATCCGTTTTAAAGCGAGTTATGACTATCTACAGTGGTGATAGGTTTAACGAAGATCCTCTTTCATTCAAACATTCAACATCAGATGGTAATAATCAACATGGAGGAAGCGATCGATAGATGATAACTCCAGATAAAAAACGAAGTAAATTAAAGTGGACAGTAGTAAATGCATGCCAGAAATTGCAACCTTTATGCTCAAAGAACTTTAAGGAAGCTCACCAGACTACTTCAAACTCTTCTTGGGAGAATCAGAGAACGATTTATTGCTTGTGATCTGAATTTGGGTAGCTGGAGAGCATTCTCATGACGAAAAGGCATGGTTTTCGCTATATCTTTTCTGAAACTGAAGGTTAATACAAGGTAATTATTAATAGTCGAAGGCATTGTAGAGTAACACTTAGAATGATCAATACCTACGGACTGAAATAAACATCAGGTCTCCCTCTAAATGACTCCGTGAAGGCTGCAATCACTATATCTTTGGGTAAGGAGTTTCACATCTCATTGATTCTGACCGCGAAAAAGTTTGCATAGACTCTTGTGCGATATCTTCCGTGTTCTATTTTTCTTAGTTGTAAATTAGTGCTAGAATACATCAGTGATTTATTCAGATGAGGATTATGAAGGACACGACGCATCAATCCTTCTAAGCCATGTAATTTACACTTTCATGCTTCCAGCAAAGCTGAGTAGACTTTGTGTTTCGGTCCTAAAACCGTTTTACTTCCTATTTTCTGAACAGGTCCCGAAGGATCACTATCCTCATTAAGACAAAGGAACATATTACAGGGTTTTCCCCAGAACGTGGTCTTAAGTACATATTCGAAATATTTCACTTAGTCGCAGAGCCAGGCTACCTAATATTATGGTGTACTTTGTTGGCCTAGAATGTCTATAGGTAGACACCTAAAGTGCCACAAAAAGTAGTGTCTGTTTCCCAACCTGTGGTGGAGAGTGTAACGCCGACATCACACCGAAAATAGGGGGTGAGTGCAGTATCTCTGTTGTTAAACACTGGTATGCTACGTTTGCTAATGTTGAGTTCGATTACGTTTCTACGACCCAAAGAAGACTGTTTCGGGGGTAGGGATTGTACCAATAATCCAGTCCAGCATATTTTGGCTTTCTGATGTTCTCCTCAAGGTTGATCTCAAAAATGAGCTTTACAAAGTCTGCCGCTGTGTTTATAGGGAGCAATTATTTTATAACATGTCATAAAATTTCTTATATTCTTGCATTTTGGAAGACAAAGAGCACGTGTAATCAAGTACTCCTCGTATACCTTCAATCTGAGAGGACGACGGGCCTCTGATTTATCCTTACCTTTGTCTCGAAATATCTCTCTTCGAAAGTAAACAAAGTCTGACATAACTCGATACAATGGAACCGAGAAAATCTGAAAAATAAACGATATACCAGGCTGCAAACAGGCTTAGTGGTGCTTTAATCCCCTTTAATCCCGTTGAGGAGAGGCACAGGAAAGAAGGGCTCGGTTGGTAACAATCATTATGGAGCAAACAAAGCATGATGTAGCTCTATTTACTTATTTTGTGGACATGGAAAGACCACTAAATAACTGCTCCGCATTGCCCGTAACACAAGGTGTCAGTAACAGACCTAGCCTTTGCTCAAATTGTTTGTTATTGTCAAAAGAAAGTTGTGGGACTACAGTAGAAGCAGTCTCAGTAACAACCATAGCAAACTATGGAGGTAGATCAATTGTCTTGCCGACGCGTTCTGGAATATATGATAATGAAAAACGCGTGACTTCCCCAAAGGTTTAACAAAGGTGGGAGGCTTAATATTAATACTAATATTGATTTCGGATACTGCGCCACTCAGCCGATGACTCATATCATGAGAAGTGAATAACAAAAAACTATGTACGCATTGGTTGGAAATGAGACGAGGACTACGAAAGACAGTGTTATTCTAAAAGATATACACAATATTTGTCTTTTAAAATATCTGAATGGCTCACACTACCTCAGTGTGTAGGAGTGTGTAAGTATTGTGTCGTAAGTTCTACGAATTTCATAGGCATCAGCCAGTGTAGGCAGAGGGCTATGACGGAAGGCATTTGAGGCGTTTCTATAATTTTTCTAAGAGATGTGAGCGACCTGCATAACACCATTTTGTGCATAGGCATCCATGCCATTTGTTTGACCTTAAATCCCGTAACACTTTCCTGACTCTGCATCTACGTGCATAGCACTTATCTACGAATTTAGCAAACTTGACAATATTATCACTTCGTTCAGTTTTTGGCTTCTAATCAGATCTTTGACATTGCTTAGTTTTTTACTGGCCGTTACTTCTGTCTCTTTTAAAATTATATTCTGGTAGCTCCTATTTTTATTTAACGTGTGATCGATTGTCTCCGTATGTATTGACAAGATTAGTGCATTCCTAAATGATGAAACAAAATATTTGCCGTTTTACAAGAACCTCTACGATTGTTGCTGAGCAATTACATTTTTCAGTCAAGAAAATTTCATTCATAGTTCATCTCACAGTTATGAACTGTTTATTTTTGATCTATCACTTGAGAATAATACTGTGTTCTTCACCTTTCAGGGCAACCTTTGCTGTTTCAAAATTAACTATCTTCATAGTGCCCAACATTTTATACATTGGTTATCTTGTGTTTGACTAGGTTGAGTTCGTTGTTACTCACGGATTGTTTCACATAAGTCACTAAATTGCTCAAGTATTATATATATTCTTCAATATTACTACTTATCTTGACGTTAAACTAACATCACAGTTGGGTCTTCCTTATGAGCTCTTTTCTTAGATAAATGTTCACTGATACAATACTTTGGATATCTGTTTTCTTTTCGGGTAGCATACAATGCCTTTGTTTCCTCTTCAACCGCATCTAGAGAGCATGTGGTCTTGATTCTGTAAATGAGTGTCTGAATCAAGTTTCTTTAAAATTGTAGAGAAACAAAACTAAGAAAATGTATACATTGATCAGTCCAAGTAGTTTTCTTGTTGAAGTTTCCTTCTACGGACCCATCCGTTTTCCTCATAAGTAGAAAATCTGGAAAGGCTATTCTACTTCCATTTTCTACCTCATATGGGGATTTCAATAATAGATATCATGAAGATAATAATTACAGAAATCACGCCAGTTTACAGGCATGGTCAATTTGATATTAATAGTAATATTAGATGTAGAGAACAAACATGTTTATTAGATTGTTCCAGGTTTGCTAATTCATTAATTGTTTAGGTAGTACATTTATGACATGTATTACAGCAATCCAATGTATCAGCAGGGAACTTTTAATTTTTTCTTAGGTGGATGGCCTGTTGATTTACGGACGGTGTTATTTAAGGTTATTTCCTGCGCCAGGACGAATTGTTGGTAATTATATACAACTAGAAAAAGTAAAATGAAAACAGAGAGCACGGAACAACAAAGCAATGATTACCAAAATATGTCAGTCAGGTTTACCACTGTTCATGTTAGATATTATCCAAATAAGTTAAGGTTGCTAGGCACAGTTTTAACATAAAGTGACAGCAGGTGAGTGGTTTTACTTGGAGAATTCACTAATAACAATGGCTAAACATTTAAAGTTCCGATAATCTCACTTGTGGAGTAAGATACACTTACAGATGCTAGAACATTTATTGCATTTTCAGAGGGGCAGTATGCATCAATGCAGTGAACAAAGAATGGGAGTGATTTTATCGTGCTGATATATTGTGGTAGATTATTCCAGAGTCTAGAAAATTCACAGGTAAAATAATTCATATGTAGAGATGATTTAGAATGGGTTTGTTTCACTAGTGACAAGCTGTTACGTATATCGTAATGAGAAGTTTCTGCATATTGAATTGCTAGGTTGGATGTAAAGGGTAGTTTGTTATGTATTTTGAAGAAGAAGAAGAAGATAAGATTTAGTTTGAGTCTACTCTTCCATAAAGAGTCGAGCTCAAGTTTATTACATCTAGAATTATATTTCAAGGAACAATCAGTTACGAGAATCTGAAATGTTAATTGTCTCTGTACTGATTCCAACCTTCATTTATCCTTAATCCACGCACTATTAAGAATAAACGCGCAGTATTCTATAAGTAGTGAAACACAAACTTCGTACATTAAAATGCGTGACTCATTGTTATAAAGGTTTAAGTTATGCAACATATAAGACGTTGAGACTTGAATGTCTGTTTCAAGACCTATTCTGCAAACAACAAATCGTAGGATTATCTAAGTTCTAAGTCTTCCATTGCATATAACTTAGATAACACCTCACTAATGATGGTAAGATCCAAGTCGAGTGATGTATTCCTGAAGCACGTCCATCCTTATTTAGCTGTGTTAAACTAAAACCGCCATTTTGAGAACCGCTGTGTTACCTTGCTAAACTACAGGCTGATGCAACTTTGCATATTGTTCAGCTCATGAGGAGAAAATGAACACAGTACTTTGAGATCATCCGCATGCAAAAAAGGCTTACCCACACAAAAACACTCACAAATATCAATAATAAACACCAAAAAGAGCAAAGGGCTCAAGACATCACCTTGTATTACACCGCTACTAACAGGGACAGAGTTCGACAATGAAGAGTTAATTTTAACTATTTGATGTCGGCTACTGAGAAAGAAATCTAACCAAGCATGCAAAGGATTTTGAACCCCATCAGATACGAGATTACCTATGAGAAGTTAGTGATCAACCACGTCGGAAGCTCTAAAAATGTAAAAGTATAGCACTAGTACTAGATATCTTTGGCTACGTGGAGAATAGGCTAAATTAAAGAAGTAAAAGTGACATGTCATACAAGACAGATTTTTAAGAAATTCATGCTGCGTATCATTGATAAATTTTTCAGTCAGTAAACAGTTGAATAGTTCGTCACTAATAATTTTTCCATAATTCTAGTGATAAATTTAGTAACATTTATCGGCAGA